TCAATTTTTATTTTTTATTTTTTATTTTTTATTTTTTATTTTTCATTTTTCATTTTGACCTTCATTTCAGCTTTATTTTTTAGACCTTCTTAGAACATACTTGTTTGCCGATGCCACACTGCTTGCGCCATCGCCAAAAGGGGCAATTGATAGGGTATCATAGTAATCAAGGGATTAATACCATGGCTAATGACATGGAGAAGGAAAGAAGACAAGAGGAAAAAGACAAGGCTGGGGAACAAGAGACAAACCCAGGCACCTTACATCAGCAAGGACAAGGGGCAGGGGGACACCCTCTGCCAAAAGGACTATGAACAGTGTCAGAGAGTCTGAGGCGCCCGACCAGAGCATTTATGGCTTGGCAGGCGCCCAGACCACTACCTACCCCTCAAATGTGTATAAATAGGAGTTCTCTCCTCATAAATGATAATCCATCTACACTTACTACTACTTCTCTCTACTTTCTCTCTCTATACACTTCTTCTCTTCTCTTATTTCGGACGAGGCGGGGCGCCTACCCTTTCAAGGTCATGGCTGACACCCCAAACCCCTTGGACCCGAGTGACGCCCAGTCGCCCGGGCTCAAACACTAGCCATCAAATACTTTATGATACAAATGTAGTCAACACCACAAGATTCAGCTATAAATTTTCATACACCTTGGGACAAAACCAAGTGGCTGATCTGCATATGATGCCCATCTTTAAGAGCCCAACAGAAGAAACAGCATGCTGGAGGTAATGAAGAAAAAGAAAATATTGCAGAAATCCATCTCAGCTGACACAAACCAATGTCAGTGTTTTCCAACCTTAACTCTAGTCACACTCCTAGACAAAAAGAAAATTCGTCTATTACATATCAGCACATACTTCCGAACAACAACAAAGCAGAAGTTCCACAAAAAAATGATCTGAATAAGGTTGTAGAAGCTTTAATGATACAGGGACGATCGTGGATGTTTTACATGGTAGATAAAATGCAGTGAATAGGCTAGTAGTGTCTCATGTGCTACTTATTTCATAAACGTTGATAATGTCATTGCAGAACGTTAATATTACATTGCAAGCTATCACAAAGTGAATGAGCGGGTATTTTAAATTTTCATTTTAAGCAAGAAAAATATTAACCCCGGATGTATGACATGAGAGTGGTTTTATTGTCAAAACAACTAAAAGCTAGTTCTTTTAGTTTCTCAGTGGGAAATAAAAATAAAATATGACCAAATTGATTTGGATTAAAGATATTTTTCTATTATGCTAATGATTTTACTTTATTATTGGGTATGTATCTCTCTTATTAATCCGATTCTAAAATTAATCGAATCGTCTCACAACTCCTAATACTAAATGAAATCATTTTTCATGTGATAAAATAAAATCGCTAAACAATTAATTAACTATTTTTCATACTGAAAGATAACTATGGAAGAAATATGCATTTTTATTGAAGAGTGTCACTTAAAAAAAATGAATTTTTTTAAAGTGCTATAAAAAAAATTCCAACATACCATTTGGTATAAAATGAATTGAGAAATTTCTTTCATTTTCAAATAATTCTGTGTAGAATGCATTACTTAATGAATTCCTATGTTTGAAATGTCAAATTCAAATTTTTATAATAATTGAATTCAAATCATGTTTGGTATAAGTTCAAAATTGACATAAATTATAAAATTTCAACTATACCCTTACTTATTTCCACCAGAAACAACATTATTAGTACTCATTGAAAATCTATCTTCTAAAAATGCAAATGTCATAGTTATTCAACCAATCCTACTAAGCAAAAATTGAAAGTCGTAAAATCTAATAAAATTTTTTAAGATCCATCTTCCATAAACATTCACTCTAACCGGTTTCTCTCATGAGCCAAGAGAGATTGATCTCATAATCTAGTCCGGTCTAGATTATTTATAATACAATTTTAAGGGTTTGATTTGCTCTAATTAACTTAAATAAAAAAGAAAAGTGATGACATGTAGAATGAACTATTTTAAACCCTCATATTATGATCCAAAGTGCATTCATAGCTAAAAGTTGAAAAAGTTGGTTGTGGCTATGAATAAAAAGCTGAGAACCATCAACTAAAAATCGAATAGATTGATATAAAATCTTGTGGAGAGTCTAAACTCTGCCGAGAATCCTTAATTAAGACATATTGAAATTTGCCCTCAAGGCCTACACTGAGGCCTAGAGGTTAGAGTAAGGCCAAGAATGCCTACACGAGTTAGCATGGTGGTTGAGAATGCTAAATGTCGATGAACGCGGTTGTTTGACTGCCTAATGAATGTGTTGGTGTTATTTCACAACTCAAACTCGAGCATGATATATCAACACAACGTAAGAAAAAAGTTCATAATCACATCCCTTGATTTATTTCAACCAAACCCAATGCACGTAGAGATGTAGCCCAACCCACCTTCTTCATCAAAACAAAACAAAAATAAGTTGAATTTGAAGAACAAATTGAGTTCTCTAAATACCCAAGCTCGGTTCTCCACTCCGATTCTTCCATTGGGACACAAGAAGTTCCAACGATTTCATGGAAGATCCCTCTTCACTCATGGCATTCTTCGCTGCTTCCTTCAACACATTCATCTTGTTCCTCACGGCTAACCCTTCTTCTCCCACCATCAAATTCCTTACCACTTTCGATATCTCTTCTCGTCTGATCAATCCGTCTTCCCCCGCAATCGGCCTCAACGCAATCTTCAGATGCTTCACCAACTGCACGGCCACCATTTTCTGGTCTCCGTGCAGAGGCCATGAAATGAGAGGCACCCCATTGAGGATGCTCTCCAGCGTCGAGTTCCAACCACAGTGATTTAAGAACCCACCGGTTGCTCTATGGCTGAGAACTTGAATCTGTGGGGTCCACGATGGCACCAGTAAGGCTCGTCCTTTAGTCCTGCCTAGAAACCCTTCCGGCAAGTAATCAAATGGGTTGGAATTGCTCTGTGGGCCGATGTAGGAGGCGTTTGTGTCTCTGGTAGTATTTGGGCTTCTTACCACCCACAGAAATTGTTGATGGCTAATCTCCAAGCCCAACGCCAGTTCATTCAATTGCTCCTGTGACAGAGTTCCGCCGCTCCCAAATGAAACGAACAGCACAGAAGCTGGTGGTTGACTGTCTAGCCATTCCAAACATTCGTTTTGTCTTGTTGCCAAAAAAAAAAAGAGACAAAATTAACTACCTACTATTACCTTCCATAATTGCAAGCTCCAAATTATTATAATTTTTTTTTTTACTGAATCCAAATTATTATAATTGTAAGCTCCAAATGGTGAAATTTTTATGTTTCTACTTATTACGAGACTTAAATATTTGAATCATGTTAGTGTTTTATGACTTATGTGTTGAAATGTTTGATTGTATCATTGAAGATGCATATGTATTGTTTACATTAGGGGTGAAAAATAATTTAAAAGAGAGAATATACAAGCTAACCTCACAAATTTGGTTTTGGATGACAAACTGAACCGAACCGAATTATAATTCGGTTTGAACCGACCAAACCGAATTATAATTTGGTTCGAATTCGATTTTAGGTTTGATAAAATTCAGAGACCCGATATGCATAATTTCGATTCTGTTGAACCGAACCGACCGAATGTCCACCCCTAAAATACCTACTCTTACCTTCCATCGTCAGTAATAGTGGATTGAAAGATGGGCCCAATAGGGAAGATGGGCCTTCCATTAGCGAACTCTTCCCCCCTCAAAGCCTCTATAATCTCCCCCTCAACTTCCATAAAGGAGTTGACTATAAACCCATCCGCCAAACGCTGCCGTTTGGCGTGGCGAAGGATCCGCTCGTACGCGTCGCTCTTCCGGTCCAAAATCGAGGGATGTAGGTCTCCGACGGGGAACGCAAACCGGCACCCGGGCAGCCGAATCGGCTCGGCCAGCTGGCGGTAGTCGCCGGCAACCTCGGCGTCCAGCTTCGGCATGTAGCTGCAGAGCGCAAGCGTCAGCGCGTTGGAGGGAACTGCAAAGTAGGCCGCGAGGTTGAATTCCCTGGCGACGTCGAACGCGTCGGTGCCGAATATATCGGCGACGAGGGCCGCCAGCGGGAATTCGCGGGCGAGGGCGGCGATGGCGCCGCGGAGGTGCGGGATGGAGCGATCGACGGTGAGGAAGAGCTTGGCGTCGGTGGAGACGTGGGCCAGGTGGGCGGGGTCCACTGGTGGGAGGAGCACGTGGGAGACAGCTGGTGGGAGGGTTTGGAGGAGTTGGGCCTGGGCTTCCGGCGGCGGGCCCAGCGAGGGGATGATGATGGTAGCGGTGCAGTCGTGGTGGTGGAGGAGGACCAGTTTTCTGGAGAACTCGACCAGTGGGATGATGTGGCCCATCCCGGGGGAGGAGAATATTGCCACGTGGACTTTCTTCCCCATGCTTTGTTGCATATATATATATATATATATATATATATATATATATAAAATTTAAATAAATCTTGCTGAATGGTTATGTCTGTGCCCATGAGATGATTATATATATAGTATTTGCTTGCAGATGCAATCATGGGGTTGACACCTAACCTACCATTGTCATTACAATTAGCCTTGGATAGATAACGCTTATTGGGTAATTAGACAACAACCAATGTTTGATTAATGCAGAAGATAATATATATATGGGAAGAAATCTTTCGCTCCCTTTCTCTATGAACAGAAGAAATCTTCGAATTTATGAGTTTTTGAAATATAATAACTGCATTTACCACATACGAGGATGGTATGGGGTGGTATATTTTGGTCTTGATTTTTTTCCCGGTAATTTGTAGATCCAATAGAGCACAATGAACTCGTTCCTTCTGTGTAATTTTTTTCTTTCAAAAATCGAGTTAAAAACGAATGTGATACCAGGTGGTAACGAGTGGTATGGAATTCTTTTCTCGAAATATATTGAAAATGAATCTCATTTTTTCGATCACAACAAACGCGTTCCATATGTACAAATCTTTTGAAATTCTAGTGACAATAAAGAAGATAAAATTCGATTAAGAAAACTCTTTAATCTCATCTCTTAGATCTAAGCCCTTCTGGCTCCACTCAAAATAAACCAAAGGCCAAGATCTAATTATGCAAATGTTTGTGCGGAGTTCATTTATAATCAGTTTCATATAGGGTTAATTGCATGATTGGTCACCGTGATTACAAAACACGTTCATGTTTGGTCACTCGAAATATTTAAATCCATTAATGGTCACTAAAATTAGTAAAACCGTCCAAGTTTGGTCACTCTCCGTTAGTCTCCGTTAGTCTCCATTAACCAAGACCGTTATGTGCTGACAAGGAAGACAAAATCGCCTAGTCAGTCTAATTTCACCCAAAAATAGTGAAATCCGACCCGCCATGTCATTTTTTTCCCATCCCAACCCAACCGAATCCTTGAACCAAACCGACCCACCCATCCATGAACCAACCACTCAAACAAAATAAGGGTTTATCCCTGTTTCCTTTACAGATCTGAACTCTAGTTCTTCATTTTTCTTGCATTCCCTTCGACAACCAGGTCTGAATGGTGCTTGAATCGGTCGCATTTCCTCAAGTTGGACAGAACCGACCAGCCAAGCGTCTAGAATATCATAATCAAAGATGTAGTCGATCCGACGGCAGACCCGAGGGTGGAGGAGGCGAAGAGGTCGAGGCGGGGGTAAGAGGACGCGACGGAGAAGGGCGGTGCGGGGATGTCGGTGAATTCCCGTATCCTTGGAGCCCGGGCTAAACACCACTTCTCTATTTCTATTCGCCATCACTAACAGCCTCTCTACCTCTGTATATCCACCCAAATACCCAATTAATCAAATTTCTTGTTTCTCCCAGGTGGAATAGATGAAAATCAGAGGTAATTTTTGGGGTGGATGAAATCCCAATAGAGGGGTTGTGAAGGAGAGACTCATAGATGAAGGAAGAAGTCATTGTGATGAAATTGACCACCACCTCCAAAACAAGTTAACTGCCTTTCAATTTCTTCTCCCACCCGTCGCTTAAGATCCTCTCCCCAGCACTATTATTCTCCCTCCGACTCCAGCCGCCTAGCCCCTCTTCTTACCCCCTCCATTATCGAAAAGAAGCAGAGGATCCAGTGAGCCAATCATCTTCCTCATTCAGATCTGTTGGCCGCTTCATCTTCTCTGGCGAGCCAATCATCTACCCCAATCAGATCTGTAAAGTATAGACTCATCGCGTTGGCCGCTTCATCTACTCATGTCTCTTGGGCTCGATTTGGTTCCAATTGAAAGAGAGGATTTTTGAGAACTGGGTTTAAAAGCAGCGGAGGAAGAAGAATAGAGATTGAGGATGCGGCGGAGCTAGAGGAAGAGGTGCAAAGATGGATTGTTGATGGCGGGTCAATAAGTTAGGTTAGGGTTTGAGTCATTGGTTGGGCTGAATTACCTGATGTGGCAGATAATATTTTTTAATTTTTGAGGTTAAATTTGGTGACTAGACTTTTCTGTTAGCCACGTCATCAAAAAGTTGACGTCGTTAACAGAGACTGACGGAGACTAACAGAGAGTGACCAAACTTAGACGGTTTTACTAATTTTAGTGACTACGAATGAATTTAAATATTTCAAAGTGACTAAACTTGAACGTTTTTTGTAATCACAATGATCACCCATGCAATTAACCCGTTTTCTATAATTATCACTTAATAATGAGATGACAACTCATAATTTTTTCCCAATATAATTTGATGGGCTATATCTCTTTTATTTTTAGTCGGCATTCCAAAATATTTGTGCGAAAAAAATATTAATCATTATTTTCAAAATGGCATCCACTTTTTTACCTTTTTAGAAGAAAAACATTTGTAACATATATTACCAGTCTATATTATGGTGGTAATGTTTGGTCGTACACAAGATTGTATCATGGTAATATAGAAATGTAAGATAGTTGTATGAATATATAATAGTGTAGAATGATTATATACATAATAGTAACAATATACTTATCACCTTTCACTGCAGCCTACCACCAGTTACTACCATATACCATTTTGGTATAGAGTGATATATTTAGTCATTTTTTATAGAAATTTATAGATTACAATAGATCATGATGAACCCGTTAATTATGTATAACATTTTCAAAACTTGAGTTAAAACGAAGGTGGTACATAATGGTATTTGGGGTAATGAGTGGTAATGGGTGGAACAAAAAAAATTCACAAAATACATAAAATAATGAATATTATTTTGTAGATCACAATGAATTCATTCCATTTGGGTAAAAAAAAATCAAGGTTAAAACAACAAATATATTCCCAATTAAAAAAGTAGAAAAATAAAATTAATACTCTTACCTCTGGCCCTTTCAAATAAAAAAGGCCAGATATAGTTATGCGTAGGGATGCCAATTTTGACCTGACCCGATTTACCTGACCTGTTTGTCCTGTTTTGGGGAGGGACCGACACGCTTCGTAGGCGGGGCGGGGCGGGCATGGGTACCTCTCATCGACCGACCTACCCTGACCCGCCCCATTCTCGACTCATTATTGCCTAAATACAATGTAATCTTAGTCAAATTATTTAGGATTTTCCTCTTATTATATCATATTTTATCTATAATAAAGTTGTAAATAAGTGAAAACCTCAATTTCTCCAATAATTTAACTACATTTAATCATACTATGGTTTCTTTCTTGGTCTTTTAATGAAAATAACAAATATTTCTAATGTTTGTCGCATAAATTACATACCCATTAGATCAACCTGCCCCGACCCGCGCCCCATTATAAATTACCCGCCATGAACCTGACCTGCAATGGGACGGGTATGGATATCGAAATACCCGCTCCGGATCTACCTCATTGCCATTCCTAGTTATGCGCCCAACCTAGTTTAGTTGGTTGGTTTAAAGAAGGGAGCATATATGTCAATAACTAGTAGCTGCATAATTATTTCTTCATTAAAATTTAGCAAAACATCTTATTTTTCTTATAACGGTTTTAAAAAAAAATTCCATAGAAAGTTAGATTAATTATATTATAAAACATAGCATACACTTTGAAATATTTTAAAATAATAAAGTATATTTGTTAAGATTTTTCTACCATAGTATATCATGATATATACCATTATGGTGTAGAAAAGTAGGATTCATAATACTCTATAACACTTTAAAATATATTTTGGAATAAAAAGATTGTACCATAATATACCATGATAGTAAAAAAGATTATACCATGATGTAAGAAGTGACAGAAATTTATCATAATCGTAGGATCATAGTAGCCGGTGATACAAGTGGTGAAATTTATCACAAGTCATACATGCGCTTGACTTTACAATTTCCGCAGGAAACACAACAAAAAGCCCATCGATCAGAGGGTTCCGGCACGTAATTTTCAACTGCTAAAAACAGTTCCAAAATGAAATCCGTAACAAATAAAATATCGCCGCATAATGATCAACCTAGGTTTCATTTCCGTTGTCTTTGTATCCCGATCCATCGAGCATAATCAACCCACCTGTTAATCGCACAACCCAGAAACAGTAATCATTTGTTTCAGAACCAAAAGTAATAGAAATGTCTGAAGATATGGCAACCAAATGGTACTTGACTTGCAAACTTACATTAATGATCCCAAGAATGTGTTTCCGGTTCGAAACACGAAGCAGATTGCACTCAGTAACACCTTCTGTTCATGCAGCAAAGGCTCCAGGATTCGCTGTTCTATAACCCCCGCTAGAACTTGGTACCTGCAGCATGAAGGGTCAGAGGAACGATCGATTACGCGCGAATAACGTGTTCACAGCAACGAAATGCTTGAAGCTGATCATATCGGAGATATAGAAAGAGTACCTCAAGTTGCTAGAGACGGACATATAGACACCGTAGGCAGCACTAGTTGATAGGATTGGCATGTCCTCTGCTTCACCAGCGAAAGATTTGTCCACCGCTTTCCGGAGATTGATCAATGTGTTTGTTACACCTACACCAATCTGAAGCAAAGAAGGATACTCTTACTGTCAGCCAAATAGCATACAAAATGAAGTTTGAGTTGCTTTTCTATTCCACCCCCCTGCAAAATTCACATAGAGACTGGAAACAACAGAAGCTTCTCAGTTCATGCGAAGAATTAGCATGAGTCGTGTACCAGAGATGCACTAGTCCCAACCAGAAAGAGCTTCGCTCCATTCCGCTGCAAAACAAAAGAACAACAATAATTTCTCCATTGCAGAATGAGAAGTACAAAGTCTTCCATCCCACAAAGACACTAGGGTCTCAGCTAATCCAAGCAATGAACATACCACAATTGCACCTAATCTCTGCACAAGTGAATACGATGTACCAGCAAAAGCCACCTGCAGGCAACATTGAGGAGTATCATTTTGTTTATTCGAAATTTCGAACACTACTTAAACTCATTTGTAAAAAAAAAAAAAAAAAAACTTACCTGAAAGGCATTGTCAGGACAGCTGTAGAAGAACGTGGAAATCGATCCAGCACTAACTGCCAGGGGAGGACGGAGAGCAACAGTTGGTGCAGGAAGCCACACAAGCATAAAATCTGCTATGATGGCCATCACCTAACAAGGCAAGAAAACAAACTGCATCAGAGTTCAAAAAGAATTCATGGATGTAGGAGAATACAGAGCAGCCAATAAAACAGTTAGCATAAACATACCACATCCGCGAAGACAAAATCCAGTTCCTTGCTGAAATTTTCTCTGCGTTTTTCCAGCTCTGCAGCTGTCTGAGAGGTCAAAATTCATCAGTCGGAAGATATGCAACGGGAGAACTATGCCATTTGACTTGATCATGCGGAAAATAAAGCCCTCTACACTTCTAAAGCAACTACTGCGTGGTTAGTGTTCCAAAGTTTCAACAAAACAACTCAGATAAAGCTCCTGGAATTCATTCTTCACCATCATAGCAAGTACACAGTAGTAGACTCCAAATTATCAGGAATGAAAAATCTCACTGTATGTACCAGGACCGAGTTTGTACTAGACTCATATCCTAATTTGTTTCACCATTTCTAACGACAATCACATGAGTCCAGGAACACTGTTTTTGTGCCTCCTCCCAACTGTTCTAAGCCAATCAAAGTAATACATCGTGAAATTTCTCTCCCTTAACCAGATTCAAGCATTTCTAATTCTACTTATGCTGAGTGCCACAGACCACAACAGGTTAATTATCAACCAACAACAAAGGCAGGATTGCTGAATTGGCCAAATGGGAAGACCAACATTTCCAGCCAGAGCCAATAACATTATCAGAAGGAAAACTGTTACCCACAGGAGCACCCTCCATCTATAGTTCTATAGAAATAGCAAGTGAAGAACTTTAACTGAACAATACCCAATTAATCTTAACGACTCCTTAACAACGGCACCAAACTAGGTTCAGAAGGCAAATTGCAAACAGAAACCAACCTTGGTAAAGATACCAACGCCACACTCCATTGCAACCTTTGCCAAGAACAAGTCATCAGCAAGCAGACGTTCCTTGAATCCTCCAAACTGAAGCAGCCACCGGAGGATTGGCGACTTCTCAAGCTCAAAGAACCTTCGGACAATAGCCCCCGGAACCCTCCCTGCCTCAATTGCAGCAGCCAAGTCCTTGGGCAAGCTCTCCAGCGTCCTATCCGCCTAACATCAGCCAAGCAAATTCGCTTCAGAAAAATAAATCACAACCCTCTTCTCATACAAACTATAAGTTTCAGAAAGCCTTTTAGATACCTCAGCCAATGCGAGAAGAGACTCGGCCTGGTTCCGGGATCCAGCGTCATCACCGCCTCCCCCGCCGCCAGAACCATCTCCTCCTTCACCACGGCCGCCGCTTCCAATGCCACCGCCACGAGCAGGGGACGAGAAAAGGAAGGGTGTGAGAAATGGGTAGAAAGAAAGTTTTCTCCGGGAGAGATTGGAAGCGTAGAGCTTCGAACTGGGAGTGGCGGGAGTAGTGGAGATACGGCGGGTGATGGGTTGGTGATGATGGGAGTGGTAAGTGGGGGTATGGAAATGGAGGGAGCGGGTGGGGATGTGGGAGGAGAATGCCGCCATTGCCATTGTTTCTCCAGGTCAAATTTACAAGATCATGGTAAGAAAAAATCTGATATTTTTGGTGGCGGAGATTTGAAGAAGAATGAGGTGTGCCGTTGAGGAGAGGAGAGGAGAGAGCTCGGTCGGTCAGTGATTGGCTGATTGCTTACGCTTGCTGGAGTGGACCCCATTTCTACCTTTTGTTTCCAATTGTATTTTTCTTCCCGGTTCTAAAATTAAAACTACAAGTTTTTCGGTCTCTCGGATAATAGGGATGACAACGGATTTACTATATAACTAGTTGTATTGTATAGTAGAATTGGTTGTTATCACGAAAAAAATGAAATAATCTATTTTTCCTTAATGTGGGTGGAGAAAAAAACTGTTTGTGCTTTTAATTATATGGTCTAATAATAAAATTAAATTTTAGAAAGTAACATATGATTATATTGTTATGTCAAAGTGAATTAACCTTGCAGAACCTTTGCATAATGGGAATTGATGACATGTTAAATAGTTTATTAACAATAATAAAATTTTGATTAATAAAAAAATTAAAATTTAGAAAGTAACATATGATTAAACTATTATATCAAAGTTAACTAATCTTGCAAAATATTTGCATAATGTGAATTGATGATATGCTAAATATTTTAATTAACAATCATATAATTTTAGTTAATAATAAAGGAATATATCAATATTGTTCCTATTATTTTGGAAAGAAAAAACTTACAGTAGAATTTGGAAAAAAAAGACTTACCGTAGAATTGGTTGTATGAATAGAACTCCATTGTAAACCATACAGTGGAGAGAGAAAATAGTCTAATTTTTCTTAATGTACAGTGAAAAGTGTTTGTTCTTTTAATTATATAATAATCTTTGAAACAAAGTATGGAGGAATGTAAAATAAAATGCCAAAAAAATTTCATGTAAGGTTTGAAGAAAAACTCATCTACATCGTCTCTAAATAATTATATATGAAGTTATTGATGGAAAGTAGGAGGAGTAGGTTATGATACAGGGAGATTTTGAAAACTCACTTCACAGAAAAAAAAAATTCCCAAAAATGCACTCCCATCCCTAAACACGATCTATAGCGACTGACCTAAGCTAACGATGGGTTGCCTCACATGTAAAATAATCAAGAGCGGAGGTCTCTCAACTGAAGGCTGAAGCAGAAGAACATCTCTTATCAATCAAGTCATGTGAGGAGGAGAGATGTTTAAGGAAAGATGGGAGGTAGTAGATGAAGGTTGGATACTAGAAAGCTATCTGAATTTCTCCAAACACATCTCAAAGCGCACACCAGTTATAGATAAACCATTTGACAGATTTGCTAAACACTTTATCGGGTTGCCATAACACGTTTAAAGCACATTCAAATCTAGAGCACCTTTTGTCACTTTTCGAGTCCAAAAAGCGGAGAGATTCCAACACTTATGTCATTTCCTCAATACTCACCAGTGTCAACAAACCAAAGAGGAAGTGGAGGCAAAATTTCTCATGTACCAAAATACTCCCTAGAATGCACACCATCACGGCATCCAACAATTTAAAACACAATGAGTAGAAATCATGCACTGAGAAATGTGTTTGGAACCCTCAAATTTGAAATTTTGGGCATATAATCTTGGTTCCAAACACTCTTAATTTAGGCAACAAAAAAAAATCACTCATTCATCCATGTGTGCTTAGAGCCTTCAAATTTGAGATTTTGGGCAAAAATCAAGGCTCCGCACACTCAAGAGTTAGGCCAAGCATTCATTCACTCACACTCAATCACACGCCATTTCACAAGCATACATTCAAACACCTTCTATTCTGATAATATGGTTTGGTTAATTTGGATAATTGGTTTGGTTAACTCTTTAGCTTGTTTGGTTTAGTTGGTTTGGTTTGGTTGCAGACCCTTCTAACCAATGAAACCAATTAACCAATTAGTCATATATTTAACGTATTATATACTCATACTTAATACTTTGCATAATCATTTAAGAGTCAATCGTTCCTCCCTTTTGGACCTATCAACAAAATAAAACTCATTATTGTTCATATAATATATTTGTTCTTATAGATTGTAGACAACAGTATATGACACCTAACTTAGATAAATCTCATACATTATGTTTAATGAAAAGTTGAAAGGGAAAGTTTTTTTATCCTCTGATAATGGGTAAATTGCAAGGTTGGTCATTGAGAGTGCTAAAAAGTTCACATTTGGTCACTAATAGTATTTTATTCCATTCGTGGTCACTGAAAGTGGTTAAATATTTCACGTTTCACTCTATGTTACTCTTCATCACCCTCCGTTAACACCATCAATATTTTGCTTACGTGGCTAACAGAAGTGCCTAATCAGCCAAATTTAACCTGCGACATCATCATAGAATAAAACCCCCAACCCGCCCGTTCAAAAATCCTAACCAAAGCCCAACACCATAACCCAACCTTCTTTTTTGACTCGCCTGACCTAAAAATTGAGTCAATCAACAACTATGCTTTCTTCATCGGGGCGAAAGAAGAGGCACATGAGGTGAAGGAAACGAGATTGCGATGAAGATGAAGGATGGGCTGTGTTGGTGGAGATCATATAATACTCTCCTTGATTGCAACCGGAGCTGGTGCCGGGATTCACCCCACACTCCGATGCCACTTGCATCACCATTCTCAGCCAAGTCAACGACGTCGAGGGTTTGCAGGTCAGACGAGAGGATGCAGAGGAGGAATCTCTACCGTCCCGCTGACACCGCCATCCGTACCGCCGCCGCTTTTCTAGTATTATCAATTTCCCTGTCCATCGCTGAAAGCAAAAACCCTGCACTGAGCGTTCTTATATGCCATTTGATACCCTCCAAAGTGAGAAGCAAGTAAACTAGTGACTAAGATTGCAAAAAACAAAACCTTGTCCGATCTAAACTTTCACTTTCAACAGAAATCCCCTCCCAGTCAAATTGAATCCTAAAACCCCCCACCCCTTATGAAAATCTAGAAAACAAAACCCTAAATCACAAAGCCCAGCCACCGAACCAACGAACCACACCAACCTCGTCGAAATACAGCACCCTTATGGATTTAAAACCCACAGTCGGCTTCTTTATCATCTCGTTGGGTGGGTTCTTGCGGCGGCCCCCAACTCGTACCCAAGCGCTGATACCAATCCCTAATGCCCAATGTGAGAGGAACAACTAAGCATTGGTTGGCGTTGTATGCAAACGTTAGTGGGTTCTATCTTGTGTCTCTACCTAGTCGAAGAATTCTGGAACACAGACAGGGAGATGGGGAAAAGGGGGTCACGAGTTCTATCTTGAAGCAGTGACAGGGAAGAATTTTGGGTAGGAAAAGGGGTCCATGGGTTTGATTGGTCAAAAGAGAAAGGTTGGGTTATGGGTAGGGCTTGGATTAGGATTTCTGATGTGGCGGGTCGGAAATTATGATGTGGCAGGTTAAATTAGGCTGATTAGGCACTTCTGTTAGCCACGTCAGCAAAAAAACTAACGGTATTAACAAAGGTTGACGGAACTAACAAAGAATGATCAAACATGAAACGTTTAACCACTTTGAGTGACTATTAACGGAATAAAATACTTTTAGTGACCAAATACGAATTTTTAGTACTTTCAGTGACCATCCTTGCAATTTACCCCTATGATAATTCTAAAAGACTAAGACAATTCACACAAACACACTCAATTATTTCACCTCATACTCTTAGCATAGGTTATTGCAAGGTGGCTATTTTTAATGACTCTAAAATAATTTTGTTAGGTGCATGTATTCATGTTAAGAGTTAACATGTGTTGATTGTTATGCTTAATTAATTATATAAATTATGTATTGATGCATTAATAGAAGATTTTTTCTCATGTAATATAGTGTTATCTTATATTGTTAATCCGGTTAACCAATTAATCAAACCGATTAAACTTAGTTTTGTTAATTTGGTTGTTGCATTAGTTTGGTCGGTTTGGCTATAATATTTTATTTCACGGTTAATAGAATTTAGGTTTATTTGGTTTGGTAATTACCACGGTAACCATTTGAAGACCCCTAGCTAGTTTTGTATTTGAATTTATTTTTAGCGTAAATTCAATATATTAGCGAGAAATATTAAGCAGCGGGAAATTATAGCCACAACTATCGAAATACAAAAAATAGTTATGGCTACTATATTGTATTTGCCCTTTTTTTCAGTTGTAAAATTATTAATCAAAAGTCATCTGATGTGGTCGGTGACGTGGCATCTCCGTTACAAAACTAATGGCGTTAACAAATTGTTAGCCATATTTTGATTTGCTACAATAGTTGTGGCTAATAATTTGTATATTGATAGTTGTGGCTATAATTTCTCGCTGCTTAATAGTTATGGCTAATATATTGTAGGGTAATGTCTATTTTTTATCCAAACCTTTTTTAGATTCTTTTATATTATTCAAACCTATTAAAATGCTATTAATTAACCAAATTTTTCGTAATGCATCAAAATATTAGCCATTTTTACGTTATCGTTAATAATTTTGTAACTGTTTTCTTAGTTAAAATACTAAAATTTTGCAATGTTGACTTTCATGTGTATGTTACAAAGTCATTATTGCTAACAAAATTGTTAACATCTATTGAAATACTAATAAATAATCAAATGTAACATTTGATTAATTATTAGTATTTCGATAGATTTGGATAATATGAGAGAATATGAAAAATATTTGGATAAAAAATAGAAATTACTATTTACAATGTTAACATTTGATTAATTATTAGTATTTCGATAGATTTGAATAATATAAAATTTGGATAAAAAATAGAAATTACTATTTATTATTGTTAACTAAAAATTGGATCATTCAGCTATCCATACGCTCGGCCCTAAGACTCTTATCTCCATTTCCAAGTTCTTATGGATAGACTCCCTTAGATATAAATCCAGAGAAGAAACTCTTTCTCCCTCCCCAATCTGCAGAGTTGAGTGCTTTTAATCCGCGGAAGAAAAGAAACACGCACAAACAGGATAGAGCAAAACCCTTCACAAGAAATAGGAAATGGCTACAGCATGTAGCACGCCAACATCATCTCTGATGTTACCTTACGCCGCCTCCGCCGCGCACCCACTAAACCTCACTCAATCCCTCATCTGGTTCAAGCCCAAAGCTCCGTGTTTCTGCCCCTTGGCTTTGAGTTATTGTGCCGTTGGGAGGAGAAAATCAGGCAAACAGGTCAATTTCGATGCTCGCAGAGAGGCCAAATTCGGAGGTTTCCGACTAGTTGTGGCCGCTGTGGCCGCGGAGGCGGAGGTGGCTGAAGGAGCGGGGGCAGAGGCTGAGGTGGCGGGAGAGGGAACTGGTGGTGTGCCAATTCCCACTGTGGCTCCTGCGAAGCCCAAGACAGGAAAGGCTGCATTGCCTTTGAAGAGAGACAGAGTAGGATCCTGTATACCCTGATATTTCGTCTGCAAATCGTTGGCCCTATGCCAAAAGACTCGTCCATGAAGTTTGGAAATTCTTGGAGTTTGGTGGAATTTGAGTTGTGAGCATCAGCTGGAGTTACTCTCTGGTTTTGTTATATAATTGGGTTTAGTGAACTACATGGATGTTGTCTCTGTGTAGGACTGGTTTCCCACTTCACTGCTGTTTGTTTTATCAGAGTGTTAGATTGTTGGGGTTTGACCACGTTGCTGTTAAAACTGCTTGAAATTCGTTGTTTGATCCAGTTGGTGCTTGGTTATGGTTGCGGGTTGGTGTCTTTTATTTTTCTTCTTCTTCTTCTTTTCTTTGCTTTCAGTATGTGACATGACACCCTTTTGTTGGAAACTGCAGACGAGGTCTAAAAGGTTCTTGGAAATTCAGAAACTGAGGGAGAATAAACAGGAGTATGATGTGAAAACAGCAGTATCTTTGCTGAAGCAAATGACGAAAACAAAATTTGTAGAAACAGCTGAAGCACATTTTCGGCTCAACATTGATCCAAAATACAATGATCAACAGCTAAGGGCAACAGTAAGCTTTATTGCCTCTGGATACAGTTATTTGATCTCGGACTTACAGAATGAGTAAATATTGGTTCAGCTTATAACTCCACTGTTCCTGTTCCTGTGCAGGTAAACTTGCCTAAAGGAACTGGACAGCCTGTGAAAGTTGCTGTTCTTACACAAGGTTGGTATTCCACTCAGCTCTATGAATTAAGCTGAAACTTAACGTTGTGTTATAAGCGGGATTTGTCTTTATCGGAGGTTCCTAGGAACTATTGGATTGGACTGTGAAGGAGAAAATGGTCAAGAGTCGAATCAGTTTTGTTAATCAATACCATATTATTGACACTTGCAGTAGTGGTCTAGCATTTGCCTGTGATGTTGTGGACTGAGTTATCATGAGGCATTTCAATTTTACTTCTTGACTTGGCTATCAAAGTCTTAAGTTGCTTTATGGTATCTAATTGGCTATTTGAGGTAACGGAAGATTAGTCTGGACACTTTCAAGTACATTGTGTTAGCAGGTCTTGGTGACATATCCCCACATTTGGTGATGGATAACCCTTTGATGGGACCTGAACTATGCTGGAGTAGTGATCCAAGTTAAGGGCTACAGAGATGACTGTTGTCATAGGAAAGTAAAAAGTGGCTTCACCTGTGGAGAGCTCGAAATTGATCTGTTACTTTTTCAGCTGCAGAAAATTTTCAGCTCCAGTGTCGGGTTATTAGTGTAAGGGCACTTGTATTCTAGGAGAAGTTTTGTCCTACCTGCATAGTTTTGGAAATTTTGAATGCTTGATGCATTCTCTGGGACCTGGAACTGTCCTTGATTCTGTATGCAGTTTCGACCTCCATACCCCAGATGAAGTGATGTTAAAGCAATTTGTTTTTGTGGAGCTCATGTATCACGTGTAACTTAAACTGTCTGCAGGTGAGAAGTTCGATGAAGCAAAAAATGCAGGAGCGGATTTAGTTGGTGGGGAAGATTTGATAGAACAAATCAAAGGAGGATTCATGGAATTTGACAAATTGATAGCATCTCCAGATATGATGCCTAAGGTTATGTATTCGAGGATGAACATAGTTTACTTGATGTTGTTTTAAATCTAGGCTATTCCCTCAGTTCACTGTATGTCGTGTTATCTTGTCTTGTTCCTTATCACCACTACTACTTGCATCAGGTTGCTAGCCTTGGTAGGATCCTGGGACCTAGAGGACTCATGCCAAACCCAAAAGCTGGTACTGTCAGCACTAACATACCCCAGGTAAACTTCGAGATCCACTTTTTCAGGAATAGAAGACTCCTGTACTTAGTATGCTTGTCCTTAGGTTCTGAAATCTGAACTGTTCCCAACCCATTTGATGTTCTTCTCTAACTTGTACAAAAGGGAATATAATAAAAGAAATTGGATGAACCCTAGATATCTGCTCATCATCGTCGACTGGCCACTGGGTACCTAGTGAACTTATATGCTGGAATTTATTCAGGCAATAGCTGAATTCAAGAAAGGGAAAGTGGAATATCGAGCAGATAAAACTGGGATTGTTCACATACCATTTGGAAAAGCAGATTTCTCCGAAGACGACCTCCTCGTTAACTTGCTTTCTGCTATTGTACGTCCCATGTTCTCATCCTCATTTCCCCCCTTCCATGCAATTTTCTTCTTCTTCTTCTTCTTCTTCTTTTCATGGGTTCTTTTTGAGGGGTTGACTAATCTCTACGTCAATCATCTTTTTGCCAGAAATCTGTAGAAGCAAACAAGCCGTCGGGTGCGAAAGGAGTGTACTGGAAGAGTGCTCACATATGCTCATCAATGGGTCCTTCCATCAAATTGAACATACGGGACATGCTTGATTACAAGCTTCCATCGAGCATCTGATTATTGTCAGACACCTGTATATGATGCGATGCAAATATCTCTTTATGGGGCTTGAGCCTTGCCAGTTAATGTTTCGTAGAGATGGTAGGTTAGATAGGAAAGTGAGGCTAGGCATGCAAAGTAAACGAACAGTTCACTAAAAGAAAGCGTCTACTTAGAGGCTTATATATGTGTCTTCACCATGCTCGATTGTTTAGTCGCTACTCGCTTTCAATCTGTCCAGTAGCGAGAGAGTCTGTTGCTAGGCATATAGGTTATCTGTATTCTGTACTTTATGCACTGCGGTTCTTTTCGTGTTGTGCTCCTTCAGATTGATCTCCATTTCATGACCTCGTGGAGAAAGTTTTTGTCATTTATTTTCTATATTATTATTTTTCATTTTAACATTTTTAAGTTACTAATTACATTAAAATAAAACTAAGGATTAATACCCTAGTTTGGTTTGAAGTTTAGCATAAGTGACAGTTCTGGCCCCAATTTTCAAATAAGACATTATAACCTACTTTTGAAATTATTGGACAAATTTGACCTATAAGACAATTTGACTGTCAAAATTAATGATCAACAATTTTTCCCATCAATGACTCGACATTTGTCGCTATGCAACATAGAAGCTCAAACCGTAATCATTTCAGTTGCTTAACCAATATAATAAAATCTATTTGATGCAATTAATCACAACAAGATTAATACTCATGTTTAGGAAAATGTATAACGCATAACATTTTATTTTTATTTGAGGGTTGACTTCTGTATTTTACTCATAAAAATTATCATGGATAAAATGTTGTATTCTATTTTTTAGCAATGATAGAAAATCATTAACAATTGAAAATGAGATATTTTTAATTTTCAGTTTATAATATGTTTGATTATTTTTTATAATTTTTTAAAATAATTAAAATTCAAATAGCATGAATTTAGTTCGTACAAAATTCTAAACTGTTACATAATTTGACATGTGATTTTGTTTTAAAATTTAAAAAATGAAAAAGTAAAGAATAATCTTCTTTCGTATTTTAGAACACGAAGAATTTAATATTTTGTTTGTACAAACTATGATAAATATGTGGATCACAAAAGTTTTATGTTGAAATTTGTAAGAAAAAAACTACTATAAATATCTGAACGAATACACAATTACCACGATGTACTAGAAAAATAAAATAAAAATTGTGTGCTTACTAGATTATCAAGAGATAATAGCATGGTGTAAAAATGATGATTCTCTAAGGTAAAAATATAGTCATAATCAATGAAGTTAAAAACGCAATTCTACCTAGAAGCGAAAAAGGAGTAAAATCGTGTTACCTATATCTATTTAGCATATTTATGCTTGTTATCCGGTATATTGCGATATTAATTTGGAATGGTACCCTAATGTTGCCAGCCCAGTTATTCTGCTAACCGCATAAGTTGTTAGTATATACTAACTAATATCCAAAATGTATGAACTAGTATCCAAGTCTGCTGATTTTACTAAAGTATCTAGATAGCACAGACTAGTATTCAAAACATCACAAACTAGTATCCAGATAGCAGATACCAACTAATATCCACAATCAACCAACTAGTATTCAATATGGATACTCTTTTGTGTTATTTGGATATTAATTATGTGTTGTATGGATACTATTCTGTGTTGTCTAGATATTAGTTTGTGAATTTGGGATAATAGTTGATTCATGGTGGATATCAGTTAGCAAACCTTTAATACTAGTCTTTGCTCTCTAGATACTTTAGTACTTGGATACTAGTTCATGTATTTTGGATATCAGTTAGTATCTGCTAACGAATCTTCAAATTAGCAGATTAACTTTCCCCCTAATGTTGCATGTATGTTTTTTTACAAAACAGTTAACTATGGTTGTACCACAAAAGACCCCACCACAGATGAGTCTGGTATGACCTCCGGTATAGTTTCACAAACCATGAAAATTTTATGTTACTCATGTTTATTTTAGGAGCGAGATTCAATTAAGGAACTCCTTGTAAATGTCGTCATTTATACCACTAAGTTAAATGCAACTACATGCTTTATGTATAATAGTTTTGGATATATAGTTACAAGTGCTAAATGTTCTCTTCAATGAGGTTTTTAGGAAATTGCTATTTTGTGTGGTATGTTTAAATTAAGTAGATTCTTCTATTAATTTTGACAAAAAAATGTTGTTAACATTTTCTAATGAGTTATCTAAAAGTGATATCTTACATCTTGACGTTTATCAAATTAGATGCTTATATATTTGATACGAAGACAATTGAGAGGTAGGGGTAGTCTTCAAAGTTCAAACCTTTGTCGGAGGTGGATTGGTGGTGGTGGTGGACTAATGGTGAAGGGGAGCTTGGTCTATCGTAGGGGTGGAAGTTTGGTTTGCGGACTGCGGATATCCGCAAACAGCACCAAATCACATATTTTGTGGGTAACCATACCCACAATTTGTGGATAGTGGGGAAGTTTGGTTTGCGGATTGCGGATAATCCGCAAACCGCATCAAATCGCATACTTTGTGGATAACCATACCCACAATTTGTGGGTAGGAAAATATAAATTTTTATGGTTAGTGGTTAACCACTATCCACAACGGTTAACCCACAATAACCACACTAAGTATATTTATTAATAATAATTTGTAATATTAAAGTATGTGAAAAGTAGAATGCTACAAATTCAAGTAACCTCCAAAATCGAATATGTACTTATTTTATAAAACAAAACCAAGTCAATACATCGTGTTCGTATGAGATAATACTTTCATTAATAAGCATTGTCGACGTGGTATGTGTTTATTTTATAACAAAACAAAGTCAATAAATATGGTTTATAGTTTATTTAACACTTTATTAAATTTCTTTTATGTAGGTTTTGTTTTTGTGTAAGAAGACGCTAATTCCATAACTAGGGAGAGAATTCCATTTATCCCTAAAAAATTCGAATAAAAAAGCAAATGAGTCATGCCGCTGATAAAGATGCTATGTATATTTATATTAGATCTCTCCAACCCATACTCGTTATCACTATGCATTTCCTAAAGAAAGTGAAGTGACCTGTAAGTGAGTGAAGTGAACCGAGGAGATGGAGGGAGGTTGACTGCTTAGGAGGTTTCGAATACCGAATTCTTGCTCGTTCCATGTCTTGGGCTTCTTTACTTATTCTTAACTCAATGTGTGTGTTTTCCCGTCACTTGACCGATAGATTTATCATATACGAATCCGAAGGATGAAGGAACAATATTTTTTGTGGGTATCCACATCCAACCCGCAGTGGTTAGTGGTTAACCACTACCCACTGCGGCGCAGGTTGTGGGTAGCATAATTCTATTTTTGTGGGTGTGGTTACCCGCAAAATGTGGGGCGGGTAACCACACCCTCTCCAATTTCCACCCCTAGTCTATTGTATGAGGGGAGGGTTATTGGTAGGGTGTTGGGTGGGTCTAAAGAATAGAGAAACAAAAGATATTAAAAAAATTATGTATTCTTAAGAGGCACTTCGGCAGACACATCATTGATGATTTGTCTATCCATTAAGTACTAACTATGAACATCGGTCAACACTAGTAAAAAAAACAATTATTACTAGGATTGTCATACGAATACTTGTGAACGAAAGTAGCATTTTCTCATAGTTGGGGTGTTGTAGACAGAATTGATCATTTTTCTAACATAGGACCTACCTAAATAAAATTTCTGGCTACGTTACTACTTTCTCCTATCAATATCTCAATCGGCCACCACAAGAAGTTATTTATAAATAAAAAAAATTGTACTTTGAATTTCAGATTTTATCACTATAATTTCTTTTATCTATGAACTCTATTGTCATCGTTTTAATTTCAGTTTTAACTAATTACATTTTGTTTCTACTTACAGTAAGTTATTCACTTTTAGACTTTCAAGTGTCAACTAATTACAAATTTCAGTTTCGATTTCAGTTTCATTAAAATTTCTTTGGATTGCATTACCTAAAAGATTGATTTTATGCCAGTTAATCACCAATTATCCGATAAATCTTAAATCGCTCGCTAATCCGGGTCATTGTCCAGTCCAATTTCAACAACACCGGCTTTAAGAGACCTGATCACGGTATTCATGTTTGTTTGACCATTAACCGGCTTACTCCCCATGTTTGTTTACAGGTGAAAAGCTTTGGCCAACACCACCTACTGCTATTGCGCCAATTGTAGCAGACTTATAGAAGAGGCGTCATGTACCTCTGTAGTTCTGCTAAAAAAAACAGGCCATTCAAGTTACAAAGACTGTACATAGTCGTGGTCAAAAGTATCCATTAAGGCTTTACATTAAGGATCACAGTTGAGTCAGGTCAAGTTGTCGATCAACTCGTATGATGCCTGCACAAAAACAGAAACAGTAGCAGCATTCATATTTCTCCTTCAGCCAGTTCTTTCTTTCCTTAAAGACTACCCAGCCATCTCCACATGGCTGACAGATGGCTGGTGGCTTTAACACCGACTTCACACTACGCATCTCACAGCACTCCAACAGTCGCCACTGCTCCATACTTGATCAACCAACAAAGGAATATTAAAACGAAACAATCAGCTACCAGTCAAGACTTCACAAACAATACCCATAGAAACAGACCCAGAGTTGCATTGGATTGTTATTTCCTTTTTGTATACCTTTTGAAGGTTGTTCAATCCAAGGTCCATTCATTATGTTCAAAATGCTGCATGCCTCACTGTATTCAAGGTCGGGCAGCAATTTCGGGGTCAGCAGAAAACACCTGGCCAACACCCAATAAAGCAAAACCAAATTGCTAGTCACCATTTGCCGTCATCTTCATACAACATTGAGCAAGTTATCCAGAGGGCAAGAGAAACATTTACTTACTGCGGTGTATTTGGTTGGCTGGCAGCCCTCACCAGCTGTTGAAACATCTTTCTCTCGTTTATTGGGTCCATTCCTGTAGGCAAACGTAAGAAAACAAGGATTAAAAAATTTAATTTATTCTTTGATAAATAACTGTCTCAAGCTGGCAGCAAGCAGAGAGAAACAGAGAGCATCATACACAAACCTTGATTGATCTCGTCCACCACCCTGAATGGGCAGTTTGTAAGGTCTTGAAGTGAAACAAGATACAGAATTGTTGAAACAGAGCGTTCCTACACATTGAGATTTCAGCCATGAATTATTAACATGATAATAGCTATCCTGTTGAAGAGGTGAATGGAATTTAGTTGATTAGTTACCCCTCCAGATTGATGATGAGCACTGAGGACCTTCAGTTCTCCGGCTTGCCTGAGATGCAATGTAATTATGCTTCATCAGAAATAGATAAGCTACGTAGAGCATACTTAGCTTGACAGAACTATTGATTGCAAATAAATTATCCAACATATGACCAAAAGGAAGAAAACTTATCCAACAGTTAGTACTCAAAAGTTTCAGTCGCGATCTCAGCCGGACCCCACAAGTGAAAAAGGACTTCCTTGCAGTTCAGTTAATTAAATGTTTTAAATAGCCAGTCCCATGCGAAAAAGGGCTTCCTATAAATTGCCATCACCTGAACTTCACTTTTATTAGTATTCCATATTGATCAAAGTCCTTATCGTGCTCATCTGTGAAGAAGCAGAATCAGAAGAGAGAAATAGACAATGTAAACACAATTGCGTGAACTTGTATAAGGAAAAGCAGAAGAAACTAGCTCAATATCTTCTTACCCAAGGAAACTTCCCCTGCAACAGCCATCTCCTTGAAGTTCCGGCTGAAAGTGTCATTTATCTGAGCAACCAGATTTCTCAACGTTGGAAGCCATCTTGCCTGTGGAGATTTGTAGAAGCACATCTAATATCAATCAACATGTTTGGAAGCACCAGAAGAGAAAACCCAAAACGAAAGCTAGTTCAATGGGCAATAAAGCACATCTAATATCAATCAACATGTTTGAAAGCACCAGAAGAGAAAACCCAAAACGAAAGCTAGTTCAATGGGCAATAAAGTCCCTGAAACTTGTGCTGGTCATTATAACCATAGCACTTGTTAGAGTTGCAATTCATCTGTATTTACTTCTGCAGACAATTCAACAGTCAATACCAATGTAAGTTCATTGGATAGGAATTCCTGGAACTACTTCCTACTTCAACAGTAACCTTTTGTACCAATAGTATGTAGCGTAGCCTATGGAGTAGCACGAAACCCAAGCTAGAAACTTACAAGTTAATGTACCAAAATAAAGTGTCATGCGTCTATCACAGTAGAACAAGTAAATATTAGTCAACATAAAAGTGGATTCATAATTCAATAAATAAACAGCTAAACTCACTTTCAGTTCATCTATTTCTTCAAGACACCTCCTCTGCTTCTCAACATCTTCTTCGAGCTTGCTTTCCATTTTTCCTATCTGCGAGTTACTAGCCATTATAGATGAGATTTTGCTAGTTATAGAAGTTCAGGACGAATGAAGAAATAAAAATCTAACCTGCAACTGACGATGTTCATATTCTTCCAACACATTTTGGTTCAGAAAAAGGATGGAATTAGCTTGGGAAGTGTTATCCTGAATAGCAGCTCTCAATTCTTCAATAGTTGTGGGCATCTGCAAACAATGATGCAAAACTATTATCTTCTTTGCAAATAAAAAGAGCCACAATTTCACAAGATGACAGAATTCTCTCATCACACAAGAAACTTCAGAATTACATTATAAACGGACCAGACTACCACGGATCGTTGAAAACTGCTCTAGTTTCCAGATAATACTAATTTTGACCATTATATTAAATAGACGAGCTACACATAGAATATTTAACAGAAGCAGTCTTGTACAAATTCACAGTCAAACTATCATAATACTTGGGTATGACAAATCGAACTTCCAGGTCAAACTTTTAATCCAATATAGAGCGAAAAGAAACCTCAAGAAATGCCTGCTCAAGTTCTGGAGTGATCACTGCAATTGATTCAGCATGCTTCTTGGCAACTATGAGTTGTTTCCGCTGTTGTTCTACTTCCTCCTTACCTAAATATATAAAAACACATGAGTCAGTAACAATTATGCAATATTCAGCAACTAACTGTTAAGGTAATCAACAATATTGGTCACAGTCCTGTATAGAGAAGGGATGATTCAGCCCATGTGAAAAAAGCATTCCAAAGTGGAATTTTTAGTTAGACACTCTTGTTTGTGGAAGCTACAGCATGAATAGCAAAATTAATTATCCCATGTTCACGTCTAGAGATTGAGACTGATAAACCAAGCAGAGCCAAATGTGTTGATACTAAAAAGCTACCACGGAAATGTTATTGCTAGCGTCATCTAGGTACTAAGAAATGTGATTGCTACGAAATGTGATTCCAGTAGAGAGCTCCCTTCACTTCTTTCTACAGATACCTATTCAAAATCCATGATAACCTGAAGCAACACATATGTGGCTCATCCAAGATGAACAGAAATCAAATACACTTACTGTAGACCAACCCCTAGACATCTCTACATGTTAAGTTTTCCTTTTAAGATAGTACAAGGTTAACCCTGCTACTGGAATGACATGAAGTATTGAGGAAAACACTCAACAGTTTTGAAGTTGTGCTGCTGCGTCCTCTGCAATCTTTTTGTGCTCCTTCAGATTGACCTCCATTTCTCTGAGCTAAAAGTTGCAAGAACATCAAGGACAAAGAAAAACATGATAGCTAAGTAAATAAATGAAAGATTTCAAATATGATGACCAAGTGCACAGACTTCCTTGCAAACAGACGAAACTAGAGAAATGAAACCAAAAGCAAAATTTGTTCCAATAAGAAACAATAGTAGCACAAAAATATTCAGATTCCAGCACAAGATTTCGAGTATGCATATTAGTGTATTAGCACATTGTACTAGGAGGTATTAAACTCCTTGCTAAACAGAATTATCCAAGTTATGCCATGGTCTGAAAAGAGGCTTTCATATCCAAGCTCTGGCTAAAGGTTATCCACTGATTCCAAAGTTTGGGACCAAGAACCAGTCGAAGTAATGACATTAAGGAAACATCAGAATATTGATGCAATTTAACATGGTAAAGGCAATACTTCATTTCGGGCAGAGATCAAACATTTGTTGCCAAAATAGAAAAGAGATTAAACTTTTGAACCATTGACCATCAGGAATAAATTATCACAAAAGATACCTTTGCATCAAACTCAATGGAGGACATGTGTAGTGAAGCAGAATTCCACTTGCACGAAATTGCATCAAGAAGCACATTCTGTCAAAAAGATGTACTGATAATTCAATCACAAAATGCAGTCAAAGAATCTTCCCGCTTAAGTTATCTAGCCATCACAAAAACCTGAATATTAGTATCAAGGACAACATTTGGCTTGCAGAATAGTACCAAAACCGCACCCCAAAACCTTTAGCAGAAGTAAATTTACCTTCAAATTCATTGCGCATTGTAATCGCTGAATGTTAATCTTTCTTGCATCATCAATAAGATACGCAATTTGCCTACTAAAGTCGCTCCTGCTCTTCAGAGATGCTAAATCTTTTTTCCTTTGATCTAACCAACGGCAAATAATTAGAATCCAATCATACATGTGTCAAGTAACACCTTGACAAATAAAGAGAAATTATGCACTAACCAATTTTAATTTGCAAGTCACGGAGTTTTCTCTTCTCAAGCTGGGCCTCATTGTTAATTCCTTCCTAAAATCATAGAGTACCAGAGTTTTCCATGATCAAATATTATTTTATCTAGCAGATTAATTAACAATATAAGCATACACATCACAAAGGCTCAAGCAGGTAGCACAAAGCCACCTCTCTTCTGTCCTCTCAACATACCCTTTTTTTATTTAATTCGGCTTCTCGGTCCTCTAACAACCTTAGCTCCTTCTGAAAGGACTTGAAACTTTCATCTAATTTATCAACTTCTCGCTGTAGCTCACGTTTTCTTTCAGCCAGTTCCTCTGTTTCTCCAGAGCCTAAACCTACAAATGCATATGGTAAACACTAGCAAGTCCGCTAAAACTTATGGGGCCATGTGGTGCTTAGAGACAAACTTGAGAAAACATACTCCCATTGAAAAGACGTGAACGGCTAATTGGCTCAACAATCGCAGTCACGTGATCACTGTATCTAGATTTCTTCCAATGGTAGTGACCTTCTGGAGTCCACAGATCATTGATTTTCAACTCTGGGACCTTATCAGCCCTCTCCGCAGATCTGTTGGATCCAATGTACTGTTTGCAGAAGATATGCACGCTAGTTAATTTTCCACAGAAAGCAGGCCATTGAAGGCATCCTTTACAGCACATAATAAAGCATTAAAAAGAGTTCAGAAATCATACAGCAGCGTCCAGGCCAAACTGGCCAACCAAAACTTCCTTTACAATGTCAGGAGCATCAAAAACTTGATCAAGTCGTGAGTAGATCCCAAGTTCACGCATCTGATAGAAGAGGAAAAGCAAATAAAGACAGCTGAGTCTCACTCTAATGCATTATATAGTTATGGACGCAGTAAGATCATATATACCTCTCTAGATACTTCAAATGACTGTTGGCCATGACTTCCATTTTTCACGTAGTTCAAAATGGGAACATCAAATCCCTTAAGTTTTTTGACCAGAAAATCACGATCACTGGGGTCCTGAGTGACGAAAGCCTGGGAAACAATAAACAAAAATTAAATGAAACAGCTATCCACCAACTCTAGAACAGAAATCACATGCAGCAATAACCAAAAACATTTTTTGGTATAAGATTTTTAGGATTAAAATCTCCACTAATTCAATTTCTTCATTAGTTTATTCTTAGTATGACTTGTAATGAAGTTTTCATATCAGTGATAACAATTTATCATAAAAAGAAAGTACATAGGAAGCAACTGAGAAGAAGAAAAAGTACCGTCCATATGTACTTTGGTACACGACCTTCTAAGAAGTCGGCATGGTCTTGTATTGAGACATTAACCTGGTTGCAATTTGAGACAGCCATGACAGTGGGCAGGGAAAGCGATTATAAAATTCTTCAGTACAAACATTAAACCTATAATAAACTATCTTACCTCAAGTGCAACTGGACCATAGACATGCTTCTTCAGCTCGTGTTGATGCTGTCGCACCAAGTTATAAGCATCAACAATCTTCTCAGATCCAGAGGTCTTTAACGCATACAAAATCTTATTATTGCTATTCTCCATTTCCTTCAACCTGACAATGAGTAATTACATGCAATGCAGTCAAAATCTAGATTTTAAGTAAAATCGAAAACTGCGGTAGAATCGAAATCGTAGATTAAAATCGTAAAATCGTAAGATTTTAAGGTTCATATTAAAATAAATACTTAAAACACTAGATAGTAATAAAAATGCATATCTTGAATAACAATCAACCACATAAAGCATAATTACTTCCCAAGATATGTTTGTTTGCTAAACAAACACAACTAATCCATATATTTTTCTTGTACATAATAGAAACACACAAATAAGAAACATGAAACATTATAGATATCACTGTTAATTAATTGTTAAGAGTAAAAAATCACATAAGATCGTTAGGATCAACATTAACATCACTTACACATCATCGTCATCATCCTCAACCTCACCCTCACTCTCATCGTTTTTATTTGTTTAAGGACTAATATCATTACTCTTATGATCACTTGAAGTACTTTCACCATTAACCATATTTTCTTAATTACCATCATCTGGAAAAGATAACTCATTGATTGATGCATTCCCTTCTTAATTGATAAAAGGTCGGGTTAGTGGTGCTGAAGGATTGAGAGATGAACAAAAGCTTGCAATGTAATGGATATTTGGATTATTGTGAGGGTGGTGGGAACAAACTACAAGCTAATTGGGAGGGTGGAAGATATCGTTGATGGAAGGAGTTGGGCGCCGACGTGCGAAAGAGAAAGATACGAGGAAGAGAATGAAAATAAATTGAGGGTTAACTTTCAGGTTGGGGTTGTGTTGTTCATTATGTTGGGTTGGGGAAAGTAAATTTGACTCGGTTCATGGGCATAACCCAACTTGACCGGCCTAATTTTGATCCAATTTATATGAACCTTGAAATCGTACAAAATCGTAGATTTTATGGATTTTAGAGTTTTAAATCGGGATTTTATGGGATTTTAAGGTTCAAAGATTTTACAGTAAAATCAGGATCGGAACCCATAGGTAAAATCGTAAAATCGTAAGATTTTAAGATTAAAATCGGGATTTTGACTACATTGATTACATGAACGAGCTGGTCAATAAAAAATTTAATGCTTAACAGGAATGCAAGATAACTTTTCATGTTCGAATCTTGCCTTTCTACATGCTGCTGTAGATCTGCTTTCTTTTGAGACAGATTTTTCTCCTTCACCAATTTCTCTGCCTTTTTTCCATTGATAGCAACTTTTAGTTCTGAAATTTGAGTGGCCAATATACCCTGCAAAGGAAGCAGCATGGATAGGGAGTAATTCACACCACTATTGTAGCATCAGGGAATGCTCAGGAATTGATTTGAACAACGGGAGCTTCTTTGTTACAGCATACAGGTATGTTGTATGTCTTTTTTACTTTTAAGGAATTTTTTCCAAGATTTATTTAAACAAGATGCAGTCCAAAATATTCATTCACTAGCACCCAAGTATGATGAAGTCTTTCTAACGTCAAGAAAGTGCTACTTGATGCAGAGAAATTCAAATCTTACAAGCACATCCTTTGGAGGTTCAAAAATAGGGCAGTTTTGAAGTTCAATTTCAGCAGCAGCAAGACTCTCCTCAGCTTTTAGTATTTTTTGTTGATGTGAGGCCTCTTCTTGACTCAGGTCTTCCATTTCATGAAATTTTCCTTGTAATTTCACCTCCTACAGGCATGTATGCAAACAAAATGCAGCAGCAAATCTCAATATAGAAATAGAGGAACAGGAAGAGACGGAGACCACAACTATCACATACCAAACGGTTTGCCTCATCCTGAAGCTCACCCCGAGATTTGGCATTAGCCTTCATAATCTCGTCAGCCTTTCTACACTCATTATCCAAAAGAACTTTCTCGTTCTTTTTCTTCCTGCAAAAGTGAATTATTAGACAAGATCATAAAAATTTAAATCATGTCCTTTTGCCTTATCCTGACTTGCAAAACATTTATTCTTTAAAACGCAAAACATTTTCTCATTTGCTACTAATTGTAGATAATATGGGACAAAATTGGTGGAACACAGAAAATGTATATTCTGTCAATTATTGGCAAGCGGTAACTGAAGAACTAAATACTATCCTTCTCAGTCAATCAACCTTCAACACTGGACGTGAAACTGTGAATTACTAAAATCCGTAACAGTTCCAACACATGTGACCAATTTTCATTGGAGCAGAATATTATTAAGAAACTTAGCATGAGAGATGAGGACGATACTCAATGGGCTCACTGAAATGCCTCAGATTTTTGGCAGTGTCCTTCAACTTCTTCTCTGCATCCTTTTCTAGATTTTTAGCTTTCTCGTATTCAGCTTGTTGCATATCATACTCCAGCCATGGCAATTTCTTCTTCATCAATTCGGCCTGGAATGAAAGCATGAAGTAGTCAGGAAAATAACTAGGAGGGACGGGACAAGAGAGGAGGTGGGATTGCAGCTAGGCCACTCCCAGTATGCAGACCTTTGCTAGAAGTTCATCTCTCTGTCTGACACGCTCAACATCTTTTTCAAGTTCCGCATTCATGGCCCTTAACTGGTGAAGAGTTTCTCCGTTTTTTTTGACAGCCTAGCATCAATACATCATAAGAATCTTTTTTTTTTTTTTTTCATATAATCCACATCTTAAGAATCTGGATAAAAGGGCATTATGATTATTTCCAAGAAATAATTTCTTCAACTAACCAGTTCAAATTTTTTGAGTTCGCGGCTTTTCTCGACAAGAGCACAGTGTTGGATTGGAAGTTGGGGATCACCAACAGCCTTTTCAGTCTCTTCTAGAAGTTGTACAGGGCTTAGCTTCGCAAATTCACAGACTCTGTCTTGGGGCAAGAACTGGAACCCAAACGTAATCCCAATAAGAAAAACAGAGTTGCTAGATACACAATAAAACCAAGATTAATGCAGACAGAAAGAGCAAAATGATTGCCTTGCACTTCAGCCAAATATAGACAGAAAAATGTCATGGTTAGTGGTATGATTTCACAGGAAAGAACACTAAGATCAGAAAATACAGAATTATATTCTAACTAATGACTAGGAGGACTCGAGTATACTTATTTATCGGACTTGCATTAACAGGGCTGCATTCATACCAAACACAATTTTCAGTACTTACTTGAGTCAAATTGTTAACTTGGATGTTGAACCTTTGAATTATTTGAGAAACTTCCTTCTTAGATACTACCTTTCCTGAAATTGCCAAATGATGGATTAACTACAACAGAATACATCATAAGCATTATTGAATGAAAGATGACACAACGTGAATTGCTCAATCCATCAATCATAAAAGTATTGCCAGATAAGCTTCTGTAATAATAAGAGAAGATGAGCTAATTTCATATGCTACATGGATGAAATGGCAAAAAAACTGCATTACTAGGCCAATTGAGAAATAAAACTGAGATCATGAAAATGAGGGAATATTTGCTTACACAGTTGCTGGAAGACAACTGAAAATGAGAAAGGTTCTATTAAGGGGGAAAATCAAGGGAAACCCATAAACTAGTTTTGAATGTTCAACTTGGTAAAAAAAAGTTGGCCAAGTTCAAGGCAAATGGTTCAAAATTAATTCAATCTCTTCTATGGCAACCATCAGACTCTATCCAACAAAAGTTAATTAGCCAGGCTGATTACTGAAGCACAAAAACCTGAGGTCAGAATATAGATTAAATATCTAACCATTAAATAGCCACTCTGACTTGTTACGGGCATCAATCTTCCTTGTGATGGTAATTTTCTCATCATATGTGCTTCCCTTCAAAGATATCTTGATGTACCCAGAGTCTTCTCCGCGCTTGACATATGCACCTACACTAGTTGCTCTGCCCAAGAGCTGAAGATAGGGTGTTACAAAGTTGAAAAAAGTACAATAATTTTCTAACTTCACATGGCATACTATGAAAATGACTCTGACACCCAAGTATAAACTCCAGAACTTCAACTAACCTGAGGCTCGCCGCAAAGACCAAGAGCAATGGCACACACAATGGAGCTTTTACCCGACCCGTTGGGTCCAATTACAAGGTTCAGGCGTGGCGCTGGCTTGCAGAACAAATAGTCATAAGTCATGAAGTTCGAAAGCTCCATCTCAATGATACTCCCGGGCATGTAACCATCTTCCCCTCTGCAAAGTAAGAGAAAGAAGAGCATTTAATCAAAATGTGAATTGCTTCAAGAATATATCTTTCATGGGTAGGTCCTTATAATACACACTGCCAAACACACTTTTTCATTCGATAAAATGTGCTTCATACAAGAGGACTAACGCCTTAGCATTCCCGAATCGGCAGTTAAGCAGGAAAACGGCATTGCATTGTGAAGCGAAACCCTAAAACTTATCAGTGAAGGAAACAGTGAAAATAAGATGCTGCATCCAACCCCACTCTCCTCCAGCACACACAAATCTGTTAAAATCAGAACGTTTGCTCCCTGAATTTCGCAACTCCAGGCCCCGGCCGTCAACCCTACGCTAAAAAAATGCCAAAGCGCGAGTGGGAGTTGGGAAGCGAACCTGACGGGCGCGGTGGGTTTGCTTCGTTTTGACGGCGGCTCGTCCACCGGCGGGAGCCGCTCCATTTCCACTTTACGCTGAGAAGTCCCTGCCATCCGGAAGAGCGTGAAATTCTCGGGGACGAACGAGAGAGCAAGAGAAATAGGGTTCTTGAGTAGAGAGAGAGAGAAGCAACTGAGCCTCAAGGAAGGAGAATTGGCGCGAAACCTAAGAGAGATTATTAGGAAGAGATTTAAGAGGAGGCAACTCGGGCAGGTTGGGCCCGTATCAATTGATTCCGACGGAGTGGGGCCCAATAAGTATGGGGTTTATTTTATTTATTTATTATTGAACTATTCTTTCGGGAGCCGAGATATTTTGGTTCATGGTTGTCACGTCGGCCGGCGTGCCACTGATTGAATCTGGTTCAACCTGTACCGTTCATAAAACCGGTATGACCGGCATGATTGATATACGAATCTCTAAGTAAAATGATCTTATATTAGTGAATTTATTTGATAAAAAGTAATTTATTATTTATTTTATGTGTTAAAAAGTTAAATGTAGATGTTATTTGGTAGATTCAAGTACAAATATTTAGGTATTGATGTTAAATGTCGTGCTTAAATATGGGTATTTGTAAATTATTTATAATATTGACCGGCATGAACCGGCACAAACCGATATGTACCAGCGGTCGAACCATTCCACTTGCTAAACTAACACTGGCACAACCCAAAATATGAAGACCAATTTCACCGACTAACCCATCATCCTTTTTCAGGAAGGATTTCTGGAAAGCGGTTATTATTCTCCACTACTTTTCACTCTCCATGGCAATCGCCACCGGCCCACCACTACCGCAATTTGCTCATCAACCTTACTTCACTCTCCCGCCACTATCTTCCCATCCTCGACCACACCATAAGCACTCCCCATAAGCTCGTCGTTGATGGTGTATCAAATTTGTCGATATTTCGTATTATCAAATACACGTATTATTTGATGAGATCGATATTTAGATTGGAATTGAATTTTAAATGTTACTTAATATTAAGAATTAAGATATTGGGATCGATATAACCGATCACAATGATCGATACCGAGATATAAGCTAGTGTGTATATTATCTCTCCCAACTAGACTCCTTCACTCACTACTATCATACTCTTAACTTCCAAGATGGTCACTTAATTATACATAGTTCATTCCCTCGCTATTTGACAACTCATACCAAGCTCATTTTGTTATTTGTAATATGTTTATGGATTGCTTAGTCGTCCCATGTTTTAATATGTTAATGTGCTTCTTAGTCACCACATTTTCTAGTTTGTTGTTATTATACTTTAGAATTATTCACATTTATTTTGCACGAGTTTTGGCACCATTGTTTGTTTTCTTTATTTTGAGAATGATTTGTGGAGCTGCTGACAGATGAATTTGCGGTTGTATATTTGATTTGTAATTTTGTAGGGAATTATTTGATATTTGGTATATACTAATACCAAACAATATATTAGAGATTTTTTTCGATGAATGGCAATTTTTATTTCAATAGAAAAGGCACAGTACTGGCAACAAACTCCTCTGCCAACTAAGAATGACATTTACTATGTAACTCTACTATAATCTAATCTATCGAAAAGCAAAATCATGAGGGAATACAAAACAATTGCCTTCTTTCACATTTCCCGCATACAAATCATCGCGTACCATCGAGCCACTTCATTTTTTATCTGAAAGATCATCCCGTCAACCTCCCTTCCAGCTCCACCATACATAATCTTGCATCTCTCTCGTCACAACCAACTCACCAATGAGCACCAGGCCACCTTCCCCACTTGAGCTGTCACTTCCCATCCTTTCAGACTGCGTACAAGCCACCTCAGTTCCCCTTCCAAAGTTTGAGCAGAGGTATGGCCAAATCTGTGGGAAAACATAAAAGCAAAAAGTTGACAGTAAACAGGGCAAGAAGCAAAGATGTAATCCCCGGTTTCCAGAGCATGACCACAAAACAAAACACATAGGAAACATCTCTATTATACCCCCATCGGATCATCTTGTCTACATGCGAGTTTGAGCCATCAACCAAACTATAAATATGTTCCTGAGAATGTTTTTGCCTTTCCATAGCAGCCAAAACCACTGCACCTTATGCTTGGAAGGCCTCAAGTGCTCCCAGACCTGCTCAATTTTATATCTAGGCATCACTGGACTAACTACCAAGATGCTTATCACTTTGTCTTTAATCTTCATCATCTTATGCCGGTTCCATGATCCGGCAGAACCCTTAAACGTCCAAACATCCCTCTACTTAAGTCGAAATTCTTTTAACCATGCCACCCACAGTGATGCATGCTATAAATACATCATCCAGAGGTTCTAGTTCCATGACACCAAGTCCCTAACACCAAATGGTCCTTCAACCTTAAGGTAGGCAAGCTACGACCAAGCCACCACTACTTTCAGCCTTGTCCCATTATGGACTCCGATCCCCACAAAAAGTCACTACATCTTCTTCAACCTCACTTATCACTATTTTTTGGAGAACAAAAACCGAAAGCCAGAACTGGTGTTATGCTATAGACAACAGAAGATCAGTTCAAGCCTCCCTGCATAACTCAAATCCTTTACCTTCCATCCGGATATACTGGTCATAATCTTATCAAGTAATGGTTTACACGCCTTGACTGACAACTTACCAGCAATCAAAGACACTCCCAAGCACCAAACTAGCAACTTCCCCGGTTTATACCCATCTCTTCTGCCATTATAGTTTGAAGCTATGTTGGCAAATCTCCACAAAAATTTCACATTTCCCCGGATTTGTCTTCATCCCAGACAACAAATAGAATTCAACCAACACCTTTTGCACATATTGCACTCCATAATTCGATCCATAAGTGAAAATTAGGGGTTATAGCTAAAATATGCCCCTCTACTATGACGATTTATCCAACATGCCCCTCAAATTTTTTTTACATCAAATATGCCTCTGTAGTTTGAAAAAATTATCAAACATGCCCTTCTGTTAAAATTTCCATCCAAAAATCGTTAACCAAGGCCGAACTTTGGTTTGGGTGACACAAATGTCTAAAATATCCCTAATAATTTCACTTTAGAATTTTTTTTTTGGTTCTTTTGTATAGCCAAATAATTCAAATAATATCATTTTGAAGAGACCCAGAGAAATAAAACGGGAGACAAAACTGACATTTTCACTCCCATTTGCAGATGTCGGGTCGTCTAAATTTCGGTTCAACCATGATTGACGATCTTTTCAATTGAAAGTTTAACATAAGGACATGTTTGATAATTTTTTTGAAGTATAGGGGCATGTTTGATGTAAAAAATAGTAGAGAGGCATGTTTGATAAAACATCATAATAGAGGGGCATATTATACCTATAACCCAAAATTAGGAGATCGTTAGCGAAACATAGATGAGTAAGATGAATCCTCTTACACATAGGTTGATACGGTAGAGAGTTCCTTTGCGTTGCTACATCAAGAAGGTGAGATAAGACTTCCATTAAGATGGCGAATAAGTATCGGGACAGCCCCCCCCCCCTTCTAAGCCCCTTCTTGCTTGGGAAGTATCCCACCAACCCACCATTCAAACTCACACTAAACATGTGAGTGGACCTACACAACCAGTTTATAAAGACATGGGGAAAGTTCATTGCAACTAATATTTTAAAAAGAAATCCCCAATCAACCTAGTTGAATGACTTCATGAGATCGAGCTTCAACGTACTTCTCTGTGATATATTCTTCCTATTATAGTTATGAACTAACTCATGGGCCAGCAAGATAGTCTCTCCAAGTAAACGACCCGCGGTTTGATTCTTACTTATTACATAAGGTAAACAGGAACTTAATTGATATGCTAGTATTTTGGCAATTCACTTATAAATAGTCGAACAACAGGAGATAGGTCTATAAAATAGTCCTTCAGATTTATGCTCCTCCACCTCGATCTCATCATGCCAATCACTAAATTCTGCCATAGGACTAGAAAAATCAGGACTATTTAAAGCCTCATGAGGACCTCTTTGATATGAGCTGGGTTCAAGAGATTCAAACTCGCTCAACAATCGAAATACGCAACACTCCAATTTTGGGGTTTTCTAGGAGTTTCTTAAAGAACACGAAAAGTAAACACAGAACCGGTCAAATATCTCGAACCTGTGGGAAGGGTCAATCGGTATAGTCTATGCTCTCCACGACCAGATGTGATTTTCTGATTGATAAGAGACACGTACGATCCTCCAGAATCCTCAACGGAGAGTTTGCACAGACGTTAAATACTTGAACTAAAAAAACCTTTCGATTTCTTTCATGAATAAAATTTGGTTGAATGTCTCATACGGAAGAACTCAAATCCTTTTATAGTAGGAGAAAAATAAACCTAAAAACCTGTACAAAACGACATTTAACAAAAATTAACCTGAATCCAAACGTAAAACAGAAAAACAGCCGCCAACACACGTCTTCCCAATCCCCGATCAGTCTCCCTCTGATCCTCAATCAGGGGTGTTTCTGCTCGTGGCCATGGGCTCTTCTAGATGAGATCCTCGGTCGTGAAAGTGAATCCCCGGTCGAGGATTGTGATTCCTCCATGAAATATTCCCTAGCCAGCCTAATACCTCCCCACGAGCCTTCGTCTTCGGTCAACGCGAGGTATACATCGTGGTAATGGCTTGCTCCTCAAACAAGCGGGAAAATGAGTAAAAATGTTAAGCGTAAAAGTGTAAGTTTTTGTGTATACTCTAATTAATCTTCAACAAATTATCTGTCCCATTTAAAAAATTCACTACTCATGTAGATAAACTAATTTGAATTCTTTTAATAGTTGATCAAACGTACAAATAAACCAACAATTCAATAAGGAAATAATGAGGTTTCTTCGTTCATAGAAAAATACAACCAATTAACAACTACACCTCATTATGGGCTGTTTTGTTTCAATTTAGATGTCAAATTAAACTGGATTACTGAGAATTCTTTATTATGAGGTTCTTCATCCATTGAATGTGAGGAATCAGATTATTAGTAAATATTAATCACTTAAGTAGCACATCAAACAATAAAGTAATCACTTGATGAAGTTATGGTGTAACATCGGAGTCCCTCTTGAACATGTCATATGTCATGCTTACATCAAGCTGATGACATTCCAATATTTGGAAAAATATCTGGCACTTCATCCATAGAACCTCACATTCATGGCCAAATATCTGGCACTTGATCTAACCATTTGGATCATCTTTATGATGTCTGATTCGTCGCGAAATATTGCTGGTCAGTCAGGGTGCGACCTTGTTTTTTGGCAGCTGCGCAGTTCGTGCCGGGGAGGATTCTAGAAAAACCAACCGTTGGATTGTCCTCAAACTTTATGGACTGGTTCAAGACTTGTTTCGGTTAGATTTGACCATAGGGATCAATGATCTGAGCACTGGTTTGACGAGAGACATTGATAGAGAGGGTGAAAAATTGGTTGAAACTCCTTCAACTAGAAACGTATAAAATCGTATCAGAAACGCATTGTTGATAGTTTTTTTTAACCGTTTTCGCATTTTTATAGTGTTTCTTACGTTTTATCCCGCGTTTGTGAAGATGAAACTGAGAGGGGCAGCTGTAAAGCCCTTACCATGGTACTTCCTAAGTGGTTGGTTGAGATAGACCCAACATATGAAGGAGATGCTGAGGTTGCTGGCTTAATAGCTGCAGCTGCAGTGAATTCTCAAGGTCCCTCTCTGTGGTCTTTATCCTTTGGAATCCTTCGCTATAAGTGAGCATTTGTCGTGGGAAGTATTGGTCATATGCGCTCTAAGCTCTTTCACTTGTTTCATTCCTCCCCTGTTGGGGGGATATTCAGGTGCACAAGTAACTTCCCATCGCCTTAAGGCTCACTTCTATTGCGCGTGGAATGAAGTCTGCTGTGATGAATTGGGTTGTTGCCTGTGATGTTTGCCAGCGTTGCAAAACAGAAACATTTGCTTCACTGGGATTACTGCAACCTCTCCATATTCCTATTCGTGCTTGGCATGATATTAACATGGATTTTGTGGAAGGACTACCTACCTCTCATGGCAAGCAGGTTCTTCTGATAGTGGTGGATCGGTTTACTAAAGCAGCTCATTTTTCGGTCTTAAACATCCTTATACAGCATCTGAGGTGGCCCAAATCTTCTTCGATGGATTTTTAAAATACCATGGTATGCCCTCCGCCATCGTTTGTGACAGAGATGCGACATTCATCAGCCATTTTTGGATAGAGTTCTCAAGGCTATACAACATACTGACCTCCACTATTCCATTGCCTACCATCCACAGACAGATGGCCAAACTGACAGGGTTAATCGCTGCTTGGAAGACTACTTACGTTGTATGACTTTTCACAGACCTAGGGGCTGGATGGAATGGCTTACCTTGGCAGAATGGTGTTAAAATACTCACTATCACCTTAGCCAGCAGATGTCACCCTTTGAGGCTCTATATGGGTTCCCTCCAACTCTTTTTGTTTTGGCTCCTAATTCATCCACTTCAGTGGGGGCTGTGGAGAAGCGGAAATTGAAGCATTATCAGCTAGTCCAATTCCTAACTCACAACATCACGAGGCCGCAGAACTGACAGAAACAGTATGATGTATGCCGATCGTCGACGTTCTGAAAGGGTATTGCAGGTGCATGCATGACTGGGTTTACATTTGTCCACAGCCTTATCGCCAGGGTTCAGTTGTGGTGCGCCATGGAAATAAGTTGGAAGCTCGATCGTTACTTTGGCCCATATCAAGTTCTGGACAAGATTCGTGTCGTGGCATACAAGCTGGCATTACCACCAAGTTCCAAGATACACCTAGTGTTCTATGTTTCTCAGTTGAAGCTTTGCAAATCAACTATGCCTCCTGTTGCATTGCAACCTCCGGAACAAGATACCAATGGATTCTTAAAGCTTGCTCCAACTCACATCTTAGCCAAAAGGTTTGTCAATCACGACAACCGAGCTCTGACACAGGTCCTAGTGTAGTGGACACACCAGCATCCTAAGGAGGCTACATAGGATAGGGGTGGGCAACGGGACGGGACAGGATACCCCTCCCGTTTGAAACGGGTACCCAATCCCATTTGGAGAGCAATGTTCATCCCATGTCCTGCTATAACAATTAACTTGGTTTCTGAGTAGTTTTTATGGTGGTTAACTAGTCATTTCTCAATGCATTCAAATTTTTTGGTTTGGTTATGAATGAGGTTTGGCCGTTTGGGAAATTGAATGGCGCAACAATAGGCAAGCTAGGGGATTGGACTGGGCTTGCATATTTGGATTAATGGGTTTAACGGGTAACCCGCGGGTACCCAAAGTAGTGATTTTTTATCCAAAGTCCCATCCCGTTAAAAAAATTACGGGTATTTGGGTACCCGTAACCCTAAAAAAACGGGAGGGGTACGGCTATACCCAAATACCTGTTTCCCGTTGTCCACCCCTAACATGGGAGGACTTGCACATTTTCAAGAGGCAATTTCCCGCCTTTCCAGCTTAGTTTCAGTTTGAGGACAAGTTGTGTTTGAAGGAGAAGGGTTTGTAACAACCTGTGACAGCTGGCTAGTGATGACGTGTAAAGTAGGCACCAAAGTATAAATAGAGAAAGACGGTGAGACTATTGGTCATGTCTTAAAATAAGCTCAATTGTAACTACTTTACTTGTATCCTCTTCTACCATCTCTTCAATATAGCTCGCCAGATTTATCTCAAACGAGCCTTACAAATGCCCTTCACTGCACCAGAACAATTTTGTGTCCGCGGTGCTACAAGGATCGTCTCCCACCAAGCTTACACCATAGTGACGACTTGATCTCTTTCAACGCTTCACTGCACCAAAGGGACACCAAAACAAGAAACTCAGTAGCAAAAGTAGTTTTTCGGTGCCGGCGGGGACAGAGGTTAGATATGGAAGTTAGCATCGCGTTTGAGAGTGGGACGGACACCAACTAGGATTACTATAATACTCTTATTATTATTGCTGGTAGAGTGCCAAGTGCTAACTATCCGATCCCGTACAAAAAATATTATTTGAATTTGGATAAAATGTAAAATTTTGTTATAATTTTTTATTGTTTATGTGGCTTCCACGTCAGCCAAACATACTAACTCACTAACGATCAACGATATTGAATATCTAATTTGACGAAGATATACTGGCCGAACCAAATTAATAGGGTTAATTGCAATGTTAGTCACTGGAATTACTAAAAACATTCATGTTTAGTCACTGAAAATATTTAATTCCACCCATGGTCACTAAGATAAGTTAAACATTCCAAGTTTGATCACTCTCCGTCAGCCTCCATCAGCACCGTCAGTTTTTTTGCTGACGTGGCTAACAGAGATGCTGAGTCACCAAAATTTCATTTAAAAAAAAAGTAAAATCAACCACCACGTCATAATATCCGCCAAGTCATAAGACCCAACCTGAAAATTGAACCCATCAATTAAACCACCCAAACCCATCAAACCCACGCCATTAAACCACCAACAATGAATAAAAACCCAACCTATCGTTCTCCTCTAGAAAATCCGGCGCCGACCTAAACCTCGACCCTGCCCACCACCATCTCACGCCCGACCTCTCTAGATCAATGAACCCACCACCATTTCTCTTCAATGGCACATGCAAGAGGAAGATGCAGAAATTATTCGCGACGCTCATCGGGCTGGCATAGCAGCTCCTGGCATTCATCTTCACCCCACGTCAAATCCAGATCTGACGATGATACCTGCATAGCAGATGTAGAGTGGAAGGACGGTGGGTGCTGCAATTCCGAATGCTTGCGTTTGAAAATATGACGAGGGGAAGAGTAGGGAAGACGAAGAGGAGGGAATCACGGATGCTGGTTAGACGCCGTTCGCGGAGGGAATTCATATATCGATTTCAAGGGGGGTTTCAGTTGTGGTTCGAGGTGGGAAGTTTACAGTCAACTGATGGATTTAGATCTGACGAATTGGAGGGGAGAGCGAAGCCCAGTTCGTGCTTCCGGACTTTGGTTGAGCGGGGAAGAAGAAGACATCGCCGGAGAGGTGGCATTCGCGGACGGCTAGAAGAACGGAGGACGTTTGGAGAGGCATGCCTTCTTGATAATCTCCTCGCAGAGATCTTGCGCGTCAATGGCGATGACACCATCCATAGTCTTCTTCTATCATCTTCTTATGCTACTCTAGAACCCCAATTCCAATTCAATATTCCAATTCAGAATTCCATATTCCAATTTGGAGGCAGAGGAGGAAGCGACAGTGAATTTCAATTCCAAAACCAAGCCATCAACGAATGATATGCTTTCCCCTACACAACTCAACTCCTTTTTCCTTTAATTTTGCCAGATTTGTTTACTGGTTAGGATTAATGGGTCTCTCTAATCTTGTTTCACTTCTTGTTCTCTGTGGCAGTTGTTCCTGCTTCTACGACTGTATTGATTATTGAAGGTTGCATGCACTTCCTGCCGCCGCCGAAAAGAAGAGGAAGAAGGTGAAGGGTCGGGTCGGGTCATTAGTTGGGTTAAGTTGGGTTGGGTTTAATGACGTGGCGGGTTGAGTTTTTAATTTTTTTGGTTAATTTTGACTGAATTGACACTTATGTTAGCCACGTCAACAAAAAACTGACGATGTTGACGGAGGCTGACGGAGACTAACGGAGAGTGATCAAATTTGGAATGTTTAACTAATCCTAGTGACCATGAATGAAATTAAATATTTTCAGTGACTAAACATGACCATTTTTAGTAATCCCAGTGACCAACCTTGCAACTATTCGTCGCCCTAATTGTGTTAAATTTAATCTAATGTCCTTTAGTTTAATTTTTTGCTTTTCGAACACTGAGATAACCAAATGATCAAAAAACAAAAATCGATTTTACAGATAAATCCAAAAACAAAAATAGTACCCTGTACATATTACAATTGTTCTTCTGAGACAATAAAAATTGACGAAATACATACACACTACAAATAATAACTAAATACAGACTAATCAAATGGGTGGGAAAACAATCCATCTCTCCTTCTTCTTCAATTACTGGGGTCGGTTAGCATGCTAACCCCCCTTAGGGGTTGGAAAAATGACACCCCCTAGTATATTAAATACAGCTATAGAATTTAATACACACATTAAATACACATTAGGAATTAAATGTACCATATTAATTATGAATTCTCTCACTATTAAATGCACATTAGGAATTAAATACACACATTAAATACACATTAGGAATTCTCTCACTATATTTGATTTTTCCTTTTTCAGCAGTCTCCGACCACCAGACTTCCTCCGACCGCCACACTTCTCCGGTGAAAATCCCATCGGCAGACTCCCTCCGACCACCTCCAAAAAATATACCACTGCACTGATACGGTGTACCACTGTACTGGTAGATATACCACTGCACTGATACGTTGTACCACCGTACTGGTAGATATACCACTGCACTGGTAGCGATATCAGTGCACTGGTAGCAATGTCATATATGAGTATCAGTGCAGTGGTACAAATACCAGTAAAGTGGTAATTAATGTGATGTATTTAATGCTTACTTTGTATTTAATAACAAAACATTTATTATGTTTACTTTCATTAATACTTGTCAATAATTAATGAAAAATTGACCAATTAAAAGGGGGTGTCAAAAAACCAACCCCTTAAGGGGTTAGCATGCTAACCCGTCCCTCAATTACTCGTTCATGAACATATGGGAAGATCCTCAAGAGGTGGTTCCATTCGGACGGGTTGAACGACTTGATTGTGCCCGGGACGGCCTTCTTCCCCGAATTAGGACAAGCGGCACTGTCGCCGGCGCTCTTCGATGGGTTCCTGACCTGAGAAGAAAACCCCCAAAAGAACCTCCGGCCTTTGCATACTCCAATTCTCCAAACTTCTCCATTTTCAGAGTTCTGTTCCATTCCTATTACCCAGAGAAACCCATCAAACAAACCATGAAAGTTCCCCCCTCGCCATCGCCGCCCTTCAGAACTATTCTGGACACCAATTCTGAACTGCGACGCCTTTGACGAGCTCACCCTGTCCCTGGAGTTCCTCTACACAAATCATTTTGCCCAGATGTAGGGGTGGGGGGTTGGGTTTGGCGTGAGATGAGACTTAAGGATTGTTTGTGTAGTGTTCAGTTAGAAATGAAGGCTAGGGATAAATGTGTAAATTGAATGGGTTTTAGGGCGATAAAATTTAAATTTTAGGACTACAAATAGCGATTCAGCAAATTAATTTATACACTGAGTAGTTTAAAGGTCGTTTGCTTGTAGGATTTTAATGAGAGATTTTGTCTCAAAATCCCATATGTGTTGGATTATGGTCCAAATCCATGTTTGTTGATAAAAATGAAGTTGACCTAAATCCGTGGAGCCCACAAATGTGGGATTTTCTTTTGCTCAAAATCCGTGGACCCCACGGATTATAAAATCCCACCTCATGTAGTAAGATTTTGAGAAGTGCCAAAATCCGTGGACCCCACTAACTCTGAATGACCAAAGTATCATTAACAAAAAAAGAAAAATACTTTATGATGACAGGACTAAGGATAAGAAGGTAAACTTATCATTTAACCCATAAATCCAAGATAGTAAAGTCCATTTTGAAATTCAACAAGCAAACATGCAATTTTTAAGATCCAACGTAAATCCAACATAGCAAAATCCAACATAATCCTTCAATTCCAAAATCCAAGGTTTTACTAAAATCATTCCTTTTTTAAAATCCCACAAGCAAACGACCTTAACAGACCGTTTGGTACCAAATGAATCGAGAATTCATTTCATTGTAAAATGAATTACCGTGTATAATTCATTGTCAATGAAATCCTATATTTGGTATGTTATATTCAAATCATTGAAGTTTCGTGTAGAATTCATTGTCAAATGAATTTATGTGTTTGGTATGTTATATTCAAATCATTGAAGTTTCGTGTAGAATTTATTGTCAAATGAATTTCTGTGTTTGGTATGTCATATGTATAAGTAATTTAGTTAATAAAACATGATAATCATGTCATTCTATTGTAATTAGTAAATACTTGTGGAATTCATTTGGAAATTCTATCTCAATTCCTCGGAATTGCTATAACTAGTTCTAATTCCGTAGAATTCAAAATTTAGAATTGAAAATAATTCTTTTTAATACCAAACACAAAAATATTTCATTTCAAAATAAATTTGTCAAAACTTATGAAATTCATTTATAGCAAGTAAAACTCGAGACCAGAATGTTTAATTCAAAACCACGACCGAAGTATTGGGGCGCGAGTCAAAACAAAAACAAAGCGAACAACCGAGACAAATAGTAGAACATCCATGTGCTATCTGGCCGGTGCTTGTTTGACCCATCCCTCGTCATTTTCTGCTCCATCTCTATAACATATGATCCTCCCTTACTGAGGGGAATTCTTCACTTCACTTCCCATCCCAGTTTCCGTCAGCTGTGGCTCAGGGAACCCACCATGTCCAATCGCAGCCCACTGCTCTTCTTCACTACTCTGACAGTCATATCGATTTTGTTACTCCAATCCCCAGCAAGTTTCGCGAGCTATGGGGGAAGAGATGCTATACAGGCTCTAGTTACCCGTCTGGATTCTCAAAGGTTTTCTTCATCAGTTCAAGAAACTGCAGCTTATGGTGTTCTGAGAAGATTGCTTCCCCTTCCTGCCTACCAAAGCAGCTTTGTCTTCAAGATTGTATCTAAGGTAATGGAACAAATAGATTCATGTGTTTTTGCAGTCTTCTTTTGCTTGATAGTCGGTCTTGTTTCAACTGGATTTTGGATTCGATTCCTTCTGACGAGGGGGGTTCGATTCAGTCGTTGTCAAACATCCTGAAGTGAAGTATCGGATGGGAGTGAATTTTAGGTTGCTGAGAGTTAGTTAATGTACATAGAAGGACCGGGCCATATTTGTTATGCTGATCGATTTTCCTCGGGCATATCAGGATTCTTGCGGTGGAAAGAGTTGTTTTATGATAAGCAATCATCTCAAGTCCAGCCGGAGTGGGGCCGAGATAATGTATGTGGTAGGGTGCTTGAGTTGAAGTTTGGCAAGCTTTAATTATTCCGACATGGTTTCCTAACGCGGAACTGTCAACATTTGGGGTCGTTGCTCTTTCTTCCAGCATTAAAGGAACCACAGCAGTGGACATCGTATCAGGCTTGCATTGGTACATAAAGTATAGTTGTGGCGCCCATGTTTCATGGGATAAGACTGGTGGCATTCAAATTGCTTCAATTCCCAAGCCTGGATCACTGCCTCGTGTGAAAGATGATGGGGTAATGATTCAGAGGCCTGTTCCTTGGAACTACTACCAAAACGTTGTTACATCAAGTTGTAAGTCATGAATTTCTCCAACTCCAACCATCTAACCTGGGAGTTTTTATTTATCTGCATACATGGAGGATGTATGCTATCATTTTCCATGTTATTGATGATACAAGCATCTAAATTATCTTCGTCATTATGGCATTGTAAGGAACAAATAGCATTAACTTTCTGGGGTATTCTAAGACCTTGCTAGAAACCGCTACATTTCCCATGTTCTTGATGATACAAGCATCTAAATTATCTTCGTCATTATGGCATTGTAAGTATACTGTACTTCTAGGCCTTAAGCAGCAACCAACTTATGTTTCATCAAGTTCCTGTAAGGAACAAATACCATTAACTTTCAGGGGTATTCTAAAACCTTGCTAGAAACCACTACATGTTTAGTGACGGGTAGTGTAATGTATTTAACATGAAAGTATGCATATAAATGTGATATCTAATATGAGCCTCCTTGTTGCAGATTCCTATGTATGGTGGAACTGGGAGAGATGGGAGAACGAGATAGACTGGATGGCTCTCCAGGGTGTTAATCTGCCTTTGGCATTCACTGGACAAGAAGCAATTTGGCAGAAAGTCTTTATGGTTAGTTGTTGTTGTTGTATGTCTTGACATGAGACATGTCAGATCTGGGCTAAACAACTTCTTTCCTCTGTGTGCTTGTAACTGAAATCTTCTGATTATAAACTCGAACAAGAGCTTCCTTAACCTGTCAATGATGCGGATGGAGGGAAGTAATGCACCTGTGTCATATATGGTATATTTGACAAGTAGAAATAAAAATATGGGGTAGCAGCTACAGTGACTGACAGCAATCAACTATGTTGCCGATTTAGATTCCTGTATTGAATGTGACCACTGTATGTTTTGTTGATATGTCCTAAAGTTTTGCATAACTATATTCAGTTTGTCGTTGATTACTCTACTCGTCTATCATCTTGGATTGCAGAACTTCAACATCACCGCGCATGATTTAGATGGTTTCTTTGGTGGACCTGCTTTCCTTGCATGGGCTCGCATGGGAAATTTACACGGGTAGGTAACTTCACCTCACCTTGGAGGTTACCATGAATGCAATGCTCAATTATGTTCTTAGTATATACGAACGACGGGTTGGTCTAGTGGTAATACCACTAGGTTTGAACTTGGAGGTCCCAGGTTTGAATCTCTTAAGCAGTACCCAATCACAAACAAGTAAAAAACCTTGTATCACCCTTATCTATAAAAAATTATGTTCTTAGTATATCTGCTATGTTTTCTGAGCATGAAATTTTAGATTTTCGCACACAATCTAGTCTACCATGAGACGATATGGGAAATACAAACCTTGATGTTTGACATCACATTAGCAGAAGTAGAAAATTGTCTTCCATGAGTGAGTCACTATTTCTACCTGCGTCTATTTTTCATACATTACTATCTTAAAACAGCTGGGGTGGTCCTTTATCACAATCATGGTTGGATGAACAGTTGGTCTTACAGAAACAGATACTCACCCGGATGCAAGAGCTGGGCATGACCCCAGGTGCTATTCTATTCTTTGATGAACCTGTTGTTAGATTGGGTAATCTTAAGGTTTCTGGATATGTGAATTGCTCTCCACAAAGAAAAATATGGGTTTCGCTTTTCTGATATTCAGCATCAGATAAAGATATACAAGTTCATTATCAACTAACTGACAAACACCATTGCTACTCTTGGACAGTGCTGCCATCGTTTTCTGGAAATGTGCCAGCTGCTTTGAGCAAGATTTTCCCTTCAGCTAAGATAACGAGACTGGGAGACTGGTACCCCACTTGTGTTATGATTGCTTCTTCCCTATAGATATTTCATCAGTAGGAATCTCCAAATGGTTCACTTTGTTGAGTCTTTCTTGGTCCATCTATTCCTAGTATCTAATATTTATGTTATAATTTTGACAAAACCTAGTTTTTATGTTAATCACATTTCTTGTCTGAAGATACATCTTATCATCATATGTGGGTGTCTTGTTACTCATCATCAGACTTGGGAGATTCAATGTAGAATTCATCGGGGTTTTCTTATTCATGTTAGGAACACTGTGAACAAAAACCCACGTTGGTGCTGCACATACCTTCTTGATCCTTCCGATCCTCTGTTCATTGAAATTGGAAGGGCTTTTATACATCAACAGTTTAAAGGTATATTTACTTGCAAGTTTGTATTCCTCATGTGATAGAAGATTACGTCGGAGGTGTCATCTTCCTCTCTTTCCTTGGCATTGATGTCCAGGATAGGGAGCTAATGTCAGTTTTTCATTCTACTGTAAGCTGATTTGTTTCACTCGCTATTGATTGTCTTTCTCAATTTATCTTGTGATTATTGTTCCAGAATATGGAGATGTAACCGACATCTACAGCTGGTGAGTCCTTTGTTTCTTTGATGATATAATGTCTTGCCATCATAGGTTCATGTTAAGTAGCTTGGCAGCTTATTAACATCTTAGCCCGAAATTTTTTTAACAGCCGTGTATATATAGTTTAAAATCCCACATTCTAGTTTTTATCACTCAGATTAATTGAAGGAAAAACTGATGATGCACGAACTGGATGACACGCTTCTTGATGAACCTTTTCTAGATAATTTTTGGCCTCTAGGTTATAATTCGGGAGTGTAATGGATGTTATCATCCTTGTATTACCAATAGATGAACCACTGGGATTTACTTCTCGAGGAACTTAAGATCTCTTTTATCCATTTCTTTTGACAAGTGGAATACTGTTAAAACTTGTGCAGAAAACTTCCAGATTTTCACCAAGCTTGTAAAGGCCATTAATGGCGTAAGCATTGATCCAAGCTTCCGTTTTTTTATTGATTTGAGTATTCTTTTGCAGCGATACATTCAATGAAAATTCCCCACCTACAGATGACCCAGAATACATAAATTCTTTAGGTGCTGCTGTCTACCAAGCAATGTCTGCTGGTGACAAGTATGCTGTGTGGTTAATGCAAGTACGTTGTCCATCTTATCTTGATGTTTTCCATTAACCATCTTCTGCTATTCAACATTGAACTTAAATTCCTCTAAATGTCTTCAAGGGCATGACCATATTGCAATCTGTGTATCCTATTTTTCCTTTGAGACTAAATTCTCTTCATCTACTTTGTGTATGAGTTTTCCTTGTCCTTTCATCGTGCTCCATCTGTAATATCATCTTGTCTACCTGTGCGCAGGGCTGGCTTTTCTATTCTGACTCCGCATTTTGGAAGCAACCTCAAATGAAGGTAAGGAAACGGAAGCCAATTTTGTAGTAACATTAATTGTATTGGAATTAGAAACGTTTTCAGAGATACAAGTCATTAAATGTGCAGATTTTAGAGCTCAATGATCAATAGACCTCAAATATAAGGAAGATAGGGAGAAAAGAATCACAAGCTCAATTATTTCTTCTGATACTCCATCTACTGTTGAATTTGTCTGTCAAGAATCCTGCACTTGCCACCTTTGCTCTGCTGTTAGAATGAAACCTGGTTTTCTTTTAACTCCATTGATGCAGGCACTTCTACATTCCGTCCCGTTCGGCAAAATGATTGTACTCGACCTGTTTGCTGAGGCCAAGCCAATCTGGGAAAGTTCCTCTCAGTTCTATGACACCCCATATGTCTGGTAACTTCAATTTTTTTTTTTTTTTTTTTGTATACAATGTAAAGTCCCATCATATGTGTAAATAGGCTTTTGAACGATGGTTCAATATACGATTGATCTGGGCATCTGCCTTTGACTCAGGTGCATGCTGCATAATTTTGGTGGAAACATAGAAATGTATGGCATATTGGACTCAATAGTTTCAGGTCCTGTAGATGCCCGTGTCAGCAAAAATTCAACCATGGTACTCATTTGGATCTTTATTCAACTTGCTGTCACCTTAACCAGTTTATTTATAGGTGCCTCACATTCTTTCTTCTGACCCTGATTCAACAAGAAATTGCATTTTAGGTTGGTGTCGGCTTATGCATGGAAGGAATAGAGCAAAACCCAGTTGTCTATGAGCTAATGTCCGAAATGGCATTCCGGAAAGAAAAAGTTAAAGTTTTGGTTAGTTCCCTTTGGTGATCATCATGGAGTGTTAATGTAATTAGCAGTTGGAATCGGAACATGACAATTGTTTTGACATTGATGCTATTGCAGGAATGGCTGAAGACTTATGCTCGCAGACGATATGGTAAAGCAGTTCCTGAGATTGAGGCAGCTTGGAACATTCTCTATCACACTGTTTACAACTGCACAGACGGAATTGCTGTACATTCCCAGTCTTACCATGGTTACCTCACTACGTATTATTTGACATTACTTTATCGTAAATGGGCTTGATAAATGTCTTTGCAGGACCATAACACAGACTTCATAGTAAAATTTCCAGACTGGGATCCATCGGTGAACCCTAGGCACATCATATCTAAACAGGATGAGCTACATACGCTCTTTGGAGGGGGGAGATACTTATTCCAACAGCAGAGGAGTTCCGATTTCCCTGAGGCACACTTGTGGTACTCGAACCATGATACAGTGAAAGCTTTGCAACTATTTCTTGAAGGGGGAGATATAGTTAATGGCAGTCTCACTTACAGGTCATTGTTTTGGAGCCTCATGTCCTATGCATCTTGCAACCACTAGCCATGTTTCTGTACTTACTCATACAGTACATTGCTACAGATATGACTTGGTGGACTTAACCCGTCAAGTTCTGTCCAAGATCTCAAACGAAGAATACACCAACGCCATTCTTGCTTTCCGCAAGAAAGATATTAGTGCTCTGAAACATCACAGCAGGAGATTCCTGGGGCTGATCAAGGACATTGATGTACTTCTTGCTTCCGATGACAATTTTCTACTTGGGACGTGGCTTGAAACCTCAAAGGCACTGGCTTCAAATCCAATCGACAGTAAGCTGGTAAGATTTTCAGTGAATATCAGAATTGGTGTCATAGTCAATTATGCAACCAGTGATGTGGCTATATTTGTTTGTTTTGTTTAGAATGAGTGGAATGCGAGAACACAAGTGACTATGTGGTATGATACAACAGCAGCTCTTCAGAGCAAGCTTCATGACTATGGTAATGCTATTATGTAACTATGAAGCTCTAACCTTCCTTTTCTACATCGATATTCGAAATTTTAGCCTCGACACTAAACTTTATTTTCCCTTAATCTTTGACACAGCCAACAAGTTTTGGAGTGGGTTGCTGGAAGACTATTATCTTCCCCGAGCTTCGACTTTCTTTGGCCATCTGATAAACAGCTTGGAGAAGAATGAACAGTTCAAGATGGTGGATTGGAGGGTAGAATGGATAGCATTATCAAACAAATGGCAAGCAGGTTCAAAGTTCTATCCAGTGAAAGCGCGAGGGGATGCTCTTTCTATCGCTAGAGGGTTGTATGAAAAGTATTTGAGAAATTGAGATGATAACCAACTGAACTGGTAGACATGTTGTAAAATACGGAAGCCAACCAAATAAACTAATAGGAATACTTCTGACAGACTTTTGATTCTTGCACGGGCAAAGTTTCATGTTCTTTCAATATGTCAAGACTTCTAAACTAGACCTATTTGGATGAAATTACTAATCAGAATCCCGATCGAGGTTGTTCTACTGGTGAACTAAAGTTGGAGCTTGCTCACCGCTTGATCTTTCAGAATTTTTTTTTTTTTTTTTGAAGTTAAAGATTCAGAAAGATAAGAAATTTCTTCAATATTAGACGTATTGAACTTGTTAAGTTCTATGCATAATGAACAAGTAACCGAGTACAAATATGATCCCTCTTTAATACCTCCGAGGTAGAGGCGGCAATTGGATCGGATTCGTGGATTGAATTGGTGGATCCATGGATCAAATGGATTGGATCCAATGGATTGGTGTATTCATGGATTGGATCAAGTGGATTGGTGGATTGATCCATGAATCCAAATGACATCCAAGGCTTGGACCAAAATGTAAATTTTGAAAAGTTTAGGTACTAAAATGTCGTAATGAAAAATTTTAGGTACCAAAGTGTAATTTTCCAATGATATTTTTCGTATAAAAATATAAATTTTAGGTACCAAAATATAAAATATAAAAATATAGGTACCAAATCGTAATTTGCCATTTGGATCCATGGATTGATCCATGAACCCACCAATCCAATTGGATTTGGATCAAATGGATTGGATTTAAATGGATTGGATTAAGTGGATAATTTGGTGGATGGATTGGATTGGATTCATGGATTTGGATCCTAATTGCCACCTCTACTCCGAGGGGCACTATATCTACGTTTTGGGGTCGTTTGGATGGGGAATTGTGGCAGGATTGAGGTGCAGGATTTTAAAACAATCCTACATGATGAGAGATTTTAACCAAATAACACGTTTGGAAAGAGCCAGGATTGTGATCATTAGAGATTTTAAAAACCCACATATGTAGAATTTCAAAATAGCTAAAAACCCAAGTACCAAAACCAACTTCGTCGGAACGACAATTTAGCTTAGGCAAGCAAGCATTGATTTATTAGCGACTACTCACTTTGTTATCTGATAGGCATTAAGTTTGTGAAGTGTTTTCGAAGCATCCCAACACTTGTGGCTGTGGCTTATCCATCTGGCTCATACTGTCAAAAACATGATAGAAGCATTTCAAAGTTTTAAACCATTTTGAAAAGTTTCACCCTATGTGTTTTGACTTTGAGTAGGGATGGTAAACGGTAATCCGGTAAACGGTTTATCGTTTTACCGAGGGGGATTTCGGTATCGGTAATATCGATTTACTGTCGGTATTTACCGATACCATATTCGGTAAACCGAGTATCCCAAGTCACCTCTTGACTGCCGTTCTGTTGATCTAGAATAGATAAGAGAACGTACAAATATTCCTTGAATATTAGTAGTTCTAGTACTAAAAATTAGTTTCTTATTATTGAATTTCAATGAGCATCTTGTATTTCATAAAAATTGGGGGCAATATAATCCTTACGTAAAGGCCACCCTATCCAGCTTTCCGGCATTAAGATACATTTCAGACGCGGATGCTTATCATAAGAGATTCCCAACATATCATAAGATTCCCTTTCTTGAAAATCCGCGCTTTTCCAAACCCAGAAAACAGATGGAATTCTGGGCTTCTTCCTTGGGGCAAATACTTTTATACATACTTCTTCTGGTTGATCTATACCATACTCTATTCTCGTAAGATGATATACACTAGCTAACAGTTTTCCTCCCCACTCTATGGTCTTAAGAATACTGGTTTTAAGAATGAGTAATTGCCCTTCTCCGACCCTTACTGCCCAACCTGAGAGCGGACAACTAATGCATTCCATTTATTTATTGAACAGGTACTATGGTCGGTCCGCGACCCCTGGATGCCGAAGGCGTCCTTGGGGTGATCTCGTAGCTCATACGGGGTGGAGACGATGGGGTTGGTTTACCGAATATGGTATCGGTAAATACCGACGGTAAATCGGTATTATCGATACCGAAATCCCCCCTCCTCAAGCACGGTCAGATTATCACAATCCCCAATCTACAAAGGAATCGATCCTTCCAGATTCTTATTCCCACCGACTCGAATCACTTCCAGGCTCTTCAACTTCCCTATAGTATCGGGAACCCTGCCGCCGAGCTGGTTATCGAACAAAACCCGCTGCCCCCGACCTCGTTTTTTCGAGACCCGCTGCGCAGCCCAGGTTCTCCAGCTCTCCTCTTCTCGTCTCCCTCTCCTTCTGTTGGCGGCGACGACCGTCGAGCGATGGCGACGACAAGCGCGCTTCCCCAGCCATCCCCGACTCTCGTCTCTCCCAACTGTCGCCGACGCGCGACGCAGTCGCCAGCCCTTCCCAGTCCTCCTCCGCGGCTCCGCCACATTCCGGCTTCCCCGCCCCCGCCAGGCCGCCCCGCCATCTCCTCGTCGTCCTGCCCTCCTCGCCTCCTGCCGTCTGCCGTCCTTGGAGCCTGGTCGCATGGAGGTAAGCATTGCCGAATTAGTTTCCTGCTGTGTGTTGAATGCTAATATTTTTTGAATTTGACGTCGCTTCTCATGGTATTTTGGTAATACCGGTTTGTAACCGTTTACCGGTAATTCGGTAATCGGTAAACCGGTTACAAACTGGTATCGGTAATCGGTAACCAATTTGGCCAACGTCGGTATACCGAAACCGGTAAATTCGGTAAACAATTTACCGTTTACCGACCGAATCCCACCCCTAGTTTTGAGACTTGTGTATGATTAGTTGTTCATAATTGAGTTACATGTTGTGTAGGTAGAGCTCTCTCATGCTATTGTTGACTTTGTAAGTTCACTTATGATCCAATACCGAAGATCAACGGTTGAGTGATTATTCTTAGATCTTAGTATTCATTGAGTTGTATGATTGTGAGTAGCGTTGTATAGATTTCATAACTATAAGATCAAAAGGATTTCATATAGAAGAAGTCTTCATATGAGCCCAAAAGGATTCCGTGGAGAAGTTTTAGTCCACCAAAAGAAAGAATCTGTGATGGGTCCAACCGCCGTTGGGCCGCTACCAGACCTAACCCAACAAGCCGTGCTTGAAATCCACAGAAATATTACTTGTAGGCCAAAAAACCCGCATGGTGGTGACCTCTAGGAGGTCGCCGCTAAGTCTATGTGCAATGTGATCTTCTAAACTATTTCTTTCTTCATCCTCAAGTCAGAGAATCCGAGTCCTAATCATACAAGGAAGTTTTTCGGCAATGTTTAGGAGGAAAAGCATAAAAAACCCTTCTCCTATGTACTATAAATAAAAGCGTCTGGCTATATGAATAGGGAGTTGTGAAATTTACACACTTTTACCCTGCGAAAACTCGAGCAGGGAGCAAAATAGCATCCATATGAGAAGTGAATCTAAGGAGATGCATTCATCAAACGATGGTGGTACCATCATTCTCTCTTATGTATTCAACTAGTTCAAATTTATTGTTATGGATGTGAATTCTCTTGATGCTTTATGCATCTTCTCTTTATGATTTTATGAGATGCTTATATCATTAGATGTTTTAATCATTCGATACTTTAATCATTTGATGCTTGTGTCATTAGATTCTTATACCATTGGATGGCTATATTAAGTTATGCTTACATAATCTACTATGTGCTACTATGATGTTGTTTATAATGACATGATAAGTTGTTAGAAAACTGCTTTTATGTGATGTGTTATTGTCTTACATGTATGGAGTGGAATGATCTACTATCCATGCTTGTATGAGTTTAATGCTTGATAGTTGATACCCTAGATAATCAATGTTATAGACCATTGTTATGGTTCACAGAGGCCCTAAATAGTTAATAGCTATCCTTACTTTCTTCTTTGATAGATTAGTTAATGCCACAAAGAGAAAGCACGCATTTGCTAGTGGTAGTTCCTTTTGCATTTGGCGAAAGCTCGATTAGGAATGCTTCAATGGAAGGGATATGGTAACAGGATAGAGGATACATCGATGCATATCATTATTGAGATTGAAATGTATGTTCGTTTAGAATAAACTTTCTTATCAATTGTGTATCTTTACTTATCTTGTTATTACTTTATTTATCTATATTTGAAAGCCAACAAAATATAGGAAACCTAAACCCATCGATGTTCGTAATTGTCGTGTCTTTGTTTAAGAATAAAATGAATAATTATTATTAGAATAGTTTATGGAGTATAACCCTAGACATATTTAGAAATTTCATCCATCACTACATGCACAGATGTCAATATTCCAATTAGAGCTGGGTAGGGTTTAAACAATAGTGACATCGCTTCTTCCTTGAAAACGAGTTAGGCTCTCAATTAAGCCAACTTGTTAATAGGCAGAGGGTCATTTTGAAGAAGACTCTCCCGTCCATGACCTGGATGACTATACTAAGGCAACCTTGCTCACCCCGACACTCCTTCCAAATCGCCTCTAGCTTTCCAACAACCATTTTTGCCTTGTGTTCTTCCTAAGAATAAAAAAATCGTACCGTATTGGCGCTTGAATCGCAAATATCTATACTGAAGCCAAATATGGAATGGTACAAGCAACAATTGTAAAAAACTTGTGTCAGTGATGTTTAGAGGTTGAACCTATGAGCTGTGGTATTCTGAAAGGTTTTAATCATGTCAAACCACTCAAAAAATTTACAAAATTTTTCCAACCTCAAAACGACCTCATTTTGAGATTAAGTTAGCCGAAAAAAATGAAAATCAAGCAGAGCCCTCCTCTCCAACACAACCCCTAATTCTTTAAATTCGCATCCCTATTGAACAAGATCTCTCTCGCGCTCTCTCTCTCAATGGTTTGGATTCGTCCTAGTGATGCCGATAAACAACGATGTTGGAGATTTTCTTGTATTGTTGTGACTTGCGAAGGGACAAGAGAGACAAGTTAACTTGAGGGGAGAAATGTTTTCTTTCAGCCGATATATGCATTAGATTGCGGATCTAGGTATGTAGGGATAATGGATTCACAAGTTGGGATAACAAGTAATGTTTACACTTTGAAATTGGGTTTAGTTAGGCTTAATTTTCATATTAAATGGTGAAGTTGTAAGTTTTATTCAAATCTTCTTTAGTGCCTTAGTTCCTCATGTTTAGTTAGTTAGTAACTCATTGCTATCCTGTGTAATTCTAGTATGATAATATATTTTTTCGGTACGGTATTTTAACAAAATTATATTATTTTATTTCAAAATGGTATTTTAGCAGTATGAAATTGTTGAAACACTATCTTACCACAAAATACCTTACCATAAAATAATATAGTGGTACTATTTTTCAATTATTTGTTCTTCCACCATGATGACACCAAAAATATGATATTGTTATACCACACTAATTCAACTTGTATTTGCTTACTAAGTGCATGAATATGCATGTTGTAGACTCTAGGTGTGATCTACACATGTCATTTCTTTTTGGGTATTATCTTTCATTTTATGATTGAGTTGTTTTCTATTTTTCTATTTTCAAATATGGATCAGATTGTTATATTTGTCCATGATTGATTTAACGAAGTATCTAACAATTTAGCTTTATCATATCTTATGTCCTTTTTAAAGGGTGCTTGACACTTTAGCTTTTGTCCCCAAGCACACTCCAATACGATGTCGTTTTTTTTAATGAATTATGATGTCGTTTTTTGAGTACCACCTCTTGGTCTCTTTTTTCTTCCTTTTGTTAGTCTTTCTGTGCTTCTTGTTCTTTACTTCTTTTTAACACTATGTTCATGTGGAAAAGAAAAAGGAGGGGAGAGAAAGAAAAGGAAGGAAAGCACCATCTCCAAGAATCTTTCCATAGTTTCCGAAATTAGTAACTGTGACAAGATGAAGGAAAGTGGAGGACATGTTACTCTGTAACTCTACCCTACATTTTGGAGAGAAAACAACAATTAACCAACAAAATTTTTTTATTTATTTATTTGCCTTCTCTCATCTCTCCTCCATTTTAGTATAAACACAAGTTAATTATTTAACTCTTACATCATCAATAAAAAACAATATCTATCACTCTTTCCAATTTACTTTTATCTCTTACCTTTCCCTCCACTTTCCTCCATAAAACAACATTTTCTTTCCAATTCCCTCCAATTTCCCTCACCTCCAAATCTCCCCTCCCCTACTAATTTTCCTTCACCTCCCCTCCTTTTCCTCCCTCACTTCGAAAACATAGTGTAAAGGGTTTGGCCCCTTTCTTTATAAAGAGTCTTGTCGATATCAAGTAAAGAACAAAAAATGATATTTACTCATCCTAAAGGTTATGCATATTCATACTAGTTAGCATTATTTGTTATTGACAACCTACGCTTGTATTGTTCAACCATAAACACAACAACAAAAAAAGAGAGAAGCCACTAAAATACCGATTTCCAAAATTCATAGAAACAACCTAAAAAATATATGGTATAGAGAAACTGTAACAAAATATATGACCTCTAACACATAATTTTATCCGTCACTCTCCACGGAATGCGGAGTGAAAAAATGTGGAAAATGTGAACCTAAAAAGGATTGAGTTACTCGGTTTGAAAACAAATTTAGAAAGAAGAGGGAGAAAATGAAAGAAGTTGACTGGTATCTCTACGTTGGGAAACCTAAAAAACTGACAGGAAAAGATTACCGCAACTATAAAAGCATTTTCATTTTCTCTCCTAATTTGTGGGAATGTGTTTTTCTTTCTAGCGCAGGCATTTAAAGGCCCTCTTACTCCTTTTCCTTTTCCTTTCCCCTTCTTTTCCTTACCCTTTCCATTTTCCCTTTCTCTTTCTTGAAAATTAATAATTTCTTTTCAAGAAAGAGAATATATTAGTCATGGCTAAGTACATGGAGATCTTAGATGTTGGCATTAGGATCGTTGCAAGATTTCACTCTCATTGCCCTCAGACTGCTCGGCTGTACTACCACCCGCCCATTGACAATCACCACGAGCAAGGTGGAGTTAGTGTCAATTCTACCGGAGAGGCAACCATCAACAATAATTGCATCATCCGATCAGGTTCCTCTGCTATGTTGAAGGGGACAAATAATGTTGGTGTGGACTTTAGAGAGTTTGTTTTTCATTGTTCTATTTAATTATAAGGAGAATTAAGGTAAAGGGAAAATGGGGAAAGGGAAAGTGGAGGAGAGAGAGTTCAATATGTATAATTGAGTTTTTACATATTGAAATAGGTTTTTTGAAGTCATCATGCGCTAGGGAATGCTATTATAATTTACTATGTAGGATCTATATGTTAAACATTGAGAAATTAATCCAATTATACTATTCGTAATTATATTTTAATGTTATTACTCATGTTTAATTATAACAAATTTAAAAAATTAACATACAAAGGTTAAAATTGATTTAATTTAGAGGGTTGGCTTATTGTATTTTCTTTAGTCTGTAGAGTTGTGAAGACAAGGTAATATAAGAAATAATGCTTTTATTCACACCCTTTCCCTTATCAGGGTCTTTTTTTTTTATAATGGTGATCAAGCTTTCATTAACAAACAGAAAGAAAAGAAAGTTACAAGGCAAGGCAGAACCAAAGAGTAGTTCAAAAGGGCTGAACTAAACCTTGCTCCTAACCGGCCGAACCCAACAAACAGGAAAACACAAAGCAAAAGGCAAAGACCTAACGACCACAAACTACAACAAATCTGAAACAAACACACTAAAAAGTGGACCAAACCACTCCCATAGTGGAAAACCCAAAAGCAAAAGTCGCTCTCAGATAACCAACAGAAAAAAGAAACAGGGGAGGAAAAAGGATCAGGCAAGGCACCCTACACCCTCCAACCCAAGTGAGAGAAGAGCACAAGGGGGAGAAGAGGAAACCAACACCAGAGACAATACAAACCCTCCCACTAAAGAAGATGTTGCCGTCCCGCCAACCAACTGAGGCCTAGACCTTTATCCAGCTTGCCACAAGCAATAGCCCAATCCAAGGAATCTCTGACTGCCTTGCGAGTAACTCCTCTTGCCTGCAACCTCGTGCCTTTGAACACCCTCCTGTTCCTTTCGAGCCAAACCTGCCAACTCACAGCATGTAGAGCACCAAAACGAACGCAGCTCTCCACACTATCATCAACAGCCAAGGACCATCTTCGAATAATCGTGATAAAGTCACCCCCCGAGAGATCCAAGGCCCCACAGACCCTCTGCATTCGTGTCCAAATTTCCACAACAAAGCCACATTGGGACAGAATGTGATCAATGCTCTCCTCCTCCACTCCGCACAGTTCGCATGTATTCGCAAGCTGCCATCCTCTCTTCTTGAGATTATCCAGAGTCAGAATTCGCTTGTGAGCCACCAGCCACATAAAAGCACAGACCTTTGTTGGGATCATTTGCCGCCATACAGATTCAGCAGGAAAATCCCTCACTCCCTTGAACTTCTCGCCAGCTAGGATCCTGTACATAGAACTAACAGAGAAGTGGTTTTCCTGATTGGGTAACCAAACTGGCCTAGGAGGCCCGCTGGTCACCCTCTGGGAACCACATGAGTTAAGCAAATTCATCAAATTAATTCTCTCCCTTTCAGCCCCCCTCTAAGAGTGACATTTAAAGGAACATGCCACACAACATTCTCACCTGAAAGGGTCATGGCGTTTGAGACCGAGGCAGTCTGGGAGCTTGAAGCTGCGGTCACTCTAGGGAAGGAGTCAGCGAACACCACTTCGGGGATCCAGCTATCATGCCAAAAAGACACCCAATCTCCATTACCAGGATCAATATTCGCCATCTTCCAGAAACTATCATATCCCTTGGAGATGTTAGCCCACACCGAGCCGGAGAACCCCTGTCTGCTTCTTCCTGTACACCACACCGAGAGATGGTTGGGATATTTGTTAGTGATCAGCTCCCTCCACCAACTCTTTCTTTCCGTAGCAAACCGCCACAACCACTTTCCTAGCATAGCTCTGTTAAAAGAATCAAGGTCCATAATACCAAGACCCCCTTGAGTCACCGAAGCTTTGCATACATCCCATCCCACAAGTGGAAACTTCTGACAATCCCCAGTACCACTCCAAATAAATCTTCTTTGTATTCCTTCAAGCCTTTTGATCACCTTTGATGGAGCACGAAAGAGGTGAAAATAATAAACTGTTTGGCTTGAGAGCACAGCCTTGTTAAGAGTCAATCTGCCTCCCAAAGACAAAAATCTGCCTTTCCACCCCTCCAGCCTCTTTTGATACTTGTCCACCATAGAATCCCACAACCCGGCTGAATTTGGTTTGGATCCAAGAGGGAACCCCAAGTACTTCGAGGCATCACTACTCCAATTGCAGCCAAACACCGAAGCCAAGAAATCAGGATTTGGCACGTCGCCAACGATGATCATGACAGACTTATCCAGATTGATTCTTAACCCTGTGACAGCTTGAAAGCAAACCAGAGTGGCGATGATGCTTTTAACTTGCCCGAAATCAGCGTCACAGAAAATCAATGTGTCATCAGCAAAGAGTAGATTGGTAACCTCACCACCACCACTCTCTTCATTCATGCGAAAACCAGAAATCATCCCACTGGATCTGACCTTATTAATCATAAAGGATAAAACATCCATTATCAAAGTGAATAATCCAGGGGACAAGGGATCACCTTGACGCAACCCCTTCTCTGTACCAAAATAGCCTTTTGACTCTCCATTTATAAGGACTGAAATTTTTGGACAGCACATTGTGCCCTTGATCCACTTCTACCATCGTTCTGGGAAGCCCATACGGTCAAAATGAGGAACAAACAATTCCAATTAACGTTATCAAAGGCCTTCTCTATGTCCAATTTAAACATTAAACTGGCCTCCTGCTCTTCTTCCGACTATCCACCAGCTCAAAAGCGATTAACCCAGCCTCCCCAATCTGCCTGCCTCTTACAGAAGCATGCTGATTTTGAGTGACAATAACAGATCCAAGCCTCCTAGCAAGAACTTTGCTAACAAGCTTGTTAAAGCTCCCCATAAGACTTATAGGACGAAGATCCTTAATATCAACCACAGTATCCTTCTTGGGAACTAGACAAATGAATGAGTGAGAGGCACAAAACGGAAGGTATCCTGAATTAAAGAAATCACCAAAAGCAAGCATGATTTCCGGTTTAATTAGATTCCAAGTCTTCTTATAGAATTCCCAGGTAAATCCATCTGGCCCACGGGCCTTCCCACCATCACAATCCGCAATGCTTTCCCAGACTTCCAACTCCGAGAAGCGTCTGCTTAGGAACTGAGCTTCCTCGTCCGTGATCTTAAAACAATCGTACTGACTAGGGAAATGCCGCTTCTTAAGGTCTTCACAAAACAATCTTTTATAGTACTCGACTACTCCCAAAGCAACCTCCTCCCTGCCTTTGGTTACCATACCATTAATTGTAATGCTGACAATTCGATTAACTTTCCTTTTGAAGTTTGCCACCCTGTGAAAAAACCCAGAATTCCTGTCTCCTTTGCTCAGCCACAATTCGCGTGACTTTTGCCTCCACGAAATCTCCAAAAGATTCAAGACCTGCCCAATCTCAATCAGAATGCAGTCCCTTCTCCTCACTTCTTCAGTCGTCAACATCCTTTCTTCCTCCCTTTGATTGATATCTCGATTCTCAGCAATCAGATCATCAAGCTTCTTGTTCATATCCCCAAATACTTCCTTGTTCCAGACTTTAATCCTGTTCTTGAGATCCTGCAATCTCCGAGCCCACTTGAAGACCATTCCCCTTCCCTGAATCTGTGTGTTCAGCCATTCAGCCAAGGCCATATAGAACCTGTTATCCTCTAACCACATATTCTCAAACTTCCAAGGACGGTGAACCCTCAGACCTTCACCCCACTTGATCAGTAATTGACTATGATCAGACTCAATGCGATCCATCGCAACTAAGGAGCAGTCCGGAAACAAAATGTCAAAGTTCACAGAAACAAACACCCGATCGATTCTGGACAAACAATTGTTGTCTCCTCCTTTACACCATGTGAAACTACTGTCGCCTAAAGGAAGCTCCATAAGCCCGCACTCATCAATGACACTATTAAATTCCTCCATCAGATTGTGGTTTCGCCTTGCCCCTCTGTACTCATCATGACTGCGCACAAGGTTGAAATCTCCCGCTATGCACATAGGAGCCTGACACTGATGACACAGAGCCCGAATTTCATTGAGAAAATCAATTTTGTCCTCCCTATCTTGCGGTCCGTACACCACTACCAGATGCCAAATCTTTTGAGAGACTTTCTCTTGGAATTCCACCTCTAAAAAGTGTCTACCTTCTCTACTGGATAAAGTATTATAGAAGAGCTTATCCCAGTAGACAGCAATTCCCCCTGCACTCCCAGCAGCATTCTTAGCGATCCAACCTAAATCCGTCGACCCTCCAATACTCCTGATCTTGCTATCATCACAACTGTCCCATTTGGTTTCCACCAAACCCACAATTTTTGGTTTTCTGCTCCCAATTAGTCGTTTGACTCTGGCCCTCTTATCTCTGTTGCCCAAACCCCTCACATTCCAAACAATAGCTGCAGATTCCATTAAACAACAGAAGACAAGCCATCAAACCCCTTTCTTCTTGCTCCGCCTTGGCTCGACAGGCGAAGCCGCAATCGGCCCAATTCGAAGCTGCTCCATTTCTAACTTTGACCTACTCAACCTAACCTTCCTCTTATGCAGACTTCTGGCCTGGTCCCTAATTACTCTTTCAACGCCAGGCGATCCTCCTTCCCCAGCTAAATTAAACAAAGCACCCATTTCCAGACTAGATACTTCCAGAGTATTCAAATCAAAAGGAAAAGAGTCTTGGTTCCAAGTTCTAGACTGGCTATCAGGCACGCAAGACGGGGATGGAAGCTCACCATCATCAACAAAACCCACCTCATTCGCAGCAGAAGCCGAATCAGATTGCGAGGGTGAAGGCGGAGGCAAGAGAAGCTGCGAACCCATATGACTTTCCAACGAGATTCCCTTCCCCTGCGTGGACGAAAATCCATACTCCTCCCCAGTTCCTGGGACTAAATCCTGCAAATATAACTCAACAACTCCAAAGCTCTTCAGCTGCAGAAACATAGATTGAAAGGGGAGAGCCTGCCATTTCTTTTGACTTGCAACTGTGCTCTTCGACTCTGTCTGAAAAGGAAAACGGATAAGCAACGGAAAAAAATTCCTCGGTGGGGAAGAGGCCCATTCCACTAGAAACCGGGCCGCTAGACGAGCCCAACTGAAACCCTGGCCAGCAGACTCATGCGGCGCCTGAAACCCAAACCCAACCCCTAGCTCATTCTCCCTACTCCCATCCCTTAACATTACAGCTCTGTTATCCATTGATTGCTGGCCCAACTCACTCACTATTTGTCTATTTATAGGCCCAAACTTTCTAACCCATACCCTTTTAGCCCGCCCAAAAAACCGTCCTCCATCCCTATTACCATTCGAACCTTCTTGAATAGTTCCATGCAGCTCCGACTGTGTCTCGAGAGAAGGAAAATCCAGATCCCTACTGAGACTGTTGGCATTCCTCCTTCGATCTTGCCAGCTGCCCTTGCTTCGGTAACCTCGTCCATCCATCTGACTCCCCTCATTCCTTCCTTTACCCCAATGATCCTGCTTTCTTGCTGACTCCTGGTGAAAAATCGGCGGCCTACTGATCTTGACGAAATGACATTGAGTGCCAAAAACCAAAGGAATTTCATCCGGCACATCAAAATCAAACTGCACTCTTAATCTGATGTACGATGAACTCCAAGTGTTCCAATCGATATCAATCAATTTCCCACAAAAATTCCCTAAAGCCCTCATCAAATTTATACTCTTAAGATGCAGAGGTATTCCGAAAACCATGATCCAACCAGCATCAGTAGGGGAGGAAACTACATTATCAACCTCCTTCCACACACAAATCTTGACATTGAAACACTTGTACCTGCAAAACTCAAGATCCTTGATCCTAATCATCTCACGAAGGCTCGGGCACAGCAATAGCCATCTGCCATCTTCCAATTCCTCCAAACCATAGTTGTCATCGATGACCCAAAAGCGCTCCGCCCATCTTCTGAAATCACCGACCTGATCTCTTGTTAACACTTCGTTAGAAGACGAACAGAAACTAATCACAAGGCATCTATCCAACGTGCGCAATCTTTCTTCTACTCCTTCGTTCCCAACCTGGATGAATCTGCCTTCTGAGTTACTGACAACTGAACAGTTTCCAGCGCCATAGAACCCGCCTCCCTTAACCACATCCGCGTAAGACTTTGAGGGAACCACCTTCTCCGACCAGCTCGGAGCCGACGGAAGCTTGTTGATTGGCGCAGTAATCGACGACTCTTTGATTCGAATGAGGTGCTCAGTGTGAAAAAAATCTTGTAAGAGAGTAGTGATGTATGCCCAGCGCTTGTAAGCACCCGCGGAGGGGATTAGGATTCTGAAAACTTTCCCATTGGGACTCTGCTCGGACACTTGCAACTGTTCCCCTTCCCTGCTGAAAATCTTCCCAACATGAATCACTCTTTGCCCACTTCTTTTCACACACCCCAAAGGAAAGGTCCAGTTCTTCATCGCAGCTGTTTGGAGAACCCCTTGAAGCCACCCAAGCTGTCGTTCATCCAGGACAACTGACCACCTCCTATTCCTATCCTGCACCTGTATCATGTAGCCCGCTTCACCTCCCAACCACATTTTAATCACAGACACTTCCTTGGATCCCATCCGCGTTGCACGTTTACAACCCTCCCTAGAGCCACCAACCGCACGACCTCGACTCCTCGACGCCTTGGACCTGCAAACAGAAGACAAAAACCGATGGCCCTCCCTCCCCCGTCTGCTCGCCCGCTCAGGATCACACTCCCGGCCGAGACTATTTGTCGCCCCAGCGCCGAAATTCCTCTCTCTCCGCTCTTTCATCATTTTAACATTCTCCCCCTTATCAGGGTCTTCGAGCCGCCTTCTTTTCAAGAGTTTTTAGTTTCCTTGGTTTATATAATTTGAGACATTTTTTAGTTGATTGAGAGAATTCCTATTTATTTCGAAATGCATTTTCAAGAGAAGCTTTATACACATGCCCAAAACATACCTAAGTATAGAGAGTGAGAGCAAAGATTTGTATTTGTTTATAAATTCTTCATGTGAATGGGTAGTAGCCAAAATAGACCGCCTTCGGTTCCGGATTTTATCCTTAGAATGGATGTTATCCTGTGTTCAGTAATGGAATATAGAATTCTCCCCTATCTCGTTTAAGGCCGAATACACAAAATTGAATTCCTTGATCGATAGTTCGATAATGATTTCTGATACTATGCAATTTGTGCGACTAGCCTGGCGTATAAATGCATGCGTTCACATCTACCTGATATACTTCGACTAATCAGAAACTTCAGTTATTAGTTACACTAATCAGGGCACTGGTTCACCCATTAGAGGTCAAGGTATAATATCATACCTCAAACTCTAGTTAATTTATGGTCTAAATAGTGAAATTCATTGGGCATATGCAAAGGTTAGCGTATGCCAAGAGAACGCTAACATTTGTCATATATATTGTTTACTCATAAAAGTTTACCTTATATCATATTGTTTAATCACAAGGGATTTAAATGGCTTTATAGAGGGGCTAAATTACACATTTGGTCACTCGAATTACATAAATCTTTCACGTTTGCCACTCGATTTTTTTTCCTTTCGTATTAACCACTAACTTTTCGATTCATTTCACTACTAGTCACCTGCCGTTAGTCTTCGTCAAGCTCTGTTAACACCGTCAAATTTTTGATGATGTGCCAAACGAGAGTGCTGACTGGGTTGACAAAAAGGCTGAGTCATGATATTTATCCTCCTAGTCAGCACAACCCAACCCAGAAAAAAAACCCAAAAAAGCTATAAAAAAATCCCACCCAATGCTATTTGTGCATAAGTGCCAGAGCCATTTCTCTGAGGCCTACGTTGGCGACCATCCCTCTGTGGCATCAATGGTTGGCAGTTTCCTCTCCCTTGCATGGGAGGTCAACTAGTCTCAATAGGCTAGGTGTCAAAGTGAGTGTGTAACAAACCAGTTTGTATGAAATTGGGCTCTAAAGAAAGTCTGAAATCTAGATGGTGGCTACCTGACAGGGTTCCAAGCTGGCAAGGAGTCAGGTACAAACTAGGGGGTCGTCCTAAAACTAAGTATGGAAACCAAGCCAGAAAGGTAAAAGGGTACTAAACAAGGCCAAATGACTAGGTACTGAGCTAACAGGGTGATAAGGTACCAATTAGGGAGTCATCCAAAAACTAAGTATGGAGATCAAGATGGCAAGTTGTAGGGTACCAAGTTGATAAGGAGACGAGGCAACAATGCAACATGACAGAGTACTAAGTCGGCAAGGCTACAAGGTACCAAAATAAGGGGTCTCCCAAAAACTAAATATGTAGACCAAGTTGGAAAAGTGAGATGGGACCAAGCCGACAAGATGGTACTATGTCGAGCTCTGATAGATATGTATGGAATATTGATGGGTAAAGGAACATGTACTTAACCGTGGAAGGATTTAAATTATCATCCTACCAAGATGGATGACAAGGCCTAGATAGAAAGATGGATTCATCGGGTGGTTAGCAAGAAATAAGCTAATAATGGATCCATTGAAGGAACCAAAGGGGTTCTCAAGAAGTCATCATGGAGGAAGTCATCATGGAGGAAAGACAAGGAGGCTTCAACCAAGTCTAGTTAGGCAACAAAACTTAGTGAAGCTCAATTCAACACCAATCCAACCCAACGTCAAGGCCATCAATTTGATACCAATTGTCATCAAGGCTACAGTAAGGGGTCCCCGGAGATGGCTGAGGCCGCAGACTAGCTAGTTGTTATTAAGGCGAGACGAGGGGTCCCCGAGGCAGTTGGAGAAATAAGCAAGCTAGCAGTTACCAGGGTGGTTACACTTGATGGTTATATATAGTAGAAGCGAAGATAAGAGACAAGTTCCCAAGATAAACATTTGACACCATAGGTCAAACTTTTATTATTTTTTCTGTAATGTAACCATAGTAATTGTCTTTAGTTTTTAGAGCTCTCACTAGACTTTGGTAGAAATATAGTAACTTAAATTAGTCTTATTATCCATAAATAAACATAAACATCCTCATTATCACTTTGTTTGAAGAGGTGTGAATCATGATATTAATCGTTGTCCAAAAAACTCATAGGTGCAATCCATTAATTTAAAACAAGTTTTCTCATTAAAAAAAATTTTTGGCACACGTGGTGGGACAATTGTGTTTGATTTGATGGATCCACAATAGAGATAAAAAGAAGGTGAACTTAACCTGGGTTAGTGAAGGAGTTGGTAGACAAGTTTGAACTTGGCCAAGCAACATAAAATGTTATCGGAAAGCAATGACATGGTTGATGAATTACCCTAACGACACCTTCATTCCAATTTATAGTGGAGGATAACAACCAAGGAATGGAAGAAAACCGCAGGTTCATGGAGGAGGGTTTGGATGGAATTGTTAGAATTTCAGGACAGACAAGGCTCAAATTGGCTTCTCTTAATGAATTATTCGAACCTTTTAGTTATAAAACAGATAAACATTTGAATCAATTATTTGAAGTGGTCAATATAAACGAAATTTATTTTGATAGATTTAGGAGGTTTTGACCACCCCAGGTGTGAAATCAAGAGATTTGTCAATAGGTGGCACAATTTCAAAAAATAACAACGCTACTAGAAATGCAAATCTTCCTCTCGCCAATGGCTAAAATGGCCAACCACGACAAGGTAACTCATCGCATTCAGAGACTAACCAACCACCCACTCGACATGGAAGTTGTGGCGATATTTTTTACCCCAGGGTCACCACTCACATAGCGCTATCACTAGTGAAGGAATTAGTCAAGACAACTTCTTGGTGCTTATATCATGTGTTGTACCTTTTAATGGGAAGGCTGGTGAAGATCCATTCAATGTGAATCTGCACGCTCGTGAGTCAAGATTTGAATTTCTAAAGTTGAAGCACACCTACTTTAACCCTAACAAAGACAAGTATATCGATGCTAGGCCTGTAGTACAATGGCTATGTCGTATTCTAAGTGAACCTTAGGCTTACTATTACTTTGCTCTGAACTACTATATAATCAAATCGAAAGGTTGGGGGTAGAACTAACCTAACCTAACTAAAAACAACCAACCAATTGGTTGGGAGACCACTAGAGATGAGATGGATTTCTAGGTTCGACTCCCTCTAGCTTTAGGTTGATACGGGCTACAATCTAACACCATTTTGAGGTGCGGAGGTCACAAAGATGGGGATCGACTCAATGGTCATGCAATCGACCCCCCTCCTAGCTAGGTGCACCGGTACAATGTCACCTCAACCGGTCTAACCTACTAAGGATTTGGTTCTACCTCCTCTAAATGACTTATATCTGTCCGCACAAAAGTCGGTAAGTTGATGGTCACACACTTACCCGACAAGTATCAACTAGGTGAGAATCTAACTAGAAGGAGATGTTCACCTCAACCTCTAGCTAGATCTCTACTTGAACCAATCAAAGTAAGAAGCATTCACACACATCTAAGCCTTGATTAGAAGCATTAAGCATCCTCTCGATTATACCCTAAATTCATATGCAAGACAATGATAATTATCATATCATCTAGGTTGCAACTAAGACAGATGCGATACACACAATCCCACACTAATTGATGTTTATGCTAATCTTGAGCTAAAGGGATAGAACTCTCACCTAGGTTAAGAACAAACAAATCTCAATCAAGAAAGATATTCTTATGCACAAACATCAATAGACATAGATAAATTAGTCCATTTCACACTTACATATGACCCATACACAAACTATAATCTAGAGTTCATCTTCCCTAAACAACCATAGGATTAAGTCATAGATAGAGAAAATAAATATAAACTAAGATGAGAGGAAATTCTTAGAATCATCTTCTTCTTTTGGATTGCACCTTCATCCTTGATCCTTGGATGGATTTCACATTTCCCAAGCTCTCTTTAGGTGTTTCTCGCTCTAAAACCTACCCAAGAACCCTAATTTCTGAATTTAGGTTGGCTCCCCCTCATCAATAGCAGCAAAGGGGGGATATTTATACAGTTCCGGTGAAGAATCACAACCTCAATGGTGTGACCAGACCGTGACCAGGTTGTGATAAGCCAAAAAGGCGTCGAATCACCCGAAACTTTGCGTTTTGTCATTGTCTTCAAGTACCAAGATTTCAACCTCCATCATGAGATCCCGGCTGCAATTTCTATGTTGCGGCCGCGATCTTTTTTGCGGTTGAAAAGCCCCTTGGCCACGAGTCAGGTGTCGAGACTTTCTTCCCTCTTGTTGGTTGCTTGCTGAAGTTTGTTGCCACTGTTCACGGCCGCGAACATGGTCACGCCCTGGTCATGGTCGTATGTCGCCGTGACTTGTGTTTTTTCTTTCCTTCTTGATTCTTTGCAATGAAAATGTACACGGGTGAACTCAAAATAGATTCCTGATTGATTGTTAATGAATATAAGGCCTGGAATTTCATCACAAACACCAAGAAAGCATAAAATATGACAAAGTGGGGTTGAAACTTTTTTATCTTGTGGTTATATGCTTTTGTCTATGTTAATTATGTCTAGACTTGTCTTTCACGTGATTTTCATGGTTGCCTACCTAGGGTTTCCATGAGATGGTGTGGAATTGATTTGTTTGGCATGATTGGGTAGATGAATGATTTGGGGGACCGATTGGTGGACGAGGTGACCATCCCCGAGTACTAGCTGTTATCTCTGCTTTCTTAAGCTAGTATTTATCATTTGACCTCCAAAACAAACATGAACAGATCGACAAGATAAAAACAAAGTGAAAAGTAGCCTAGGGTATCGAAACCTATGGAATACGACCTTTGTCGATCACTATAATATGCAACGCCGTCTTGAGTTATACCTTTGCTCACATATCACATGGTTTATGACTCTAGTATAAAAAAATACATACTTCTCCATAATTATCTATTGTTTGTGGTAAAGCTGCTAAAGTATGTTAACTCATATTGATGAATGCAATTGCAGAGTGTGGTGGAGGAGTATTGTTGTGTCTAGACAATGATGTTGTGTTTTTCATTACCACTTTTCAACAAGTTCATTAATGCCTCTTATTCTTCTTTATGGAGGAACCAGAACTTTCCTGTGGTAATAGTGAGTATTATATAGCTAGACGATTGGTGTATCTAGAATCACCTCCATCGTTAGCTTCATAGTAGAATATAATCATGGTGTTGGACTTGATCCGCCATGGTTGATAGATCTTAGAAGAAGGAGGAGAAGGTAAGACTGAACACTGATAACACATGCAGTATAATGAAACTGTTCCAAAGAGAGCGGGAAATACAAAACTCGGAGCGAGCTTCTGTTCATTGCCCAACAGAGTAAGCTCGCTGCCGAGCACATAAAACGACCACATTTTTTAGTGATCCCCTGAGTGCGGCTTACGTGCCAAGAAGAAGAACATTGGTGTGAATATCTCTTTCCTGCGATCAAGAAGGAAAACGAAACGATTCAGTTTGTGATTTGGGTAGAGCGGGATTCAGTTTGTTTGAAAGCGGGTTGACGCAAACATAATGCAGCCCGTCTTTCAGTAATGTACTCGACCATTGTATGCAGGGATGAACAACATTAAGTGTAGTAATGTTGTAAACAAGAGAAAAAGTCGCTTACTTTCCACCATCGACCAATCCCTCAGCAGCCTTCTCAAGAAAATCTTGAACCCTTTGACTTCCTTTTGGAGCAAGTCCTACATACTCGAGGGCCTTCACCTACAAGGTGAAATAGCGTCCGTCGTTAGTAAGCGATGTGAACAGCTGAAGGATTGATGGTGAATGCACATCTTAGTTCAGAACGAACCGCCATGTTTTGTAGATAGAAAGAAATAACAACAACAGAAGTGAGGAGAATTCAAATGCGAGTAACGCTGACCAGATTTTTAGTGAAGAATCTTCCGGCAGCAGTCAAGCGGAAGCTGCTCAGCGAGAAGTGACTTTTGTCCAAGGGCAAGTACCACGGTATAGGTGAGTCTTTTGCAAGATCCTTTGACCATATAACCTTCACATAGATAGAAGTTCCATAACTCAATCAGAGGACCTCCAGAAGGACATTCGCCATACAGAAGCAAAAAGAGGAAGAAGGGTTTGAGGAGGTAAGGTCTATGACTTGCCTCAAAACCAGCCTTTTGCAGCGCCTCGATGCACTGTGTCGTTGACCTAATGTCAGGAAGGCCATCACCAATCTCTATTTCTGCCTGTGAACACCACAATTTCCATCATCAGACAAGAGTTTTATGGTTAGGGTTCACATTAGAGATGGAGCCAATATATCTACCTTAATTTTGTTGTGTTCTTTGTTTTCTGAATTATAAGCATCCGTCATGCACCATTCATAAGCAGCAAAACACTGGCCAGGTTTCAATACTCTGTAAATCTCGCTGTAGCATCCATACTGCTCGAAACAAAAACAAACATTCAAACAATAAATGGAGGAAGGACGGACGTCATAAATAACAACAAAACAGAAGGATTAAAACTGCTATTTTGGCAAGTAGAACATCCTTGAAACGAATGGTTTCTTGTGCATACCGCATCAGGTGCATGGCAGGTGGCTTCAATTGCATACACTGCGTCGTAGCTGTTATCTGGGATTGGCATTTTCATGAAGTCAGCCTGTATGTACAACCAAGAGAGAAGAGCGTTAGGATTCTCGGGCACAAATATTGTTTAGATATGAAGAGGGTAGGTAATGGAGGAAGAAACAGCAACAGACCTTAACAAAATCACATGTCTTGTCCACTCCTGCAATGCGGTTTAGTTCCTAAAAGGCAGAGGCAGCAGATTAATTCCCACTTATCAAGACAAAAAGCGTGCTGGCGAAATGGCAGATGTTTTCAAGAAAAGAAGAGGTCTGTATTCACCTTTCCTCGTGATATCTGATATTCATTGTTGTTCAACCCTGTCACTGATACTAAGCTGCAACAAAATTGCACCAAGAGCTTATAACACCCTCTAAACATGGAAGAGCCAGGAGATAAACTAAACCAGCGCATTTGCCACTAACCTGAACCTAGCTATTTCTCTCAGTGGTCCACCAATTCCACATCCAACATCCAACACCTAACGCCAATGGGGGTGAAATAAACAACCAAGACCAATTAAATGAGCGAAATCGGATATTCTATGTTCCTTGCATAGTTAAGAACAGAAGAAAAAAACAAGGTATGCAACCTTTTGTCCAGGTTTCAAGCCAAGTTGCAGGCCAAGGAAGTGCTCATGCCGCTTGATGCTCTCCCGAAGAGATTCACCATTGAACCTGAAATATGTGAGTTTCAGTCTTAGGCAATGAAATTATGCATGGCTGAGCATGAAGGACAGAGAATGAATAAAAGAAATCAACCTGTGGGCAAAATGGAAAGATTCTCCCCAGCCAAACTCGTAAAAGCTAGTTGCAAGGTCATAATATTTATTAACCTGGAAGCCAAGTAATATAATATTAATAATTGAATACATAATTAACATGGCTAGATCAAGGAAACCCTTATGCTAAGAATTAGATTCACACTTTACCATGTCAGTGTAGTTAGATTTCCTGTCTTCATTAGCACCTCCATACAAGTTGTGGTACTTCTCATACCTGAACCACAAAGGCAGGGTAGCGGTTGTTAGGGGGGAAAAAAAGAAAACCAAATATCTGTAATTGGTCCGGTCCAACCTAATCACAACAACCACTTGCCCATGCCCACGGCATACAAAGCTGTAAAGAGAAAAATACAAGTTCAAAGGGGACCATGAAACACAGAAACCATAGAAAGAAAACAAAGAGCACAATGGACATGGCAAGTGCTCTCGCTTTGCCTTCCCATTTTGACACCACAGTTACTGAAATGGTATTTTTCTTATATGGCCCACTCCCATCTCACCCTTTTTAATCAACAATCAAGCCAACCTTTTTTGCACTACAAGAAACCCCTCCAGGCATCCCGTAAAGCTGTAGAGACCTTTGTCAAAGTTTAGGTAGAGGAACAAAGAAAGAACAAAAGCAGGTAGCCAAATCTACAGTAACAAAGATTCCAACTGAACAGTCAAGGCCATCTGTTCTCTCAGTTACCCAAAAAGAAAAACATATATCTCATCAATAATAGGTAGGCGAGAGGCCTTTGTTGTCACTACTAGACTACCAAAAAGAGTCATCAGATCTTGCACTTAACACTATTAATACCATACACACAAAGAGGCTTTAGAGACCAAACAATTGAAGTAAAGATGAATTGAAGTGTGATTGATTTGATGCAGTGAAAGAAAGATAGAGGTTACTAGATCCATTTGAGAGAGACATAAGTGGGAATGGAAGCATGTAGAAGTAACTAGAACCCAATTGAATTCTTGCAAAAACAAAGTTGGGCAGAGAGTAATCAATTCATGCAAGCTAGCATTATCACCATTGACTGGGACCATTTCACCTTCAGTAAAGGCACGAAACTATTCATCAGATACAGAGTGACTGAACAGAGTTTGGGATCCAAACAACAATCTGCAGTGGGACACAGAATGGAGGAATAATAGAAAGAAAGAAGCATTGTTTTGGGTTAAGCCCATCAAGTGATCAGAACTAAAAAGACCCACATTGCCCTACTGTAATAGGGACCCATGCATGAAGGAACAAATAATCAAAGAGAGAAAGGGAACAAAGAAGACGGCCATACTGCTCGACGGCGGAAAGAACTTCCTTCTTCTCGATCTTCCCACCAAGACCGGAAGCAAGATCCAATGCACCAGCTTTCGACATCTTGGTTTCCCCCGAAAAAAAAAGAGAAAACACGCTTTTTAACTTCTCCTTCCTCTGCTTTTGGATCACAGAAACACCAGGGGGGAAAAAATTAATATCAGACTAAACCCAGGAGAGAGATCTCCAGAAACCCAGATTCAGAATCCAAGACACTTTCCAACTCCTCCAACAAAGAGGAGGACCTGGAAAGTGGGTGAGCGTAAAGGTGCGAGCTTTTGTGTTGATTCGGATTAACAATGCAGTAATGGCAGAGTGATTGACGATGGTGATTACATGAGAAACAGAGAGAGGTATCACGATGCCGGGGAAGAGGAATCTTGTAGTGGGCAAGGAAAGTGGAGATGGCGATTGGAGAGCCTAGTGCGAGGCAGTCAGTAGTATATAGTATAATGGGAGTGCGATTTGGATGCGAATCCTTGTCTTTTTTGAACCCAGTGGAAGAGAGAGAGAGGGATATGCGGAATTTTGGTAGGGAACGGAAACGGACAGAGAGAGAGAGAGCGAGAGGCAAACGAAGAGAAAGAGAGGAACAGGTAGGACGGACAAAAACGGAGCTGGCTAAATTTGGCCCCACCTCGGAGATTTTTATTTTATTTTTGGTTAAATTACACGTTTTGTCACTCAAATTATACAAACCTTTCACGTTTACCACTCGAATTACTTTTCTTTCTTATTTGCCACTAACTTTACGAATCGTTTCACCGTTAGTCACCAGCCGTTACACTCCGTTAAATTTGTTCTACGTGGCAGTCAACTATAAAATTTGACTGTTAAATAAATGACATGGAAACTAAATTTTTTTTAAAAATAAAATAGTAATTAGAGAAAAAATAAAAAAAACTCGGTACCTTTAGTTGTTTCTCCGTTCTGTAGATGATCGGTGACGAGCATCCTGATTTCTTTGGCGCCCTGATCAGACTCAGTCGATCCGCCGAGAACGTGGAGACTGCCGGGCGCCGGCGCCGCCTCCACCACTAACGGCTTCCGACACCAGAGAATTGCTCGAGCTCCAGACAAACATATGAAGCTTCGTGGCGTCATGATTCGATTTTCCATTGTCACCATCGTTACTCCTCGGTTGTAATGTCATAACTACGGCCTGCTCCAGCCACCTGAGGATTGCTCTTCGCCCCTTTCGCCATCGATGCTGCAGCGGCGACGGAAGCGATTTCCTGGTTCGGAGCAGGGTAGTACTCGTACCTCGGAGACACGCCTGTATCAATTTTGGCGTAATTCTCCTCGAAATTAGACGACCTGGGAGTCGGCCCGCGGGAGGACTCAACAGAGTACACATCCTCTGCCCCGAAATTCGAAACCCTTGAACCCTACCCCCGACCCGAACCCCTGGACTCCCAAGTGCCATCATCGAGTAGAAATCCGCTGAATTGAATTCCAACCCCTGGGAGTTGGATTCTGCGACGAGCTCAAACTGTAAATTTCGGGTCAAATTCGATGGGCAAGGGGTCAACCTGGAAAACGACCCGACTTCACCATTCCCGCCGAGCCCCAACCCGGAAACTGTCTGACTCGAAACATTCGACTTCCTCGCCTTGACGTGAAGCTCCTCATCGTCCACAATCTCATATCAGTCTCCAGCAACTCCAACCCGTCGAGCAAAACGATGTCGGAGTCGACCTTAAACAACACAATTGATGTCGCCGATTCGGGGGAACTGCTCCATGATCAAAATGTTGCCCCCCGTACTCGAACAGGAACAAAAGCATAGTGTACCAAATGATACATTGCAAGACGATGACTTGGACCATCAAGCTCCCTGTGTAAGGCCCGTACATGGCGAGCAGAGGGATTCCCATCACCAAGGTGTTGGGTAAAGTGGAGAGGGAGAAAATGATAAATTGATAATCAACCTCTCGAGGCTGCCAGATTTGGTAACGGTGGTCTAGATTCTGAGGGCAACGAGCATGATGATTTTTTGGAGAGTGTCGGCGGCCATGAAACGAAAGTTCACTGGAGATGACGAGGTGGAAAAATAAATGATTTTTTTTTTATTTTTTTAATTTCCATGTCATCTAGTTAACAGTCAAACTTTATAGTGGACTGCCACGTATGATAAATTTAATGGAGTGTAACAGTTGGTGACTAACGGTGAAATGATTCGTAAAGTTAGTGGCAAATAAGAAAGAAAAATAATTCGGGTGGCAAACGTGAAAGATTTGTATAATTTGAGTGACCAAACGTGTAATTTAGCCTTTATTTTTCTTTAACAAATTAGTTGTCATGCCGATGGTATTCTAGCCTCTGCGAGACTACAATCAGGTTTAACTATGTGTCGATTTAAAACCGGCTGGAATGCTCTCGGTATGTTTGTCATGATTGATTTCAGATATTAAAATTAATTGGTGTTAGGATGAAATTAATTATTAAAAAAATAATTTGGATTTGTTTATTGAATTTGAAAGTAAAATGTTGATGTTATTTATGAACGTTAAGATATTTATGTTATTTATTTGATTCAAAAATTGTGGATCTTGGCATTAAATGTGTGTATTTAAATATGATGATTTTTTATTTTGTTTTGAATTTTTCATTTTATTTAAATATCAATTTAGATTTTAGAGAGATTATATTCAAATATATGTCATATTTATAATTGAAAATCATCATTATTGCGAAAACTTCTCTGACTTTCTCAGAGGATGGAATTGGCAGACTAGGGTTTTGACGGTTTTAAACAATGGCAGCGACAAGCTCGTCTCTTACTCTGCCTGAGCGGGGGAAGGGAAACTCATAGAAACTGCTCGTTGGAGCCTATCGGCCACACGAAGCTACTTCATCACCGGATGGGAGGTAAGAGAGGGAGGCGGCCATACACCCAAAAAAAAAAAAAAGGTCATAGCATTCAATTTAACAAATAACAAGTACATATGACAATGGTGAGGACGACAAGTATGAACCTATCCTGGACAATGATCCTTGATACTCAACTATTATGTTTTCAGTGGCGGAGTTAAGAGAACTCCATCAAGAATGGTGAGTGGTCAAAGTTCGTGGAAGGTCTTTCCCGTACCCAGCGATAGCGAAACTGATATTATCACTGTGTGGCAAAATGGATCAAGAGAACATCAGTTACCTATACCATTTGAAGGAGCAAGATCAGCAAGTGATTCATTCCCACGGAGCAGAGGGCGAACCAAAGAAAAAGAAAGCTCCATGCCGACTAATTAACGAGGCCAACCCAATTCAACAATGGGTCGAGAAGCAGCAAAGGATGACGACAATCCTACAGTCGCAGCAAGTTATAAGCAATGGTACGTATACATACATAACTTGAGTCTGTTGGCAAGTAGTGATGAGAGGAGGCAACATGAAGACAACAAAAAAATCATCATTCCATGCAACAATCTTTGTCAGACAAGAGTGTGTAAAATTAAACCAAACAAACAAACAAAATAATTCACGAGCCGTTTCAAAGTTGAAATTCTTCAAATATGTGTATTTATAAATATATGTATAGTGAATACAAATATTGTAAGATTAGATGATTGGAAGAATATCTTGTTTGTTTGTAGCCATTCAAAAAATTTAAAGAAAAAAAAAATCACTTTATGAGCTAAAAGTGGAACAAATTAAAGTCAACAACCTCAAAGGAAAAATCTCACCTTTTTTGTTGAGATTTAAAATTAGTGATTGTGGGTGATATGAGATTTGAGGGCCCACCTCAAATGCATGCATTGAATAAAATTCTGGAAGAAAAAATCATGGATTCTCCATAATACATGAATTGAAATAATCATTCATCTAGAATCATAATTTCCAAACAACCCCTTAGCCAAATCAAACTAAGGGGTCGTTTGGAAGTTGCGATTGTTAAATATATGTATTGTTGAGAATGCATGTATAATATTATACATGTACTGTTGAATTTGATGCATTGTAGAATACAGCATTTGGTATGTGTGATTGTGTATGTCGCATCAGCTAAAAGCTGTGACAAAACAATCTCAACTCAACTATCTCAACAATCACAACTAAAAGTTAAGATATAGCAATCACTCAAAATGAATGATAATTTCTGTCATATCACAGAAACAATCCATATATTGTTTCTGCTAAAAAAACAAAAAACGATGCACTGTAAACAATACATGCATAATGACAATCTCAACAAAACTATCACAACTTCCAAACGACCCCTAAGTATTCAAATTAACCAAATCAAATTATTCAAATACTATTGAATAAAATGGTCACACAATAAGTCGATAACCACTCCGTTGGAACACCAAAAATGTTTCAGAGATGTTTCTTCTTTTGATTTTCTTTTACGCAACCTACAAGATCAATTCAATGAATGATTGTCCATGGATATAATAAGCTTGTTGACTTGATTGGACTCATTTTGGGGGAGAGAGGTTCCCATACATAGCTGGTGTATAAAGTATAAACATGCATAACCCATACTTACCATAATACCATTTATGGAAGGCTAGTAACTTCCCACAATAAATAATATGTTATAATTCTTTTCTTTTAAGTCAAAATAAAAAAAATTGTTCAGAAAAATCGCATCCTACTAAAAGTTGTAGATCTTGAAAAGTTCATCCTAGTGCAAGTTGTAGATCTTGAAAAGTTATGCGAAATGAAAAAAAAATCGCATCGATCGGATACCCGAGTGCAAAGTTACGTTTGTTTGAAGTTTCGGCCGAAGTTAGGAGTTGATCGAAAAAAAAATAAATTGGACCAAACCGCTGGGTGGGGTGGCGGTTTTGGGTCAAACCGCCACCCCACCCAGCGGTTTGGTCCAATTTTTTTTTTATAACCGCCCCCTAGGCCCGCGGTTTGCATAGAAAACCGCGCCCCCGACAAACGGTTTTCGTGTAAACCGCAGGGTGGGGTGGCGGTTTTTGAAAAAGGGTGGTATTTTTGAAATTTTTTGGGATTTGGTGGTATTTATGGAATTTTGTTTTTAAACAGTGGTACTTTTGGATTTTTTCCATAAATTTGTTGATCTAATAAATCACAACAAACTCGTTCATTTTGAGCAAAAATTTTCAAAATTCGAGTTAAAAACGAAGATGGTACCACGTGATACCAGGTGTTATAAATTTTTTTGCTCAAAATATATTGAAAATAAATATAATTTTGTAGATCAAAACGAACCTATTTCATCTGTGTAATTTTTTTTTTGAAATATAAGTTAGATTTAAAAAAATCCAATTAAAAAGTATGGAAAAAATAAATTTGCCATAATTCTCATGCTTTACATCCGATTTCACTTAACATACTGTTTGATATAAACGAATTTCATAAGTTTTGAGAATTCATTTTGAAATGAAAACTTTTTTGGGTCGTTTGGATTGAGTATTTGGGGCTGTTATTCGACCCCAAATAACATGTTTGGCTGACAAAAAGTGGGATGTATTATTTGGATGTAGTGTTTTGCCAAATAACAGGTTTGAGACCAAATAACACAAAAAGTGTTGTTTGCCAAATACTTGGGAGGGGGCAGGTATTTGCCAAATAACAAGTTTGAGACCAAGTATCACATACAAATAACAAGTTTTATATTATGTGGTATTTGTGTGGTAATTGACCCCAAACAACAAGTTTGTCAAATACTCAATCCAAACGACCTTTATGTTTGGTATTTAAAAAAATTCATTTTCAATTCTAAATTTTGAATTCCACGAAATTGGAACTAGTTATAGCAATTCCGAGGAATTGAGATAGATTTTTCAAATGAATTTCACAAGTATTTACTAATTATAATAAAATAACATAATTATCCTTATATATTAACTAAATTACTTCTACATATATTATTTGAGAACATCGACAAGAATTTGATTGCAATTCTAGTAGCATATGTTGGTTATTTGATGTTTCTGCTTTGATTATATCAGTTCGTTGAGAAGCCACAACTAGAGTGCAGGGTTCATCGACAAAATATTAGAAAAGAATTAATCAATTGAATAGAAACACATAAGATCACTTTTGATATTCTACTTATGGGACCAAAGGCATTTTTTAGAAGATGGATTTCAATGAATATTGTTTCTGCGGGAAATTAATAAGGGTGGTGTAGTTGGAAACTTTTAGTTTGATTTAATTCTTAATGTATGTCAAACATGATTTGGGAATTCAATTCATTTTATTTATAAAGATTTGAATATAACATACCAAACAAAGGAATTCATTTGAAAATGAATTCTACACGATACTTCATTTTGATACCAAACAAAGATTTGAATATAACATACCAAACAAAGGAATTCATTTGAAAATGAATTCTACAAAAAAAAATTGAAATGAATTCTCGGTTTATTTGATACCAAACACTTTTTAAAATAAAATGAATTCTCGGTTTATTTTATACCAAACACTGTTGATATTTGGTTATACAAGTGTTAAGGGGTCGTTTGCTTGTTGGATTTGAAAAATGAGGGTTTTGGCCAATAAAAACCTTGAGATTTATGTTGGATTTATTGGATTATAGATTTGAAGAGTCTAATGTTTGCATGATAGATTTGATGATGGATTTGTTAAATAAATAACTAACCATCAAGAATTTGCAAATCCCAAATCAATATGTGGGATTTACAAGTCCGTGGGGTCCATGAATTTGGTTCCAAAATAAAGACCAAATCCATGGACCCCACGGATTTAGCACCATTCAACAAACAATGGACTTATGTTAAATCCATCAAGCTTGGGATTTGGGTACCAAATCCATGACCCAAATCCAACAAGCAAACGACCTATTAATTACGCATCCTATGACCTATATACCTTCTGGGCTGCTCCATCTGGGCTGGGATAAATTGGAATGTTGATGCTCTTGCCGGAGCTGGGCCAATCCTCTGGGCCTTAAAGAAAGCTAGGGTTAGGTGGGCCAAGAAAATGTCGAGTTGCGTTCTTTTTTTTCGGCCACCAGCCGCCGACGTCGCCGCCGTGCGCTGTTCGTAATTTTACAAATTTAGTTCAACCCATTGTTTTTATGTAAATCGGAGAAAAGAGGTTGACGGGGGAGAGAAGAAGAGGAAATCGTTGGTTCGGAAAACTTTGTTATCTGGAAGCGAACCGTCAGAACCACCAAAGAAGATTTAGACGGCGATTGTTTGGAGACGGCGGAGATGTTGCAAAGCAAAACGTTCAGCAAGAAGACCAGAGGCGGCAAAGTCCAAAAGGTTTTCGTTTTTTGTCCGTCTGTATTTCAGTCCTGTCTCGGCCTCTAGGACCACTATCAATGGCTTAATTCCTTGTGTTGTTGGAGTGTTACTAACCGTCTTGTTCTTGCGCTCTCTGGCGAGCAGCTTGTCAGAGAAGTGTACCTGAGGGACGATATCTACTGCGGAGCTTCTTTTTGTAAAGTATGCGATACTGCTTCTGCTCCCCTTACTGCTTCTGCCTCTACAATCCTCGTCCTCGACACGAACGTCGTTCTCAATCAGGTGATTCCTTTCTCCCCTTGCTTTTTTCTTCTTTCGTTTGTTCTGTTAACTATCTTCATTCTTCTAGGGATCCTTAGAATGAAGCAACTGCTTTTCAATGCTTTCAGATTGATTTGCTTGAGAATCCGGCTATTGAGGATGTGGTTGTGCTCTCCATTGTTCTCCAAGAGGTTAAGAACAAGAACACTGCCGTGCACAATAGAATTAGAGCCCTCTGCAGTAATCCTGCTAGGAAATTCTTCGTTTTCTCTAATGAGTTCCACAGGTATTTTGTCTCCGTGTCCTGCTTCGTTCTTGGTTTGCCTTTTTATTGTCACTTCATTTCTCGCTGCTCTCTTACCACGTAGGGACACTTATGTTCAGACCATGTCTGGAGAAACTCCAAATGACCGAAACGATCGAGGTTTTCCCCTTAGCTTCTTCGCTATTGCTATTGTATATCGGGTTGTTAAGGAAAAAAGGGGCTGATAATATTTATCCCACTAATCTCTCTTAAGCTTCTCTGATTTTTGTTCTTACAATTCAATTGTATTTCAGCAATTAGGGTGGCCACCAGGTGGTATCAAAAACATCTCGGTGATGTAGCGAAGGTTTTACTTATTACTAACGATAAAGAGAATAAGAGAAAAGCTAGCGAAGAGGGTGTTTCTGCTGAGACGAGTACGTTCACAACCTTCTATGGACTGAGGAAGCTCCTTCATTCGCAAGTGTTTGCCATTTCTTTGAGAATCAGATAGGGCTTCTCTTTGAACTGGCTGCTCTTTGAACTGAGCTCATTTCTGAAATTTTTTGTTTTCTTTTCAGTTGAATCATATGTGCAATCTCTTGGCCAGCCGGCATTGCTTGACCTGCTTGTTCAACCAGCATCAGAAGATGTAGCCATGGATGAAGCAGAAGATCTGAGACCTTCGAAGAGGAAAGTCGTCTACCCAGAGGTACTTTTTTAGATTTATGTATAAGTAGCCTGCAAGTTACACCGTGGTTTCTAAGTTTTGGGCATGTCATATGTCTTCTTCAGCATAAGCCCATGTCGGAAATTACTTCTGGTCTGACCAGTGGAATATACCATCAAGGAAAGCTTCGGGTGAACCGTTACAATCCCTTTGAAGCATATGTTGGAAGTGAAAGCATTGGTGATGAAATAGTTATTTATGGACGTGGGAATATGAATAGGGCTTTTGATGGTGATGTGGTGGCTGTTGAATTACTTTCCCGGGATCAGTGGCATGAAGAAAAATCTTTATCAATCGTGGATGAAGGTAACTCAGTCATAAGACTTTTTAGACTCCTTCACTTGTACTGGTCATTTAGTTGACTCCTGATAGTGGATAAACACGATTCCATCACTCTTGGCATTACATGTATATAAGTCAGTTACCTCAATAGTTGGCACGGTATTAATAGTATGAAAAGGGAACAGGACATGTCTGGGTGACCGGTCTTCTGACCTACAGTACACGAGAAGAGTTTTCATGTTAAATTCTGGTTTCACAACATTGATAAGGAATTGTTGCTTAACTTATTATCGTACCTCTATATTATCCGTCTCTAAAATATGGACATAAGAAATATTCTTATGGAGAGTGTTCCAGAGTGTTATCCATTTAGTAACTAGATACTATGTCACTTCGTGGTTTTCACAATCTTTGCCCACTATAGCTCTATTGAAAGACTTTCTGAACCATAACAAATTATAATTTCTGTGGTGAAGAGGGTGAGGATGAAGATGTTCATTTGGTCCCAAGCAGTGCTGATGATGCTCCTCGACCTACAAAAGCGGTGCCAGGTTCTGCATTGAATGACAACTCTCTTACCTCCCGTCCATCTGGTCGCATCATCGGTATCATCAAACGGAATTGGCATTCGTGAGTGTTCTTAGATATCTTTATATGTGCATATGGTAATTAGAAACACTAAACCTTGAAGAATGTGGTGAAACGAGGCTAGTGATGTGAGGAGATGAGGTGATTCATATGGGGTGGCACTCTATCTAATATGGATGTGGTCCATTTTGTTTTGTTAATTGATGAAATTTTTTGTGGTTGCATAAGGTCCATCCTTCCATACATTCAAGTGTACATAAATGGTGACAAGTTTTTAAGGCAACTTCATTATTGGTTATGACATGCAGCTATTGTGGATCTTTGGAGCCTATGCCAATGCCTGCTGGAAGTGGCAGTCTGGTTCATGCGCTGTTTGTTTCTAAAGATCGCAGGATTCCTAAAATACGAATTCAGACTCGGCAGGTTGAGAATCTGTTGGACAAGAGAATTATTGTGGCAGTTGATTCTTGGGACCGTCAATCACGGTATCCTTCTGGACACTATGTACGAAGTATAGGAGAGATAGGGGATAGAGACACTGAAACTGAGGTGTGTAAGATCCATTCTTTGTATGAATGTGTGCTATATATTTGTGCGACAGGGAATTCATATTGATAAATTGGAGGTGCTTATGGTTCCGAATTTTTAGTAACTCATCTAAATGCTGGATAAGCAAGATCTAGTATGGTCATGTAAGTAATGTAATTTACCTTTTTGAATCCTGCAGGTTGTCTTGATAGAAAACGATATTGATGCCCGTCCATTTTCTACTCAAATTTTGGCATGTTTACCACCCTTGCCCTGGTCAGTTTCTGCAGAGGATTTGGCTAATCCTAGCAGAATGGACTTGCGTCATTTGCGCGTCTTTAGCGTTGATCCACCAGGTTCTAATTCTACTATGTTTTTAATTTCCTGTTATATCCTCTCAATCACAAAAAATTATAGAAGTATGCTGGCAATGTTTGTTACCAATATCTTGAAAATGATTTGGTGGTGTAAACTCGTGCAGGATGTAGGGATATTGATGATGCACTGCACTGTATGATGCTTCCAAACGGGAATTTTGAAGTTGGAGTCCGTATCCTCTAATGTGCTTTAAGCAGGAAATGGCAGTTTGAAGTCTATTTCTTGGTCTGAAACCGTTCAGCTGAGCATAGTTTTGGTGCTAGTTTCTATTAATATTTCTTATGGACTCCCTTGGTAGCTACCTTACTCTGCAGTGTCACACTCTGCAATTATTTCTTAGTTGTGGAAATAAGAAATGTCAATGTTTAGCTTCACTGCTATTAAAATAGACATCGCTGATGTTACAAACTTCGTTCACCCTGGCACCCCACTTGATGATGAGGCTACACAAAGAGGCACCTCTGTCTACCTTGTTGAGCGTCGTATTGACATGCTCCCTAAACCTTTAACAGAAGGTAATTCCTGAGTGAGGTATACATACTTGATTGTTCGCTGAGGGTAGGGCGCCTTTTCTGTCCTAACTTTTATATCTTTATGTGTAGATATATGTTCTCTTCGAGCTGAAGTAGAAAGACTAGCTTTCTCTGTGTTGTGGGTAAGTGCTTCAGATGAGAACTACTTCAAGCCGTTGACACTAGTGCTTCGCTTTCATTCGTTCAAATTTACTTTTCAACTTAGTTGAACATGTGGTCCATAAATTTCCGTTTTGTGCCTATTAACTTTCATAATCTCGGTGAACAGACATGTACAGAACTGGGTTATTACCATGTGACCTCTATCATTAGAAACCTAGCTTTTGCACCCTTGGACCAGCTAAACCAGATATTTGTTTCTTTGATCATTGATCACATGCAGGAAATGACACCCGGGGCTGAGATTATTTCTACAAAATATACAAAGAGTGTAATTAAGTCATGTGCAGCGTTGTCCTATGTTGAAGCTCAGGCTAGGATGGATGATAGGTATAATATTTTATGCCGTGTTTGTCAACTAAACTTGAATATTGTTGATCCTCTGGGCCTTTGGATATTACCTCCTATTGGGTTTAACATCACAAACTGATTGTTCTTATTCTTCTAATCTGATAATAGAACCCCTGCTAAGCATATTCTTCTTAAATCAGCTAGAAGTAAGAATACTTGTTAGTCTCAGTTTTACTAATCAGATAGGTATACAGTTTGTTACTAGCTTCCAGAACTAAATTTCAAATAAGTAACAAGCATTCAACTTAAGAACTGTGGTATTCTTACTTCAATAAGCTCGTTAGCAATCTTGATCTGCATCCGACACAGACTGTTGTCTGATATGGAGCTCGGTTGAATAGTTCTGGATTGTGGGGTTGCTCTAGTTCAAGGATAAATAAATCTTATTAAAACAGAATATCTGTATGTAAGAAAGAGCACATAAAAATCTGTATGTCATCAACTTTTGAAATCGTTTGTCAAATTGGAACTAACCAGTTGAAAATGCTCTGAGGGAAAAAATATCAGCTTGTGGGTTGCTCTATAAGATAAGCTTTCCGGGGATAGTGTTTTATTTTATCCATATATCAGTAGGCTATCTAGTCACTACTTTGCACATTCACTGCCTATCTTCCAGATTTCAGAACTGCAATATCGAGCTTCCCTTACCTGTTAATGTTCATCTTGTACTCTGTCACGGTCTTGATCAATCTTCTTGCTGTGTTCAGTCGATTGATGGATCCAGTAACTCAAGACTTAAGAAACATGAATACTCTGGCAAAGGTATGCAAAGCTAGTTAGCAGGTCACTCCAAACATGTTAATAAATCACAAAATCCTAGCATTGTACATCTATAATGCCTATGGGAACTTCACTTTAATACATGATTCTGTAGACAATGAGACAAAGGCGAATTGCAAGAGGAGCACTAACTCTTGCTTCAGCAGAGGTCAAATTTCAGATTGATACTGAGACTCATGACCCTCTTGATATTGGTAAGTGTCAACAGACGACTACCTTTTGTCTTGCTAAATTGCACATTCACTGAAGTTAATTAACATCCATGGGTTAAATGAGTCATCTCCAAGTTGATTCTTCTGTACCCGACTTTGACTTGTTATATGCTCTCTGTGGATAAAGTTTATGTTGACTTCTTGAATTCCTTCTAGCAAGCTGGGTCTTTTTTGGTGCACCTGTTGCTAGCGCTTTGTTCCTGGAATACCAAATGGTCATTTCATTCGTACTTGTCTTGTTGTAGGAATGTACCAGATTCGCGAGGCAAACCAAATGGTAGAAGAGTTCATGCTTGCTGCTAATGTTTCAGTAGCTGACCAAATCCTTAAACATTTTTCCGACTGTTCACTGCTAAGGTCAAATTGCATTTCCAAGTTTTCATTTTTAACATCCAGTGTAGATCATATGTCAGGGAATCTTTGTCTGTTAACAATGTTTGAAAGTGACTGTAAAGTTGTTGTTGCGGAGCAGCATTACAAATTGAGCATACTAATGGAGTTCTTAGAAAAGCATTCATTTAGTGAGGTTGGGTTGCCTCCTGAAGGAACTTTTCTGTTTGCAGGCGTCATCCTACTCCCACCAAAGATATGCTGGAACCTTTGTTGCGCACAGCTGCTGCAATTGGTTTGAACTTGGATGTGTCATCATCGAAAGCACTAGCTGATTCACTTGACCATGCTGTGGTGAGTCTTTCATAATTTTTTTCTTTTTACTTTCAGCACTCCTCGTGCATCAATTTGATTCCATAAAACTTAACACAGACCATATTAGAAGATACATTTTCAAGAAACGTAGAAGGTTCTTTTGTAGATAAACGTCTTTTCCCCTCATGTGCATTGGCCCCACTTTCAATTTCCATTTTCCCCCCCTGTTGATTACTTGTGCAATGCTGTCTGCCCAGAGCGATGATCCATATTTCAACAAGCTCATTCGTATTATGGCAACCAGATGTATGTCACAGGTAGTGCTGGCTTCTCATGTTTCAGGTTTGTTTGTTTGTTTTTCTTAGCAATTATATTACCAGTCCTGACTCCAGACTTGACTATGTATTCAGGCGGTGTACTTCTGCAGTGGTGATCTGAGCCCACCTGAGTTCTATCATTATGGTCTTGCAGCCCCTCTGTACACTCATTTCACATCACCTATTAGGAGATACGCAGGTTTGTGGACTATTTGTGGTGGGTTCTGGTTCGCTCATCCTTTCATTTAGTTGTGAGAGTGAGCACATCTTTCTTTGGTTGAAGATGTCGTGGTGCATAGGTTGCTGGCTGCATCTTTAGGGATATATACGCTCCCAATAGTATTCCGTGACCGGCCACAGTTAACCAGTATTGCTGATAGTAAGATACTCTTCTCTACAATGCCCCTGATCCACATTTTAAATTGAAGGGAAGGTTGCTGATTTTGGTGTTGGTTCAGATTTGAATTACCGGCATAGGAATGCCCAGATGGCAAGCAGAGGTTCCGTCGAGCTCCACACACTAATATACTTCAGAAAGCGGTGTGCAATCTCTCTCTCTATTTGCATGAACATTCAATGAATGAAACCCGGCCATGATACTGGGGTGTCTTTCCTCCTAATATTTGGTTTTACCTGCCGTTGTAGCCCTACTGAGACGGAGGCCAGGATTGTGAAGATAAGATCCAATGGTTTTATCGTCTTTGTGCCCAAGTATGCATCTGCATGATTCCATACTGCAAGTATATATTATATCTAGTGTACTGTACATCGATTGGCTAGTTATTAACAGCCTGGTCTGTAACGAATGTACAGATACGGCATAGAAGGGCCGGTTTACCTGACCCCTAAGGGCGAGAAAGGCGGGAGCAGCGGGGGGGAGTGGTTTGTGGATGAGCAGCAGCAGAAGATCAAGAAGATGGACGGAAGTGTTTCTTATGGGATTCTGCAGGCCGTGAAGATCCAGTTGGAGGTTGCTGAGCCTCAACCGAACCGACCTAAACTCCAGCTTACCCTTGTCTCCTGAACAGAACTTTTCCCTTGCCCTTCTCCTAGCTAGTAAAAGCAGCCTTCATTCAGGTGGGAATGCAAATGGGAAACTGTTAACCTTCTGAAACATGTTGGGAGGTGAAATTTCAGGATTTTATTTATTCACAAGCAATGCAGTCAAAATCTAGATTTTAAGTAAAATCGAAAACTGAGGTAGAATCGAAATCTTAGATTAAAATCGTAAAATCGTAAGATTTTAAGGTTCATATTAAAATAAATACTTAAAACACTAGATAGTAATAAAAATGCATATCTTGAATAACAATCAACCACATAAAGCATAATTACTTCCCAAGATAACTTTGTTTGCTAAACAAACACAGCTAATCCATATATTTTTCTTGTACATAATAGAAACACACAAATAAGAAACCTGAAACATTATAGATATCCCTGTTAATTAATTGTTAAGAGTAGAAAATCACATAAGATCGTTAGGATCAACATTAACATCACTGACACATCATCATCATCATCCTCAACCTCAACCTCACCCTCACTCTAATCGTTTTTGTTTGTTTAAGGACTAATATCATTACTCTTATAATCACTTGAAGTACTTTCACCATTAACCATATTTCCTTGATTATCATCATCTGGAAAAGATAACTCATTGATTGATGCATTCCCTTCTTAATTGATAAAAGGTCGGGTTAGTGGTGCTGAAGGATTGGGAGATGAACAAAAGCATGCAATGTAATGGAGATTTGGATTATGGTGAGGGTGGTGGGAACAAATTACAAGCTAATTGGGAGGCTGGAAGATATCGTTGATGAAAGGAGTTGGGCGCCGACGTGCGAAAGAGTAAGATACGAGGAAGAGAATGAAAATAAATTGAGAGTTAACTATCAGGTTGGGGTTGTGTTGTTCATTATGTTGGGTTGGGGAAAGTAAATATGACTCGGTTCATGGGCATAACCCAACTTGACCGGCCTAATTTTGATCCAATTGATATGAACTTTGAAATCGTAGAAAATCGTAGAAATCGTAGATTTTATGGATTTTAGAGTTTTAAATCGGGATTTTATGGGATTTTAAGGTTCAAAGATTTTACAGTAAAATCAGGATCGAAACCCATAGGTAAGATCGTAAAATCACAAGATTTTAAGATTAAAATCGGGATTTTGACTACATTGGCTCAACTTGGAATTTGGTTTGAACATTCGGTAAACAAATTTAAACAAAGAAATTTTTAGCCCAATTGATTGACAATGACATGGGTTGTAGGGGTGGTTATCTGGTTAAATTGGCCTGAATTGATTCGGTTCCGTTTCGGTCTTTTTAAGAATATAAGGACCAAAGATTGGATTCGATACGGTCTGGTCTTGAACTAGTTGGTCTTGAACCGGTGCGATCCTAATTTGGTCTTGATTTTAGATTGAGCTTGTGGAGATTTAAGTGGCTTGAGGGGGATTTGAGTGGCCTATTGGTTGAAAAGGTAAGGAGGTTAAAGTTTGGGTGTTGGGCTATCTTATTTGGTCTTTATCCGATTTTCGATTCGGTCCCACACTGTTTTTTTACCTCAAATCTAGGCCCGAAAATTAGATTGGATTATTTGTTATCCGGTCCTGATCCGGGTTATACGGTCCGGTTTCGAGTAAAACCGAAAGCCAGAACCAAATAGCCAGGGTGGGGCAGCGTTTTGGAGACAAGCCCAACAATTGGTAGAGACTAGAGGCAGCCTCTTTTTTTTTTTTTTTTTAGGAAATGGGACGTTGAAAGGGAAATGGAATGATGGGGATGGAGGTGGGAAGGCGTTAAAGTGGTAACTAGAATTCTAGTAGCCATGGTAGCTACATTAGTATCCGCCATCTTTCCCCCCCCCCCCCCCCCTTTTTTTAATCTCACGGTTAAGATTGCTCGAGGGTAATTTTGGAATAAAAAAAGAGTCAACACCCAATTATTCTATATATTCTATACAAACCCTAATTCTACCCTCCTATCCCTCCAGCCAAACCTGTTGCAACCGCAAGCTCCCATCATCGTCAAGAGGCTACCCAAACCCTACTTCTACCCTCCCCTCCCTCCAACCAAACCTGCCATAGTCGGAAGCTCCGTCGACTGCCTCCGCCACTCCCGCCGGCCTCCTCCACCAGCCCCGACGCACGCCTCTGCCAGCCCCGAGGCACCACCCTTGAAGTCCAATGAACACGGCCATCCGTCGTCGCCCAACCGCGGAATAAGCGGTTCCGCCGATCCCGAACCAGAAGCTCGCGGAAGAGAGAACATCGATTCATATCACCATCATTGCCTCGAGTAGAGAGAGATAGAGAGGGATGGAGCGAGAGCGCCATGGATTATATATACATACTTGGAAGGAATGGGAGCGAGAAGAAGAGCAGAGGCTGAAGACAGAACCAAAAAACAAAGAAAGTGATCTTTGTATGCAATGGTAGTGATATAGCATTTTCGCAGTTATCTGTACACATTGGTAGTGATCTTGCAATGGTAGTGATCTTTTGGTAGATTGGTATGTTATTTGATCTTGCAATGGTAGTGGTCAAGATGAGTTGCACTATTTTTTTTTATCTTGCAATGGTATGTGTGTGTGATTCTGTTGAGACAGGCATGCATTGGTAGTGGTAGTTAACTGCAAACAATGGTAGTGATCTACCGTATGGAATGGTAGTGTTCATTGTTATAATTGCAATAGTATTGTTCGAGTTTTATGGAATGGTATTGGTTACCGTACAAAAGGTTGCTACAAACACTAGATACTAACAATAACAAAGCACATACACCACATCAATTGTGACAAACCAACACGAAAAGACACAACCACTACGAAACCAATAAAAAACAATGATGCATGTGACTGAAATTAATACCAAACTAACCAGACACGACAATACGTTGCACAATAAGGCTAAATAAATATCATTACAATAATGATCATCATAATACCAATACCAATTGAATGAATACCGACACAATCAATTCAACTTTAAATTTGTACCAATGCAATCATTGTAGATTAAAAACCACAACCATTGTCGATCACTACCAGTACAGCCATACAAAGTACGTAACACTACCAATGTCGATCACTACCAGTACAACCCATACAAAGTGCGTAACACTACCAATCCAAATCACACCAGCTACATGCAAAGCCACGTTCACTTAAATATATACCAATACTAATCCATCCAAACAAATATATACCAATACCACAATGTCAACACTACCAATAAAACATATACACCACTACCAAACCAATAAGTACCAAACTACCATTCCTACCCTTAGTAGCCACGGTGGCTACAAGTTTCCAGTTACCACCGTAACCGCTCCCGATAGAGGCGGCCTCCTTGATTACGCATGCAACTTCTATAGCTTGTTCCTAAAGTCAGGTTTAGACATATACATGGAATTCAAAATTTAGAATTGAAAATAAATTCTTTTAAATATCAAACACAAAAATATTTCATTTCAAAATGAATTCTTGAAAATTTATGAAATACATTTATACCCAACCGTAAGTAAGTAATTGTCATTATGTGTCGGTTCAAAGTGAAGGACCTCTCCCAACATCAATTATTTTTCAACCGTTTAATGCCCTTCCCTTTCGTCCCTTTACACAAAGAAAATGTAATACAATCTATTTCTCCATGGAGAGGGATGTGCAAAGACAACGTGAAAATTAACCTTAATTCAAATTAGGAGGATGCAAAAATGAATCGCTCTGTTCATAGAAATTTCAGAAATATAGTACAATGATAACATTGTTTTTTTTTCCAATAAAACTTGTCTTAATTATAATTATAATTTTTGAGTTTCGAATATAATAACAAATGGTGGAATTGTTTCAATTATAGGCTTATTGATTGAAAATAAATTGTAGGCTATTGTGAATTGAGTTTAAATTATTTTAAAGTCGGTCACATAATTAATAATTCAAATGGTGTCAGTAGATGTGCTCCCCATTATTTTCCACATGCAGGGAGGGCCGACCATTCCAAGGAATAGATACAACCTAACCCGAGTATAGCTTAGCTGCTACCGACTTTCCTGCTTTTTTCATAAATAATATTATATACATTTTTTTTTTTGCTTGTTAAGAAAATGACCTTAATTTTATTTATATTTCTCCTTGTCGGTTTTCTGGCTATAAAATAACACACAAAGTACCGCTTCCCCCATGCGCTGCTGCACACACTGCCAACTTCATTTTCCCTTTCTGGCGATAGAAGATAAAATCTAGGAAAGGAACGACGACAAGCTTGAAATAGGGTGAGCAATGGCTACCGCCCAGCTGTGTATATCACTGGTACTTTTGCTGCTCTGCTTCAATGGCTCTGCTCTCGCTGCCAAATACTTGGATCGTAAGTTCTTTCAACTTCCATGACCACACCTCAAAGATCTGCTATTTGCGCACCACCTGTTTGCTGTTTTTCCTGAACCCTTCCCCTTGCTTTGCTTTGCTTGAGATGTGTTAGTTTTTAGCTCATAACCCACACCTGCTGCGCGGATGTGTGCTAATAATAAGCCTTTCCATGGCCACATTCTGTTCCGCAGCTCAAAGATCTGATATTTGCACACCACCTTTGCGTTGCTTTGCTTGAGATCTGTTGGTTTTTAGCTCATAACCAACACCTGCTGCGCACATTTACCTCACCAGTCTTCCATTTGATTGGGTGGTAATGATTTGTTCCCGTTTCCACTTGCTGCTTCGTTTTTTCCACAGGTCTGCTGAACAATGGAAACTTCGAGCAGAGCCCAAAGCCTGGCGGCTTGAAGAAAACGGTTCTCCAAGGCAACAAGGCGCTCCCCGGGTGGGAAACCAATGGGCTGGTGGAGTACATCTCTGGAGGGCCACAGCCGGGAGGGATGTACTTCGCAGTGGCTCATGGTGTTCATGCCGTCAGGCTTGGGAACGAGGCCTCCATCTCCCAGACCATAGCAGTGAAGCCTGGCTCTCTTTATGCGCTCACATTTGGTGCCTCCAGAACCTGTGCTCAGAACGAGGTGCTGAGGGTTTCAGTACCCCCACAGACTGGAGATCTGCCCCTCCAGACCTTGTACAGCAGCAATGGCGGAGACACTTACGCTTGGGGGTTTAGGGCCAAGGGCCGTGTTGTCAAGGTGACTTTCCATAACCCTGGTGTTCAAGAAGACCCTGCTTGTGGCCCTCTCATCGATGCTGTCGCCATTAAGGAGCTCTTCCCTCCATTCCCCACCAAAGGTAATACATATTAATTGCTATTATAGATGAAAATTGGGTCCAACTTGTTTGTATGTTGCCATTGTAAGGGGAAGCTCCAATTTGTTATTCTAAAACTGTTTTTGGGGGACTTCTTCCGCAGATAACTTGGTGAAGAACCCTGGATTCGAGGAAGGACCTCACAGGCTGCTCAACACGTCAAGCGGAGTTCTCCTCCCTCCTAAGCAAGAGGACGCCACATCCCCTCTCCCCGGCTGGATAATCGAGTCGCTGAAAGCCGTCAAGTTCATCGATGCGAAGCACTTCAATGTCCCTTCTGGGCTCGCGGCAGTTGAGCTGGTGGCGGGCAGGGAGAGTGCGATTGCACAGATCATTAGGACCATCCCGAAAGCAACATACAGCCTGACGTTCTCCGTTGGAGATGCCAAGAACGGGTGCCATGGGTCCATGATGGTTGAGGCATTTGCTGCCAAGGACACGTTCAAAGCTCCCTTTGTCTCGGAAGGGAAGGGGAAGTTCAAGACAGTGAGCTTCAAGTTCACAGCCATGGAAGCTAGGACGAGAATCACTTTCTACAGCTCGTACTATCATACTAGGATTGATGATTTCGGGTCGCTCTGTGGACCTGTTATCGATCAGGTCAGAGTTATTCCAATTAAGGCTTGATTAAGCGCCCATGTTTGTAGTAAGTTTGTGCCTGCTAGATCGTATTATTGCATTTGCAGGCAGGCGCACCTCAGGGATAGTGGTGTTAAATTAAAGAGTATCTATCTATAATCTTATTAAAAAAAAATGGTTGTGAAATTTCTCGGCAGCAACTGATCAGTTGTGTTGTGCTACTCTTTTTCTTGATTTTAAAGGATTGTCTCCTAAAGCTCTGTTTACACTTTGCATCGTGGGGTATCTATCGTATCGGCAAAGCCTAATTATTCGCGGTCTGATTAAAATTTCCATGCTTGATTGGCGCTCCACAGTGTATTTAGATCATGTTCCGGTCCAGCTGTGTTCCCCTGTCCTTAACTTTGTCATGTGAGTAGATTTGGTTAGTAACTCAGATAATTAGTGTGTTACTTTACAACCTACATAATTATTTTCTCATTCAAATTTATATATTTGTTTTGTTTTAATTGATTTAAAATATCTTTGAAAAAAATAATATATGCTAATATATTTTAAAATAAACATAGTAATTGAGTCGTTACCGTTGGGAAATAGAGTTATACATTATTTTATCAAACACGTACATATACTATTTTTTACATCATACATTTTCCTTTATTTTGGAAAATGATAAATTGCAAAGTTGGTCACTAAGTTTACTAAACTTTCTGTGTTTGGTCACCAATTTTTTTTTATATCATTTATGGTCACTAACTTTATACTCTCGTTTCAGAAATGGTCACTTACCGTCCATTAGTGATGGCAAAAATATTCGTAGCCGTGGTTATCTGCCTGAATCCAACCTAATCGGGTAGGGTAAAATTCGAACACAAAGACTTTTGGTGGGACGGGTAAAACTCTAACCCGAAGATTGCGGGTAATGGGGGCATGGTTTTCTCACTATCCAATCCGAACCCGCCCGATTAAAAACATGCATAAGTATTTTGTCTAGAAATAATCATTATTTATATCTAACATAATTTATATTTAGCATATAAATATAATATTTTTATGAAATTATGTTGTTTTAATTAATTTTCTTCATTCTAGCGAAGTATTGTCGTACTTTTCCTCTTACATAATGTGAGTATATGTGTGAATGTTAACATTTTAGTTGGAGTTATAAAGAGAAATTATTATCCATGCATAATCGTGGATACCCGAAACCCAAACGGATATGAGCATGGTTTTTATTTTCTACCTGTTTCTCGTATGTGTATGGGCAATGGCAGATACATGCATATTTAGGGATGTCCCGGGACACCACTAAAATTTGGAAATACGATTATTCAATCTCCGATAGTAGTTTGCATATAAACAAAAAAAAAAAAGTTCAAGTGGTAGTGGGACACCCTTAAAATTTGAGAAAAAAGATTATCCAACCTCCCGTAGTAGTTTTGGTACAAAAAATATTTTAAGTATTAGTCTATGTGATTTAAACTTGGGACACTACATTTATTAGTAAACCTATTTTCAATTACACTACAACTCAAAAGTTACTTTATATTACTTGATAATTGTGACATTGAAGGAGAATGGGTATCCTAAGTTACTAATTTCTATATATATTTCATATTAAAAACTTGCAATACTTATTGGGGTTAATTGCATGGTTGATCACTGAAATTACGAAAAACGTTCATGTTTGGTCCTTGAAAATATTTATATCCACGTGTGATGTTACTAATTTCTAAAAAGTATTTCTTCATACCAGTATTATTAACTTGTTTATCTATTAAATCCAAACAGAACTAATACAATTATACATTAAAATAGTAATCAGAAACTTCAAGCGACCAATTGGTACCTATTCATTGACTAACGAGTACATCTTTTAATGTTTGTTTTACTTTATTGCAAAATGTGTTTCCTCGATTCTTATTTAGCTGCTTAGACCTTAGATGTTACCTATTCATCAAATGAGGGTTAGGTCAGCATTTTTTTGGATTTGTGTACTTTACATGCTAGTTAATTCTCTCTTACAATCACATGTAACCTTTCACATTATTCGCTTTATGCGAAGCATAGCAGCGAACGAGAATATCTAGTACAATAGATGAGTTTCGTCAACGCGTCTGTTCTCCGTTGAAAATATCTAGCACAGGGAACTACTACTACTACAACTGTGAATACTGAATACTACTCCAAGACAACAAGGAAACGAGTCTTGTGTTTCCTGCTCAGTTCGGGACCAAACAATCTTCTCTTAGGCATCACTTCCGTCGAACTCACTGTCAAAGTCGGCATCCTCCTCTGTAGCTGGTTCCTCATCACTCTCAGAATCGCTCACGACGTACGCCGCCGGACGGCGGTTGCCTCTCTGCGGCCGAGCTCTTGCCGCCGGCTGAACATTTTCAGCAGCAGCCTCTGATGATGCAGAAGCCGGTGAAATTTCGTCAATCGCACTCAGCGAAGCTTCGTTACCAACAACCTTGCCCAACACGGAGCCACTCTTCTTGTTGAAAGGCGATTCCCTAATCTTCCTCACCTTCTTCTCTGGCGATATTCCTTCACTCTCCGCAAGCTTCAAAATGTCGGGCAGAAGCTTCTGTTGGGCCTGCTTCCCCGCAGGACCTCTCTTCTTTGCGGGGGCTTTGGTTGCTTTCGCATTTGCAGCTGCAGCTGCAGCAGGCTTCCTTCCTCCTTTCTTGGCTGGTGCAACTGCTACCACTTGTTCATCAGAGTCGTCATCCAGGTCTACCACCTTCTCCGCCACAGCAACCTTCCTAGCTCCGCCTCTTTTCTTGGGCTCTTTCTCTGTCGCTGCCGGTACATCAGCGTCCATGGCTGCAGGGGAGGGTGTAACCAGCATGCATTAGCACTAACCAAACTAGCATACATCTAAAGAAGGCCCCTTTAGATTGCAGGCTGAAAGCAAATTATTAGTTTGCTCACCATAAGAGTTTTCTGGGGAGGAATCAAGCCTGTAAGCTTTCAACCGATCCTTTAACGACTCTACATCATCCTCGTCACTGTCATCTACTGCTAGTTGTTTTCCCTGTTGTTGACAAAGAACCAGCTCAATATTATCAGAGAAACGTCGTTGTGGAGGATACACATACTGTATATGTATGGCTTGAAAGAGCAAAGTTTACCTTCTTAGCAGGAGCTTTCTTTGTGGCTGCCTTCGCTTTTGGTTTCACGACCGGAACAGATTCACCTGACAAAAAAAAAAAAAAAAACACGGTAAGAATTAGTTTTGAGTACCAGCTGCAACGGAGAAATCAGAGGCAGTTCCAAACTATTTATCCCACCTGGCTGCTCACTTGTATCCATTGCGGAACTCGACAGTTTCAGCCTTTCCAGATCTTCTTCCACGCTCTTAGGCTTTGGGTTGTTCTTTACGATCTTCCTTGCCGCGGCTTTTGGGGCAACAACACGGGTCTGTTTCGCCCGAGGTCTTAGCTTTCTGTCCATATCTTCTTGTGCCTCGAGCTCCTGAACATTTACATATATATATCACACCCAAAAGTCACAGGAAAGGTACAACGAGATCAGAAAGAAATTTAAATGCTTGCGTTGCCAAGGAACTTACGTTGAGTTGCTTGTCAAAAGCATCTAGGTCATGTAGCCACAAGTCCTTCACTGACATCTTACGCAGCATATCAACTTCGCCTTTGAGTTTGTCCCTGTCTTCAAGTAGCTTCTGTACCTTCTCATATGTCAAAGTTGCAATAGCCATTGACAATAAGTAGTCATAATCACTTGCTCGGATTCCAGAAGCATTCACAGGATCAGTATCGTCATTTTCCTCATTTTCTTCACTTGTCTCTGAAGCCACAGCTGATTTAGACTTCACAGGCATTGGAGTGAAACCTTTCTGGTGCAACTCTGCTATCAGCCCAGCTTTCTTCCTATTGTTCACTACGATCTCACCACTCACCACTGCCAGAATAAACCTGACCTTATTTTCCAGTCTCAGTAACTCCATCTCAAGAGCTGCCAACTTTGCTTTCTGCACTCGTAACAAATGAGCAACAGGTGTTAAGCAGACCAGGAATTGAGCTGTTATTAATTCTCCTGGGTAGGAGAGGCCCTATAGAAGCTGTTAAGGATGCAATTTTACCTTCCTCTTGTCGTAGTAATCAAGTCTCAAGTGGAAGAATTCCTCAATCACTGTGGACAGTGAAACAAGCAAAGAATCATGTGAGATCATATTTGTACTATAGGAAGAAGAAATTCACCCAAAACTGGAATTATAGGATTCAAAACCTTGTTCAGGATTATCGTATTTCTTGATTTTGCCTGCGGGGTCGAAAAGGTGCATGTTACTCGTATTTATAGAGCTTGTCAATTTAAATTTCTTCAGCAAACCCTCATTCCTGGCAAGTTGCATCTTCTCTTCGGAAAGTGTAATGTCAAACTCAAATGCATAGTCATCGCCCTGCTCCTTGAATCCCTGGCACCAACAACGTCACTAGGGATTAGCAACCAGAAACGAAACACAATAAGATGTTCTCAGCTCATAAAACACAAACCTTTATCAGCGGTTCCTTGGGAAGGTTTCCGTTCTCATCTTTAAGCCCTTCTGTGACTGATTTCAGAAATTCCCTGAAATTCTCGGTCCAGGTACGGATTGGCAACTCTGTTACTCTGACCGTTGTCTCATCAATTTCTTCAATGACTCCATTAGATGTGTAGCTGACCCCATTCTCCTTTGCTGAACCTCTTACAATTGTGCCTCTGAATCCTTTGTACCAAGGCTCCATGGGCTCCATCATTTCATCATTCAACAACCTCCTTATATTGGCCACGATATCTCTGGGATTATAATTAGGGATGAAGGTGCTCCACCCAGTGCCAATTCCTTCACTTCCGTTCACCAGAACCATAGGCAATATCGGCATGTACCTGAAAGAAAGGTGTCAGCAAAGCTTATATGGGGTCATCTATTTATGTCGCGTTCCCTTGTCTGCATGATAGGCGCAGAGATTTACCATGTTGGTTCAATGGATTGTCCATCGTCTTCCAGGTAGTCGAGAATGCAGTCGTCGTCCTTGGGGAAAAGGAACCTTGTTATAATTGAAAGGCAAGTATGGATGTACCTTGCACTTGCAGCATTCTTCCCACCCTGTGAAGACACATGAAAAACACGGTTGGCTATAACTGCGGGTAACTAGTTCCATTTAGCTTAATCCCAACTTTGATATGGACGAAATGACTTACATTGGCTCGAGTACCAAAATTTCCTGCTGGTACGAATAGGTTGATGTTGTTGCTGCCAACAAAATTCTGTGCCATTCCAACAATCGTACTGCAGAGACTTTGCTCCCCATGATGGTAAGCGCTTTGCTCAGATACGTAACCAATAAACTGCGAAAGCTTTAATTCTTTGACAAGATTCTTCTTGAAAGCAGCAAAAAGGATCTTCCTTTGCCCTGGCTTCAGGCCATCAACCATTGAAGGGATAGACCTTTGAAGATCGGCAACAGAAAACAAAATAAGCTCTTTGTTAATGAAATCACTGTACTTTATGAGCTGGGCTGTCTGATCAAGGTGAGTTCCAGGCTGCAAAAGAATACCACATCATGAACAGGAGGGAAGATAAAAGAAAATTGCACGACAATGACGGGAAAGGAAAAGCTGCAAGTCAGCACAACTAATATACACGGAAGTCCAACCTCATATTGCCTAATCCAGTCTTTCCTGGCTTCAATCTTCTTCTTGCTGAACGCAAGCTCTATAGCATTTCCATCATCGTCATCCACCCACCTAAAATCTTTCTTGTGCTTACCAAGATCACTGAAGTACTCCTTTCCTTCCTTATCCGTACTGGTCCCCAGCCCCTGTAACCAATAGCAGCATGAATGAAGCAGAACAAGAAGATTCTATGAGGCATTCAACTTAAGGAAGCCAAGTAGTGGACCTTATAATACTTAATGCTCCAGCTGCTTTTTGCAGCTCCAAGGTTCTCAACCCAGGACTTGTACTCAGGCATCGTATAGAAGCACAAAACCTGGCCTCTTTTGCTAGTTGCCTGCATGAATAGATAGACTGATCGTCAAGAATATGTAAGAGGGAAAAGAAAACAAAAATCTCCTACTAAACGGCATGCATGCTCTTTGTTTATACTCGACCCACCTTCACAATGGGAGTTATAAACTCAACCATGAAGGAAGGAACTCTAAGCAATGAAGGCCAGAAAGAGTGTATGAAGTTGATCAGCAAGCCTTTAATATGAGAACCATCATGATCCTGTACAACAAAAGGTAAACAGGTAAACCTCTTGTCAGCAAGTGACATCTCCAAACTAGGCGAGCTGATGAAGAGACAAATAATTAACTATAGAAATGGACAATGCGGCACTACACCTGATCTGTCATAATCATCATATGGCCGTATCTCAACGACTTGACATCCTCATATTGTTTATCCTGTCTCAACCCCAGTATCTTCTTTAGGTGCTGAATTTCCTTGTTTTCATTCAGCTGTTTAACGGTGGCTTCCCGCACATTGAGCAACTTGCCCCGTAATGGAAACACACCGTAGTAGTCCCGACCCACGATAGAGAGTCCAGCAACCTGAATCAATGAAGAACTGTTAAAAAAAAAAAAAAAGGAGGTTCACTCATTCAAACAAAATCAGTGACTAATCAAAACTTACGGCCAAGCCCTTTGCTGAATCTCCTTCTGTCAAGATTAGTGTACACTTATGGGAGTTCTTCCCACCAGCCTCATTAGCATCTTCTAGCTTTGGAACATTGATCCGGGACGTTTTAGCTCCGTCAGTCTTCTTCAGCTCTTTTTGCTGCTTAAACTGCGCCCAGCTGAGGAGATTCTCCACAATCTCAGACTTCACCACTGAAAGAAGTGAATCAAACCAGACAGATAATTAGCTAACACAGCAGGAGGATGGGTAAAAAGTAATTGTGAAATGTGGCATCAACAACGAACCCTTCTTTAAAAGGTCTTCAGAAACCAAACAAGTAGACCCGAAACTGCTCTGACGCAACGTTAGAGTTTCCTTAGTTTGAGAGTCAAAGGCAGGGTTGTCAATGAGAGCATTCACGAAGACCCATAGATAGTTCTTCACATTATGAGCTTTAACGTTAGCATTCTTGTGCTTCTTATTTACAACTTCGGTCACATATCCTGTGATCTGATTAGTGACACAATCAACATGGGTACCGCCCTTGATTGTGGCAATAGAATTGACGAAGCTGACCTGAACAGAACGACCAGAATAATGAGAATACCAACAGCACCAATGTATGATAGATGATAACTCTGGGAATCCATCATTGTTAAAATCTGAGTACACATCCAAAGAAGCATAATTTATCATGTGGTAATAACCTGCTGAAATTGCCCCTCGGTAATGCTGACACAAAATTCCCACCTGTCTCCACTCTTCTCATAGAAGCTGCAAGAAGTTGGCCGCATATTAGTCTAATCGAAAATAAAAAAACATGTATATAAGATAACGAGGCTGCCATCTTAGATCATATTAAGCATGAGATATGTAGAGGATCACCATTGACGACGTGTTCCAGATTCGGCGACAGAATCCAGATAGAGATTGACGTAGTCCTGAAATGACTTCACTGGAATTAGGCTGTCATTTAACTCAACCTTCACGCCTTTTCCCAGGCAGCCAGCCATATCAACTACCCTTTTCATCATCAGTGCAACCACGTCATCTTCGAGATGGCTCATGTTAAACTTGGCTAAATCCGGCTTGAATGAGACCTTTGTCCAATTTTCGCCTGCCTTGCACTTGGTTATTTCGGGCTCCAATTTCGTGCCCATGTTGTCAGAGAAAACCTACACATTCAGGAGAAACGCAAAGATGAAGAAAGCAACTACCCAATCAAGTAAGAACTAGCTTAGTTTATTACTGCTAAAGGGTACCCCAAAACCCTAACTCTCGACCCACAACCCATCAGATTTCTACTAACGCAAATCCCAGATTAGACAGGAATTTTTTTTTTAACAATCATCCTCACCTGGGTTAATCAATCATCAGAACAAAAAATAAGAACAAGTGAGCTCAAATACCAAATTAAAATCGTAATCAACAGAAATCAGTAAAACGACGAACCTGCTTATACTTCTTCAGCCTCTTCCCATCGGCTGTCTCAATAACGAACTCGGTGGAGAATATATTTGTTAGCTTAGCTCCATATCCATTTCTCCCACCGGTCGTCTTCTTCTCCGTGTCATCGTAGTTGCTGCTTGTCAACAAGTGGCCAAAAATCAGCTCCGGCACATACACACCTTCCTCTTTGTGAACCTCTACGGGAACACCGTCCCCATTGTTGTAAACGCTGACAAGGTTATTCTCCACGTCAATCGCGACCTTCAAGGAGTTCATCTTGGGATCCCTTTGCTTGTTATCCGCCGCATTGACCAATATCTCATCGAAGATCTTGTACAGCCCAGGCACGTAAGAGACGGAGCGATTCACCATGCGGCCGTCCTCATAGACCCAGAGAGTCTGGGTGTGCTTCTCGATTGACCCGATGTAGGTGTCCGGCCGGAGGAGGATGTGCTCCAATTGCGTCTTCTTCTGATACATTTCCTCGATGGTCTTCTGCGGGCCGTTGACCGACGGATCCGCCGCGAGATTCGCATTGTTGCTGGTCATCAGCGGCCCCTTCTTGCTCCCCGCCATGATTCCGGATCCCTAAGGAGAATTTAGGGTTTGGTGAGAACCGAATGGCTGAAGAGGATAAGATCTGCAGTCTCTGGGGTTACCGAGGGTTGGAAGACTGATGAGCTTAAAGGGTTTCGATTGGAGCTTGGAGGGATTGGTAGAGACTAGAGAGATTAGAGTAGAGACACAGAGATAGTGTCCAATGTAAAGGGAAGACGGGAAATCAATCAAGGTAGAGATATAAAGGGGAAGGAATGGGGAACGGTGAAGATGAAGGGCGACTGGAATTATTTTTTGAATTTGAACAGTTGAGCGGGAACACTGAAATTTCAAATGAACGGTGGAGATGTTTTTCAGGTGGTTTTAGGAATCTCGTGTACTTGGATTGGGGCCGGCCAATACGGGTGACAAGTAGTAAATATTCTGTTTAATACACGTATATGTACGCATATGTACTTTATTTGTTTAAAATTTTTGTATCTGTATTATTGTTAAGTCGTTTCATTTTTATCTGTTCTTTTGATGGCTCCCATATTCAACACGTATAAAAATCCGTATAACACGTTTGATATCCGTATTTAATGAATTAAATTATTATCTTCACCATTATTTGTATATATATTTATTTTTAAAATAATTAATTTTATATATTTATGACTATTAACGTACTATTAAATGTAACATTAGCATAGAGACAAAGTAAAATATCTGCATATATTTTATACGTAACTTTCCCAGACCGTATTTTACTAGTTATGGTGGTTATCACTTGGCTGGAAGTTTGGTACCGGTATTTCAGATATACCGAATATCGTACCGAATTTATCGTTATTTGCTATTATCGAATACTGGTTTATGTTTTAGGAATTGAAATTGTGGTTCATTTCGGAATGCTATTCGGTATTCAGGATAACGAGATTGGGATCGGTATATACCAAAATACCGAGAAATACGAAAAATTAAAAATTAATGAAATATAATACACAACCTTTGGTCATTCCTAACTCTTTCACAACTTAGAAGCTCACATCCAACTCAATTTTGACTTTTCCAGTTTAAGTCACTCTCGTCCCTCACATAATCTCTTGCTATTTTCATAACATCAAAAAGCAAACACTGGAATTAGTCGTATCTTAGCCTTGAATTCGTCAAATTAAAGATTACCAATGACAAGAATTTGGGATGTCATCTCTCCTTCATTCTCCTTATCCGTATCCTAGCTCTAGGCAAACTCAAGACTCTTTGCTTAGTCTCTTTGCCCTAAATTAAACAATGAAATTTCATTTATATATTTACTTATTAATGGCAACTGTAATTAATTTCATATTCGATAATACTTATTGAAATACCGAAATACCGATTGAGATATCGAAATATTTAGGGATTGAGATACCAAAATTATTTAGGGATTGAGATTGTGATTGATTTTAGGGTGTAATTCGGTATTTAGGTATTTGGTATTGGGATACTGATGACTCGGTATTTGCACATGTTTTCCCCTTTGTTTCTTGATTGTTTGAGCTTGAATTATCGTGTCTTTGGCCTATTTTACGCTAGGTTGTGTTCCTTTGTCACATCTCAGGTCCTAGCACATAAAGTGAAGCATAGGCGCAAGTTTCAAGTCAATCAGAGATCAATTGACGATTCGGGAGAAGAAACTCGGGTATGACCTGAAGAATAATGGATTTATACCTCACTTTATGGACAAAGAATCATGCAATCTTGTCATGAAAAGAAAGAGGACTAGACTACGAGCGTCTGGGATCAAACAGCGACTGATTCGGAGTCCGGACGAGGGAGAAACGAAGCATTAAACAGAGGCTGAGCAAGCCACACGGGCACAACCCACACGGCCGTGTGACCTGGCCATGTGGCCGTGTGGAAATCACCGAGCCTTCACACGGGCAGCTGGGAAAGCCACACGGCCGTGTGGCCTGGCCGTGTGAGTCGGGAATTGCTGTTTAAAACCCGATTTTCAGCAAAAGGAAAGGGGGAGAGCTAGGTTTTGGATCCCAAACACCCAAGGGACGAACCCTATAGAGAGAGAGAGAGCGACTTGGGAACATTCTTGGAGCCATTTTGGAGGATTTCTTCGCCATTGGAGCTCGGGAATCAAGCTTGGAGATGGAGATTGAAGATCTAGATCAGATTTCTGCAGTCTCTCTCTTCTCTATGGAGTAACTTCCCTTCACTTAGGTTTTGAGGAGCCCTAGTTCCATGAGTTAGGATCTTTCTTGTATGAAGTTTTGGATGCTATATTGTTTGATTATAATCGAATGATGCATGTTTATTGAGTCAATTGAAGTCTGATCAACTTTTCCTGATTTCTGCTGCAACCTGAGATAGATAGAAGCTGATTAGGTTGTTAGAGCCTCATCATTCGGTAGTAGGAGATTGGCTATACGAGAGTTAGTCAGTTTACTGCTTTGTACTGGAATCCAATTTCAGTAGTGGAGTTCTGTGCTTATTGCTTCAGCTTTCTATCCCGGTGAAGACTAGTCGTCTACCGGATAGTTAGACTGAGAGGGCTTGGTCAGCTTAAGAGATTCCAAGCTACTATCGGATCTTCCGCAGTTTAATCAACAGTAAAACAACCAAAAGGAATTACAACTTGGACCTAATTGAGGAGCTAGGGGGAATCATACCTAAGTGAGTTCCCAAACTGTAATTAGTAGTTTTACTCAGTTTAGTTAGTAGAGTAGTTTAGTTAATCAATCCTTAATCTAGTTTGCTAGATAATGAATTGAAGCTGAGTAAAAGTAACTCTAGAGACCCGTGGATTCGATATTTATTACTTGTGCCACTATACTGCAGTCCCTTTCATTGGTTACACTTGGCCATTGTTAGGTGCTGTGTTTTAGAGCATCAAGTTTTTGGCGCCGTTGCCGGGGACTTTCTAGAGTATTAGGAAAGGCAGAAGTTTGTTACTTTAGCGTTTTTCTTTTCTTTTCCACCCTTGCTTTTCACTTGGGTGTTTTTGTTTTTGTTGGTGCAGATCTGAATCATGGATCCTAATGGCTTCTCCAATCATGGGGGGTATCCACCACCATCCGGGTGGTATTACCCCGCGACTCCCTACAGCAATCAAGGAGGAGAAGACTATGGATTCGGGTTCCAGTACCAACCCCCTTACTACGGAGAACAATCAGACCCCTGGGCATATCAAGAACAACCTCATTACCAAGAAGACTTTCTCCCACAACCAGAAGGGCCATCGGAGCTGGAGTTACCCATGGCGGCCTTCACGGGCCACTCTGCAGAGCCAAGCTATACTTCACTGGAGGATCCGAACAAACAATTAAGGCTTCTCGTGGAGCAGTTTGCTCGAGACACTGAGAAATCATGCTCCAAGATGGATATTCAAATCAAAGCCCTTGCCACTTCCGATCCCTCATTTCTCCATGATATGGAGGAGACTGTTCAGCGCTCAGCGAAGCAAACAGAGTGGGTGAAGCAAGTTTGCTCACATCTTGCTCAAGATCACCTTTCTGCTGCCACGCTAGAAGAGGTGGAGGATGACAAAGGCTATGGGAGCGTTGAGGAGCATACAGAAGTTATCACAGAGAACTCCCATGATAACCATGATCAGGAAAGTCCTTTGGTTGCAGACCACACCTTTCCTCATTTATGCTCTAACATGCTGGGCCCGTGCGAGGAGATGCAAGATGATCCCATTGAAGAAATTGCTTGGCGACTTGCTCTCCAATCTGTTCTAGAAGAAGAAGAGCGAGCAAGGATGAGGAAGGAAGTTGTGGATGATGAGGAAGAAAGAAAAGAAGAGGTGGTTCTTGATCTTTTCCCAGGGGAGAGACCACATTTTGAAGAAGGAAGGGGGGTTGAGGAAGCAATTGGCGTCCAGGCTGAGGATGAAGTTGAGGTGGAAGAGGCATGCACCGGCCATGAGTTGCAAGTAATATCCCCACCAAACTTTGAGGAACTGCTTGGCAAGGACCCATTTGCAGTGTCTCTTTGCCATACCAAGGCCACATCGACATCGGTCCCTCTTGGTGGACGCGATGGTGGTCGGTCGATGCTGTCATATCTGGTTTGGGGCAATGAGACGAAGAAGAGAAGAAGAGGTCTCGAGGGTGGAGACTTCATCTGCATCAAGTACATGAGCCTTCATCACCTACCACACCACATGCTCGTGACTTGAGACTCCACCTCATCGACGAGAACCTCAACTTCAAGGAGGTTCTAGCATGGACCGAAACTTAGGAGCCATCGTCCGGCTCACGACGTGAAAGAAGCGCTTGTTGGGAGGCAACCCAACCAGTCGGTTTGCATTTCTTTCTCTATTTCTCCTCGGTTGAGTCAGGTTTGTTATTTGATTTTAGAGTCAATAACTCAACCTTTGTGAGATTTTGTGTGGTGTTTGTGTTCTGATTACTCTCTCTCTTCCTGGAATGCACTGCCTGACCCAATCATCATTCACCCTTGATCTGGTAACTTCGTTCTACCCTCCTTATCTTTCCTCCATTGAGGATAATGTCGTGCTTAAGTGTGTGTGTGTGGGGGGGGGGGGTGTTCGATTATGTATGCGGGTGAATGTTTGGCTATTTGTGTGCTTGGAGCCTAGTCCACTGTCCAAATTTTTAAATTTGAGGGCTCCGTGTACGTGTTTCCTTGCAAATTGCCTGCTCAGTATGCTTTGAATCGACAGTCTCTATAGTAATGTGCAACCTAGGGAGGTAGTGTAGCACTATGGAGGATGTTGAAGTATAAGATTTTTCCTATCTAGCTCTCTGCTGTGTCAGTTGATTTTTGTGAATTAGTGGAGCTAGGACCGTTGAATTCATGTGGTAATGTGGACTCGGTTTGAATTGTGTTATGGACTCGTGTATTGAACAAGGTGCTCATGTGAGAAATGAAAAGCAGTTGGTCCTCCATGTCGAAATCATTGAAATCTTAAACATGGGGTAAGCCCAACGTGTGTGGCACCGTTCATTGCACAAAATCAGGTTTTGGAAGAGATTTTAGTGATCCTTAGTGGGGTACTCCTACAAGGTGAAGCTAAGTTGTCTCTAGTACAAGTAAAACTTCCACCCGTTGAACGGTTTGCCTAATTTCATTGACCCTCCACACGAGTTGAGGAAAAGGAGTTAAAAGAAGTACTCTGGCGAGCTCCAGATGTACAGAAATTGCTATTGCTCGACTAATAAGGGTCGACCGTGCAAAAGACTGCAGTTGGAACCCCACTAAATGAAAGAAAAAATGTAAATGAAAGTGAGAAAAAGGGGTTCCAACAGTGAAATGAAGTGAAAGAGCACCCCGGTACAACGAATCCTTGGTTGTGAATGGTGTGAGTCCCTTTATCCATAAACTGACTGTCTTACTTCTACTTTTTCTCATGATCCTGGCTTGAGTCTAGTACTCGCATTGAGAGAGATAGGGAACGTCTTAGAAGACCAGTTGACCTCGTAAGCTGCTATATGATCTAGGAAATCCTCTACCGACGATCGGGGTTGTATGTTGCTATAGAGCTCTGGAGAGCTGCATTGGTTTGAGTTAGGTTTGCTTGGGGACAAGCAAACAGTTAAGTGTGGGGGGATTTGATGACTCGGTATTTGCACATGTTTTCCCATTTGTTTCTTGATTGTTTGAGCTTGAATTATCGTGTCTTTTGCCTATTTTACGCTAGGTTGTGTTCCTTTGTCACACTTCAGGTCCTAGCACATAAAGTGAAGCATAGGCGCAAGTTTCAAGTCAATCAGAGATCAATTGACGATTCGGGAGAAGAAACTCAGGTATGACCTGAAGAAGAATGGATTTCTACCTCACTTTATGGACAAAGAATCATGCAAGCTTGTCATGAAAAGAAAGAGGACTAGACTACGAGCGTCTGGGATTAGGGATGGCAATGGGTCGGGTCGGGGGCGGATAGTACATATCCGTTACCCTACCCAATGTAGTTCGGGTTTTAACCATACCCGTACCCATACCAGAAACGGGTAGAAAATCAAAACCATGCCCATACCCGTTCGGGTTTCGGGTATCCACGGTTATCCATGGGTAATAATTTCTCCTTATAATTCCAACCAATATGTTAACATTCACACGTATACTCACATTACGTAAGAGGAAAAGTACGACAATAATTCACTAGAATGACGAAAATTAATCAAAACAACATAATTTCATGAATATATTATATTTATATGCTAAATATAAAATATTCTAGAGAAAAATAATGATTATTTCAAGACAAAATACATATGCATATGTATAATCGGGCGGGTTCAGGTTGGATAGTGAGATAACCATGCCCACCCATTACCCGCAACATTCGAGTTCGGGTTTTACCCGTACCCACGAAAAATGCTTCGGGTTCGGGTTTTACCCTACCCGATTAGGTCGGATTCGGGTGAATATCCACGGTTACGGATATTTTTGCCATCCCTATCTGGGATCAAACGGCGACTGATTCGGAGTCCGGACGAGGGAGAAACGAAGCATTAAACAGAGGCTGAGCAAGCCACACGGGCACAACCCACACGGCCGTGTGACCTGGCCATGTGGCCGTGTGGAAATCACCGAGCCTTCACACGGGCAGCTGGGAAAGCCACATGGCCGTGTGGCCTGGCCGTGTGAGTCGGGAATTGCTGTTTAAAACCCGATTTTCAGCAAAAGGAAAGGGGGAGAGCTGGGTTTTGGATCCCAAACACCCAAGGGACGAACCCTAGAGAGAGAGAGAGCGACTTGGGAACATTCTTGGAGCTATTTTGGAGGATTTCTTCGCCATTGGAGCTCGGGAATCAAGAAAGATCCTAACTCATGGAACTAGGGCTCCTCAAAACCTAAGTGAAGGGAAGTTACTCCATAGAGAAGAGAGAGACTGCAGAAATCTGATCTAGATCTTCAATCTCCATCTCCAAGCTTGATTCCCGAGCTCCAATGGCGAAGAAATCCTCCAAAATAGCTCCAAGAATGTTCCCAAGTCGCTCTCTCTCTCTAGGGTTCGTCCCTTGGGTGTTTGGGATCCAAAACCCAGCTCTCCCCCTTTCCTTTTGCTGAAAATCGGGTTTTAAACAGCAATTCCTGACTCACACGGCCGTGTGGCTTTCCCAACTGCCCGTGTGAAGGCTCGGTGATTTCCACACGGCCACATGGCCAGGTCACACGGCCGTGTGGGTTGTGCCCGTGTGGCTTGCTCAGCCTCTGTTTAATGCTTCGTTTCTCCCTCGTCTGGACTCCGAATCAGTCGCCGTTTGATCCCAGACGCTCGTAGTCTAGTCCTCTTTCTTTTCATGACAAGCTTGCATGATTCTTTGTCCATAAAGTGAGGTAGAAATCCATTCTTCTTCAGGTCATACCCGAGTTTCTTCTCCCGAATCGTCAATTGATCTCTGATTGACTTGAAACTTGCGCCTATGCTTCACTTTATGTGCTAGGACCTGAAATGTGACAAAGGAACACAACCTAGCGTAAAATAGGCCAAAGACACGATAATTCAAGCTCAAACAATCAAGAAACAAAGGGGAAAACATGTGCAAATACCGAGTCATCAGATACAGATACCGTACCTATTTTCAACCCTAGTTTTCAAGCTAGTTGGTCGAACCTAATTTAATTGTTGTCGGTCATGAAATATGCATGATCAAATTAGGGCCTATAAATAAAAGGGTTAATACCTTATTATGGTCTGAACTATATCTATATAATCAACTCTGGCCAATGGTTTTATAAATTGCTATCCTAGCCTCAACTATACAGTATACACCATATAAACTCAATTGACCTAATTCGTGAATTTCTGTCAAATTAGACGGTCAACATCACTGACGTTGATGTCATGTGTGAAATATAAATTTAATAATATAATAAAAAGATAAACTGAAAATAAAATAAAAAACACCTTTTCTATCCTCACTCACCAAATCGATCCCCAATAAATCAAAGACGAGTACAAGACTTGGAACATCGTCAAAACACCACACAAGTATAAAATTTCGAAAAATTGGATAATTTCCCGATGACGAAACTCATAGCAACCTAGCTCATGCTAAAACTCATGGTTTGATGATAAGAATGCATTTTAGCATAAATTGGACTACATTGTGGCCCAAACATGATGATTTAGCACACAAATACCATAATAATGGAGGCTAAATAACACAAATTTAGCTGTTATAAAGTAACCGCTTTCTCTTTTCGAAAGAAAAGGTCAAAAAATGTGTTCGTAACGATCTATTATTTGATGTTAATAATGTGAATCTTATTATCGGTACTCTAGAAGAGATTCCTAAATCAATTAATTGCTTAAAAGAAAAAATTGAAATAAAGGAATAAGAAGATCATTGTGGATCAGGAAGGTAACCAAAACATAGGATGACATTCACTGGATCAATCAATCGCAGACTATATAGGCAACCAAAACATGCAAATGATGTTTCTGGAAAAGCTGAAGATGAGAAGAAGCACCTATTGAGAAATCACATTGAACTTGAATAAAATGGAAACAAAAGAGCTGGAAAAAGGTTGTTTCTACGTTTGTTTCACTTGTTGCCCTTTCAAACGAACTGCTTTCATCCGATTCATTCACTGCTAATCAACATAGCGAGAAAAGATAAATTGCAGATTCTGTACATGTTACAGTTAGCAGGAGAGCGGAGGGAAAAGCAAGAAGACTAGTGAATTGGAAAAGACCAAACATACCTCTGCTACATCTTCAAATTAAAGCTAAGCTACAACAGCCACTTGGCGTCAGCATGCTACACAATTCCAACAAGCCAAGTTCATCCATCTCTAAACAGTTCTGCCTTCCTTCTCTTTGTCCTGTGATCATTGATACTGCAAACCTTGGCCGCAAACACTCTGCTGCTTCGTTCATCACATGGCAAGGTTCTGTTTGGTAGCTTCCATTTTCAACAGTAGGTCCTTGATATCCGCTTCCATCCTCATCTTCATGCCAAAATACTCCCTGTGGGACCTTTCTAGCGTCTGGAATTCCTGGAGCTTCTGCTTGCGCAATTCTTCAGTCTCAATTACCCGCAGTTTGGCAATCCTGCTTGCATACTCCCCTTCGATCTTTTCATTCTTTGCAGTAGCGATCCGTCTCAAGCCGTCAGCTTCTCTTCTTGCATCATCTGCTCTTGCTTGGAACATTTGTGCTTCTGCTTGTTTAATTCTCACTATGCCTTCCAGCTCATCAAAACCTGGCTCTTTCAAGCTACTACTTCTTCGCAACTCGGAAGTCTCAAGTGGGCGTTTATCATTCAAATCAGCAGGAAAAGTAGTAGGAAGCAGAAGACTAGAGGATCTCTCCAGTTTAGGACCATTCTCCAAAGTAGACTTTCGCCAATGTCCATCCTGATTAGGCCCAGCACTACTACTTCCACTCCCTTGTTCCTTACTAGTAGTTGTATAAACAGCACCACTTGTGAACTTGGAAGAATCACCATCTGAGATCACCAAATCAGAAAAGATATGGTCAGCAAGAACTAAGAGTGAAAATAGAAAGGTTTTACTAATATTGCAGCAAGTCCACCACCTACCATTTAGGAAGGCTGTGATATAGCTATAAACTTGTCGAAGGTTAGCCTTGTTTGCCATTTTTGCCAGCATCTGATCGGCAATCTCATGGAGCCGTCTCCCTCTCACATCCTTGCTACCACTAAAAATTCTTTTCACATACTCGAGCTCCTTGCACAATGTTTCTGCAGTCCATTCTTTGGCAAAGTTCTGAAATACCTCCTTCGCGAAACCAAACATCTCGGATGGATGATCACAAGCAACACAGTGGAACTGCATCTCGGTAGTCTCCAGTCGAACTTCCCCAATTGTAGGGCTCCTTCCATTTCTAATGTAAGACTCACGCAATGCACAGTCAGCATGACACCAATGAAGACAAACATCGCAACCAACCCAGCTACAAGTATTTGATGCCATGTCAAACTTTAAGCATACCAGACACATGCAAGTGCTGCAAAACCCATTCTTCTTTGAACAAATTTTGCAGTCACACTCGTCTACAGGTAAAGGACTCCTACAGGTGATATTTCGGCATCTTAGGTTCAAGAAAACCTCGGCCAAATCAGAGGATGAAACAACACCATTGTCCACTTTAAGATATTCCACCTGTCCAGTTTTCAAAGCAACCAGGATCTCCAGCTGTGCCTTATGGGACTTTAATAGGGTATCCAATGTCAAGTCTGATCTGTTGTGGAGAGCGGACTGAAATGCACATAACTGGCCCTGCCTATCAGCATTAAGCATGATCTCACAGATGCTCTCCTTCAAACAAGATGCAGACTGTGCTGTCATTTCATGGAACTTTCTGGCCATAACATGGATGGGGTCAGACACTATCCTGCTGATGACAGTCTCCACAAAATCAGCACCACCTATCAAAAACCGTTCTTCTTTCTGACTATTACTCCTGTACATGCTACTGGAATGCTTTTTCCTTGCAGCTTGCTTCTTGTCATAGCTATAGGTAGGGGCCATATCTTGAGAAGCGAGGCTCTGGGACTGGGATCTAGTGTCATCATAGTTCCTTGCCGAGACCCCAGATAACTGCTTATGCAGACTCATCTGTCGTCCAAGACCATTTCCATCTGACATTTTGAAGCTTCCATTCACTGCTTGACCATTTGGCACACTCTGATGTAGAGATCCATTACCATTCATCAAAATTTTCTGGTACAACGAACTCTCCTTGTTCTTTGAATCATTTTGATTCTGGGCCTGCCAATCAATTCCCTGAAATAGGGGACGGCTGTGAACAGATTGTTCATAATTGTCGAGATCCAATGAATTATGAGTTAGTGAACAGCTTGGGTTGTGAAAAAACGACTGTGAGCCAGAACAAGACATTGATGCAGTAAATCCATCAGAGTTTGTCCGGAATGTGCTGAAAGACTGAAAACTTCTTGTCTGGCTTGGAGAGCAAGGGGCTTGTGTAGTATCTTTGGAAGCTCCAATTGGTAACAGTACATTGGGTAAGCTGAGAGAGAGATCGAGTGGCTCTAAAACGAGCCTTTCATCTTTCTGTTTGCTAGCACCAGAGTGCTCCTCTTTCTCCACTCTCCTAATAGGAGAGTTACTGAACAGCTCAAATCCCCGAATACTCGGTCCCTCCATATCATCATCCCTACCCCCAAAAGAACGGGCACTTGGTTCTGTTTCTGTCCACGGAGCATCAGTCACATGTGCAGTTGAAACAACCACATTCTTACCTTTACTTTTCAAGTTCTGAGCCAAATTCTGAGTGACAAAAATGGCATTAAGTTCGGCCCCTGCATTGTCCCCAACCACTTCAACTTTTGACTCTTGTACATCAGCTTCCGCCATCTTAGCCTCAAGATTGAATACATTCCCCTCTGTACTCTTTCTATTCAAGTCCTCAGCTTCCTTCATAGAGTTAGCTTGACAACTCCCCTCCTTGCATTCACTCTGGTCCTCCAAATTCATGACATCCTCAGTTCCTTCAGAAACCTCACCTTTAAGCCCATCAATATAAAGGCTGTTTTCCTTCTTCACATTGCTCTCGTGATTTAACATCTTGACGCCTGCCTTATCCACATCATTCATCTCAGGCATACTAGCTTTCTGTGGCTCATCAGTTTTTACTACTTCATCCTCTCGTTCATTCACTCCAGTGTCAACCTCCACATCCGACTTAGCGTCTTTTACTCGTAGCTTTTCAACTCCATTCTCATCTTCATGTACAACCTCCTGATTCGAATCACGCTCTGGCTCAAGCTCACCTTCCTCCATCTCAGTGCTGCTGCGAGTCTGGATACTCTTTACCTCCATTTCAACATTCCACCTCTCCACTTCAACACTCCGTGTTCCAACTTCAGCACTTATTGCCTCAACTTCAACACTCCTCTTCCCCACCTCCACACTTTTTGATTGTTCACTGCCTGACTCTTTCGACCATGTAGGGGATGACCTCGACTTAGAAGTTGAAGACCTGCCCTTTCCTTCATCCCTATCGCTGCCCCTGAATATCTTTGACTGCTCGCTACCTGAGTCTCGAGACCAAGTTGGCGACTTGATCTCTCTCAAACCTTTAGGAGAAAACCTAGCTGCAGAAGCCATTCTCTCCTCATTCCCAATTCTGCTCCCTCTGCCCTCCCCAAAATCCTTGCTCTCACTGCCAAACCTCCTCCATGAAGACACACTCCCTTCTCTTCGGGAGCGGTCCCTCTCTGACCTAAATCCTTTGGGGAACTCCCTCCGGGACCCTGAGAAACTCTCTGATCGATGAATGGTTCGATCAGCACTAACTCCACAACTACTGCTACCACCTCCTCCACTGTTGTAGCCTTCTCTACCTGCATACCTATCAAACCCAGAACCCAATCCTTTCCTTCTATCGAAGCTATCATAATCGTAATCAGTACGCTTGCGCACCAACCTCAAGTTGTCTCGACCATCGGCATCAATAGATTTATCCTGATCATACCTGCTGGAGGGAGATGAAGCTGTCACTAACCGCTTCCTCACACCATCAGGTTTGTAATAATCGCTTCGCGAAGAGGATCGACTCATGCTCAAATCTTTGAGGGGGCTCTTTTCACAGTAGAAATCAAGATAATCACTTGATCTCAGGCTCCTTCGTGATAGACTCCTTTCCTCCCCGAGATGAAAGAGCAGGTATGGCTTCCACCAACAATGACAAAAACTTAAAACAGGGAAGTGTAGAGTTTGAAACCCTAAAAACCGGGGCCAAGTTTTCCAATAATATCCTTATTACGAAGGTTTCAATGAAGCCCGAACTTAAGGTCTCGAGGAACAGGATGAATTATTGGAATGACTACAAGTCTAGAACTACAACAACAACAACAACGCCGCTGCCACAACCAACAACCATGTACATACTACATAGGACAAAGGCTAGGGTTTTGAAATTGCAGCCAATTTGGGATCTGGAAAGAGGGCAGACTCAATCCCATGTGGACTTTAGAGAAACTAAGGTACAAAAGCTGCAGCTCCACGGATCCCTTTAAACAAAGACAACTGAAAGAAGATAACCCGCCAAATCCTCAAGCAAAGCAGACGCTTTTTGCCCAACACTTCTCATCGGTAAATTTACAGATTCAAACAACCCGACGTCAAAAGCAGGCGACTGCTTTACTCACACAATTCCCAACAAGGTAAATCTGCTGCTATGTTTCGAACAAGAACATTGAAGGAAAGACACGACTTCGAGCTTAGGACCCAAAGCAGGAATTGGACAATACCAGGCAAGACGGTGAGTGAAGGAGGAGGAGCCTGCAGGCGTGGCGGGTGAAGGTGAAGGGGTGGAGATTGGGGGGGAGGAACAAGGAAGAACGGAGAAAAAATGAGTTTATGGTTGGGAGGAAACGGAAGGAAGGAATAGATTGGATGTGTTGTTCCTCCTAGTCAACGATGTTATTCAAAGATAATGGAAAATTATTAATCCTTTCTCTTTTCTTTTGACAATTCCCCCCCCCCCCCCCCCCCCCCCCCCCCCCCCCCTCCTTTCTCTATGTTCATCCGTCCGGATTGGAACAAACCGGAGTGCGGTCCAATAATAAATCAATTTGGTACGATTCAAATGTCAAATTGGTTTATATTTCTTAGGTATTTTTAAAATGGGTTAATATTTTAGTTTGTCTCGAACTATACACATACTTTTTACTTTGATCCGTGGTATTGGAAATTGTTATTCTGGCCAGAATGAGGAAGTTTGCTACATAGTTCAGGCCAGAATAACAATTTCCAATACCACAGACCAAAGTAGAAAGTATGTGTATAGGCGGGGTTGACCGTCAAATTAGACGGTCAAACCTGTTGACCGGTAGTCAATGTACACCTCACTTACCACGTCAGCAAGCAGAGAAATATAAAAAAAAAAAATTAATTCTTTATTTTTTCCCCTTTCTTATAATATAACAATAATAAATGAAAAACAATAATTATTAAAAAAAACTGAAAAACAATAGTAAATGAAAAAAAAAAGCCCCCAAATAAATTTCCTCCATTCGCATCCTTCTTCACCCCACAAAATTGAAAAGAGTAACCACCATCCACCATGTCTCCAACCCTACAGAACCACCGGAGCTCGCCCTCCGCTGTTCACAAATCCATCCCCAAAAACGTCGCCACCACGACCACTAGCTCGACAACCTTCGATTGGATCTCTGAGTCAATCAATGGCGGATCCCTCCGCCCACGTGAACCTCGAGATCAGACCAACGGCTAGGCTTCACCCCTAGGTAACCTCTTCTCCTTCCGCTCCACCAACTACTTCACCAAGAAATCGAAATCCCGCGGCGGCGACTACCTTCTCTACCCCCGGCGGCGAGTACCTCCTTCGTCCTCGCCATGAACCTCCCAGGGAAGGAGCCGCAGAACGTCGTCTTCTACTTCGCCTCCCCAGATCAGCTCCTCCAGGGAAGCCTGCTCGAAAATTCGTCAATGACGACGAGGAGTACCAGAACCAGCGGTTCAAGATCGTGAATCGGATAGTGAAGTTAGTGGAGAATCACAGTGCGTGCCTGCTGGGGAAGGCACTCACCTACAATTACCAAAGGGGGCGACCTATCTGGAGATCGACGACGACATCGGAAGCTCCGCCATCGCCACCGCGGTCCTGCACCTCGCGCTGGGGTGCGTTACGAGTGTGACCATTTGGGGTTTTTGGTGGAGGCGCAAGGGAGGGGAGGTGATATATTGGGGGCTTTATTTATTTATTTTTTTGTTTATTAATGTTATTATAAGAAAGGAAAAAGAAAACAGAATTTCAAAAAATAAATTTTTTTATTTCCTGCTCGCTGACGTGACAGGTGAGATGTACATTGACTAACGGTCAACAAGTTTGACCGTCTAATTTGACGGTCAAACCCGCCTCCAAGCCAAATGAGGAAGTTTGCTACATAGTTCAGGCAAGAATAGCAATTTCCAATACCATGGACCAAAGTAGAAAGTATGTGTATAGTTCGGGCCAAACTATGGTATTAACCCTTTTAAAATTTATACAACCAAGAACCATATTAGATTATATTTATTTTGGTATGATCGATCCAATACAAATCAAACTGTTGCACACTCCCAATTGTGCGTCTCCTCACAATTATTAATTGTCGTATTTTTCCGTAAAAATGTATTTAAATTATGTTCAATCTTTATTAGAATATATAATGTTCCAATACGGTTATGGTTCCACCAATATATTCTATTAATACATCATCAAATGGTCATTGGAGATCACATTCAATAAGCTTTTTTGGACGATTTGGATTTAATGGCTCCCTTAAGTGATGGATAAGGGAAAAGGGAAGACTCGGCTCAGTCTAGGGCGATAAGCTTGGCCCTAGATACCCACTAACCTGCCTTGACCTGACCCGACCTTGAGAGTTAGACTGGCTCGGTTTGTCAACAGGGTCAGCTTAGGATTAGATCAACTTAGGATTAGGTTATGATTCGTTCCTAACTACTATCCCAAGTTGAACATTTGAATATTAATGTTATATAAGTGTGTGCGAATTTTCACTATATGTTGAATCTAAGTACGAAATGTTATTTTGGTGTAATATTATATGTTATAACTCATATTAGATGAGATTTGATATAATTTATCAGGATAAGTACAATATAATGACGCTTTCCATATTTCCGGGCTAAACCGGGCTAAAATGGGTGACCCATTAACTCTTGACCCACTAGCTCAACCGGGTCCGGGTCAACCCACGGGTTGACAACCTTGCTTCTACCTGTAACGAAAGATCGATTACGTGGGCCTTAGCAAAAGGGATAGTGTTAGATGATAGATGCATTGATGCTTATCATTGTTGAGATTGAGATGTATGATCATATAGAATAAATTTCTTATCAATCACGTATCCTTTATTTATCTTGTCATTTAAATTATGTTTTACTTTATGATGCATCTCAAAAAATACTAAACATAGAGAACTTCTACCCATCAATTTCTGTTGAGTCTTTATTTGAGCATTAGATGATTTGATGTTAGTAGTTGCTGTTAGAAAGCCTTGTGGAATACAACCATAGACATGTCTAGGATTTTTTATAACTTCAATTGCATTAATATCACTACATGAATTGCATTCAAGGAGTTTTTTTTTTGTATACATTAGTATTATAGTTTGTTTTTATCCTTTTCTAGCTTGTGTTATGACTTTTGTGTGCTTGTTTGGTGGTCTATTTTTATGAGATTAATCATTTATAATAACAAACCCGTAATTATGGATAAAATTGTTCTTATAGAAACCAAGATTGTACACATATAGATAACATCTAACAGACTAATCATTGACTCTTGTCCATTGAATGCTTGTTGACAGCCTATATTCAACAAGTCTCCACTTACGCATTTTCTCTAGTGCTTTCTCAAGTCCACCTTTTGGTCTCATAATCCATTTCAGAAGCATCAAGAGTCATCTCGTCTAATTGAAGGGATTTTATGGATGCATTGTAGAGTATATAATTTGGTTTAGTAGACTTGTGGTATGCATGCATTTGTTTTTGGTATGCATAAGGAGAATTTCTAGAATATGCATTCTAGAGTTTATGGTCTTTATTTGGAAAGTTGTGGTATGTCTTGTACCATTCTGGACTGCTTTAGGGTATTTATGGAATGCATTCAAGAGTTTCAGGTATGTTTTTATAGGGTGACTTCTGGTATGCACTGTAGAGTGTAGACTATCTGGTTTGCTCTAGGAGACTTGTAGTATGCATACAAGGATTTACGGTCTATTTAGGGGGACTTCTAGTATGCATTGTAGAGTTTTGGTATGGTTTTGACAAAATATCATTGACAATCAATAATATTTAAAAGGGCAAATATTACTACAACACCCGAACTATCCTAAAAATGTCACTTGTGTCCTATATTATTCAATATTCCATTTATATTCTGAATAATTTATAGTTAGTGTTGACCAACGTTGACCGTTAGTATTTAACAAAACATCTAGTTAGCGTTGATGTGACATCTGACATGTAATTTTTAAATAATAAAAAATAAAAATCCTAACTCATCTACTCGATTTAATATCAAACGTTTAATTTTGGAAATAATTAAATTAATAAACGCTCCCAAACAAACAATCTCATCTCCTTCCCAGTTACCACCAACGCCTCCCAATCTCTTCCCAACTCAATATGCCTCCACCTCCTCACTCCACCTTCTCCCCGCTTGTCAAAATCCACTCTCACTTCAAGCAAAAAATCACACCCGGAGATAGGAGGTTGATCGAGAGTCGAAAGTAAAGGATAAAAGGCTATCATAATTAGGATTTCGGTGGGCGATTGAGAAGATCTAGAATATGAGAGTGCATAGAACTGGGTTGGGTCGGATTTTGGATTAGTGCTGGAGGTGGGCTTGTCTCGCAACGGCTTGAAGAGCTGGGTCTGAGTATTGAATTGGATTTGGTCTCGCTTGATAAGGGTACAGTCGACCGTACCGCCCCCGTCGGGTCATTGCCGATGTCGAAGCTATTGACGATTATAACTGACCTTGCCTTGCCGTGAACTTCCCCTCTCCGCTGGCTTCCTCTGTTTCTCATCTCAGTCACTGTCGTTCCAAACAATCATCACTATCGTCGACTTCTCAGCCATCGTCGGCCCAAGCGATTTCCACTGCCATCATTTGACTTGGGCACATCTATAGATTGATGAGGGGGTGTGAGATTCAGAGATCGACATGGTGGTGGAATTGAAGAAGCGGACTGAACTTTCCTGGGTCATTGTCGATATGAAATTTATGGTTCCTTCTGAAGTGACAAAGAGAAGGAAGTAGGTCAAACAATTAATTTTTTGGGTTCTCTATTCGAAGGAGACAAGAGACGGAAGTTGGTAAACAATAGAATTTTCTGGGTTCTCCTTAGCCTCCTTCTATCGACGATATTATCAATGGGAAGTATGGGATTTCGGCAGGGGAGAAGGGGTTGGGGTGATTAATTTTTTCCCCAATTTTAATTCTATTTTTTATTAATTTTATTTTTAACCAAAAAAATTTATGCGTCGAATGACGTGGCAATTATATTTTTGCCACGTTAGCAAAAGTCAACATTGGTTTGACCTCCATCTAGTCAACCGTTATCTTTAACGATCGACAAAGATGCTTCATACACTCTTACCACTGTTCTATCAACGTCATATCATTATGGTAAGACTTCATAATATTATCTTACCACTGTAATAAGATACTATCATGAAATGGTAGTGGTATGGCATTTTGTTTTTCAAAAAGATAATATTCATATTATTTTATTATTTTACTACTGTCATAAAACCATCATACCACTATGATAAGATTTCATAGAACCATCTTGCTACTTTCATATCATGATCTTACCACAATACCATCATACCACTGTCATATCATGATATGACATTGGTAAGATGATGTGAAAAAGTTTTTCTACAAAAATATTAAAATAGGTATCATCTTGTAGAGCACCAAAGTTTGATATTTCTACGCAAAATTTTTAAAACCCGATGTAAAAAGAATGAGTTATAGTCTGTTGAATTTTCAAAAAAGATTTTGGAAAGTGCTTTAACAGCACATATAAGAATCCGCGCTAGTACAAAAATGTTCGGTCAGTTACCAATAAAATCTGGTTTGCTCTCCTCTCCCATAAATCCCTCATTCCTTCCTTATCCTTTGATGGTCCCGGCCTTCCACAAACCATCCACTGAATCTTTCCCTCCTCCCAAATCATAGCCTCCGCCAAACTCGCACCAATCGCTCTCCTTCTCACTATCTTCAACCTCATGATCAACACTTCCCACTCTGTTTCTCCAACCTCAAGCCCAGCTCTCGCCCCTACTCTGGCCGCCGTCCAAGCTCCATCAGCCGCGCCGCGACCATCCAACCCCTCACAGCCAGGAATAATCAGAGCTGCCTACTAGGAATCCTTCTTCGATTTCCCTCCCTCCGCCATCAACACCTCCCACTTCACTCATATCTTACGCGAACCCACCACATACAAGCTCAACGTCCCTCCATCCAAAAAATAATTGCTACCCCAATTCACCTCTGCCCTCTCTGGGAAAAACCCACCAATGAAAACTCTGGTCTCAATCGGTGGCGCGTTCCCTCCTTCTGTCGCCCAGGTGTTCGCCGAAATGTCCCAATCACACAAGGAGAATGACAAGCAGCGGCGGGGCCTAGTGTTTGCAGCGGAGGTTAGATTAGAAAAAGTTATTTTTTATTTTTGATTTTGTAATAGTTGCAATAATGAGGTGGAAATTTTTAATAACTAAATTAAATTTTATTTTAATTTTTTAACTGCAACGTTACTCATTTAACGGTCAACTATGAGAGTTGACCGCCACATCAGCAAAAGTTAACGGAGACTAACGGCTGGTGACCAAACTTGGACGGTTAACCTAATTTAAGTGACTACGGATGGAATAAAGTAATTCCAGTGGCTAACATGAACTTAACTAGTAATTCAAATGACCAAACTTGCAATTTAGCCCATTTCTTACAATAACCAAATGAATGATAGCTTTATATTAGTCAAGGTGCACATTTCTTACACATAACATTTAAAGAATACCACTTCCCTTCTAAATCATGTCATTATTATATCAAGTCAAGCTTATTACTCTGACGTTAGTCGGCATTATCGATTTTATCAAAACGACGCCTGATTGTCAATCTGCAATCAATAATGACTATTGATTCTCTTAAGGAGCAATCTCTTCCCATAAGGATGCATCTTTTCTTCATTTCCCTATTGATATCAACACAACCTTTTGGTAGTTTAGAAAGATGCTCTTGCGTATGTCTATAGCGTTATCTCGAAGCATCATTTCTGGTGGTTCCGCAACTTTATTTGATGCATGCATTCTTTGAGTCTTTAACATCCAGCGGCCTTAAGAAAATTATCATATGGATTAGATGCTGGCAAGTGGAAGTATTGGTGATGTTGATACTCAGTTCCACAAAGCATTGTGCCACTTGCACTAGATGCATGTTGCAAATCTTCAAAGAAGTTTTGGTTGATGAATGGGTTTCCACTCTGCATTTGAAGAAGTTTACAAGGTAAGATTGAAGTTCTAGTGAGTTAAAATCTCGTAAGTTATCTACAAATTTATCACACTTACGTCTCTAGTTTCCCACTATAAGAGAAAACAAAAATAGGTCTAAAATAGGAGCCACCATCCATGGAAAAAGAAGGTCAGGAGAGAAGACCTGTTCAATGGGAAGATCAAATGGATTATGTTTGGGCTTGTTTTGCTCAACGACCGATATTTTTACCAAGCTTTCTTGCCTCTGATGGACGGCCAATACAACAAACATCTTTTGCTGCTTTCCGGTAGAAAGAGCTTCACAATGGCCAGCCATTTCCATGTAAGGTATGTGAGGTGGTGTTGAGACTGATGATCTACCAACTTGATTTGTTGTTTCAGACACCTGTATTTTCAAAATTGTAATTTTAATAATATGATTTTTGTTCTGCATGTTAACCTACTTGCAATGTTCCTAATGCTTACTGCAGTTATAAGGTCAACTACACTAATGAGGCTCGGGATTTCAGTAGCTTGTTGCTTATCAACTTCTGCTTGACCCTCTGTTGTTGATGGTGCATTGTCATCAATTGTGAACAATGATGATGCCTCCTACATAAAATAAATAAATGAAAGTATCATCACAAACCAAGTGCTGGGATATGTGAAATCAACTGAAATTGAAAATAAGTATGTACCTTGTCAGATTGTTCATTTTTTGTTTCTTTTGGTATCGACTTGCTTTCTTGTACATCCATGAACAATTCAGCTCCCAGAGGACATGAATCGTGTGGAATAAAATCACTAAGTAACTGTTGTCGCATGGATGGCTCTTCCTATGCAAGACTTCAATGTTAGCATGGAATTTTCATGATTAAATGCAAGTTTTGATTGGAAATTTTTTTGTTGACGAGGAGTACATTGGTTGGTAGTCTAATAAACTTTATTATCATAGATGTCAATGCTTCTTTAGATTGACTCTCTGATGTTACGATCGCTGAAAGTGACCTCTTTGCTTGCTCATCATCTTCCTTGGAGCCATAAGCTTTATTTGGTTGATTTATATCCATGTTACCCGCTTGTAACTTGCTATCATCAACCAAATGGAGAAATGGGTCGGCCTATAAAATAGTATTCAAAATAATAAAAGATACATAAAGGAAAGTAAATGTCTTGTTCTAAGAGTTCGATTCTATGCTCTACTATATCTTAATTCCAGTTATGGAATGAAAGATACATGAAGAATGTTTAAAAGATGTAAAATCTACAACGGATCTCATATGAAATAAATAGCAGTGAGAGATAGGCTAAAGAGATACCGTTTTCTCTGTCATTGCAGCTTTAGAGGTGGAAACAAGTGGAGGAATGTTGTAGGCTTTGGATGCAATAATAATCATAGATGATGCTAGGGTAAACAATGATCTACGACGTGATGGCTTTAATCTCCCTACAATGATGCAAAATCCTTTGTCAGCCATGAAGATGAAATACTTGTCAAAAATCAATTGGCCCCAATAACTCGAGTTGTTGGGAGAGGTCCATGTATGGATCTTCATCACTTCCTTACACGCCCCCCTCAAATTAAAGCCAACTGATGTGCTTGAAATTTGCACATGCCTCATATGCCATGTGCTTTAAGGCAATGATTAATATTGAGGGCCGTGAGGACTAGAACATGTGACATCAATGACAAATAGACTTTGAAACTTAATCACGTTCTTACAATACTAAGCTACCTTAAGTAATAGACATGTTGTTTAAACAGACGTAGACTATATGTAGGATGACTTAGGAGATATCTCTGTTCATATATAAACCTTGAGAGTAAGTCTTACCTCCTTCTCCTGCAAGTGCAAAGCTCTTTAGAGAGAATGCAAGCTGGAAACTCTGAATTAGAGTCTCATTCGAGGAGTTCTGCATGACATAATTTTTAAGTGAACCCAAAAAATTAATTTGAAACATCATTAAACATTTAAGTTTACATCATAAACAACAATGAAAAGTCAATACAAAATTTCATCAAATGGGAAACAAATATGTGTTTCTCATATTCCCTTAGAAAACATTAATGATGTATATGGCATGAGTATCTATAGGGAAGAGCATAGCTAACCTTAGTTCTTGCAAATAACAATGTCAGGCTATAAGTATGAGCAATGGCTTCATAATTTGCAGGCATGTTAAGAGGTGAGAGGGATTGTGCCCAAATTGATGAAAGTAGAAGTCCTATCTGCCGACTACTCAACCTAAGGGATACTATCTATCATGAACTCATTCCACAAAAGAAATTGGGTTAGATGAAAGAAAAAATATAACTGGAATTTTTAATGCCAAGAATATAAAGCCTTACCTGTTCTTTCTCTGTAACACTCATAGTACTCAAATCTCCTGGCAGTGGTGGAGTAGGCTCCTGTATGCTATAAGCTCGACTATATGAAGACTTCAATCTACTCATCATAGAAGGAGAATTCTTCATAGGACCATCATAACAGTCCATAAATTTATCATTGCTTTCATCTTTGGTATTTGTTATAGAGGAATTTGATTCTCGTTTTAGCTTTTCGAAGAGTGCAGCCGAGGAAGAAAATACAGACACTGTTCTTGAAAGCATTCTTTGGATATCTGCTGATTTGTTTGCTATTATAGAACCATTTCCGGTACGAGGACATACAGAGGATGGGACAAGGACAACAGAGAATACACGATGTGCACCCACCCGCGTTTCGTGATCATCATAGACCATCGCTCGAAGTAACTGGAAAAATAATGCTTCGGGAAATGCCTACACGTTTCAAGGGAAAATATCTAGTCAATGAAACATGGAAAAATTATTCAAGTCAATCAACAAAGAAGTAGATAATGAAGTTAAATGTTGCCTTATCATGATAGGATAAATTTGGAATGGCTGCAACAATCTGAGCAGTACGATAAACAGTTGCAATTAAGGTTCTTGCCATGACTGTAATGGTTGACATGTTCTCCAACATTCCAGCCATCACATCAAGAATAGGATCTGCATCTCCAACCTGTCATCGGAAAGCATCAGTGTGATTAGAAACAAATATCTTATTTTAGTGGGAGCGGCACACACGCACACATATGTTTGGTGACTTCTATTGTACACCAGGAAAAAGCTGGTGTATGTCATACACCAGGCAATCTCCACCATACGCGTCCATCTCAACGGTCAGCAGGCAATCTCCACCGTACAACATACACTGATTTTTGCCTGGTGTACGATAGAACCATCTTTATATATAGTAACTTCTATTGTACACCATACATATATTAGGGTATGTCATACACCAGCAAATCTCCATTGTCCATGTCCATCTCAATGGCCAGCATTAATGCAGGTTCTTTTTTTAGAATAAAAAATAAATTACCTCATTTATGTTGGCCGTTGAGATGGACGCGGATGGTGGAGATTGCCTGGTGTATGATAGAACTATATATATATGACCCATATATGGTAAAGACTAGTATGCTCCAGGAGTATAGTATACTCCTCGTGATCTAGTTGTTAGATGTACTTTTTTGAGCTCTGGCCAATTTCAACGGTTAATTATAAAATTCCATTTAATTGAACTTCGGGTTTGAGTTTAGAGAATCGGGGCATGAGATTTATCCATTAGAGGTTAGGGTACAGTATCATACCCCAAACTAGGTTAAAATCAAGGTCTAGATAGAGATATCTCACTAAGAGTACATGGAGTAGTATACTCTAGGAGTACACCAGTCTGACCCATATATTGAGTAAGAAAACGCATACATTGAGTAAGAAAATGCTATCCAGAACTTGAATTGACTGAAATTTCAGACATGATACTATACTCTAACCCTTAAAGATCAAAATCTAGGTCTTAATTCTCTAAATCTTATACCCCTAGATCAATTTAATTAGAAACAACAATCGACGTTTATGATTCGTCCAAATATAGGCAAAAAAATCAATGCACCATCTTAGGGTTTATAGTTTATGATTTAGATAATTAGGACCTAGGGTTCACTAATTAAGGGTTATGGTATAGTATCATGCGCAAAAATCCTGCTAATTCGAGGTCTAGATAGCATTTTCATACTCAAGGTATGCGGTACCCCGGATTTCACCCGGCGTACTGTAGAAGGCACCATATATATATATATGGGTGGTCCTATCATACCTTGGGTAAAATCAAAGGTATGACATACATTGAGTAAGAAAATGATACATGGACCTTGAATTGACCAGAGTTTGGCATCTAGTACTATTCCCAAACACTTAAGATCAAAATCTAGGTCTTAATTCTATAAATCTCATATACTAAGATCAATTTAATTAGAAATAAAAATCAACAGTTATGATTCGTCAAAATATATGCAACAAACTCCATGCACAATCTTAGGGGTTAGGCTCTATGATTTAGAAAACTAAGACCTAGGGTTCACTCATCAATGGTTAGTGTATAGTATCATGCCCCAAAATGCAATTAATTCGAGATCTAGATAGCATTTTCTTACTGAGGGATGTCGTACCCTAGATTTTATCCACGACACAATAGAAGCCACCATATATATATACTGGTGTACTCTTGCAGTATACCATACTCCAAGTGATTAGGTCGTTGGATGTGCTTGGTTGAGTGTTCAACGAATCAGAATCATCGATAATAATATTTTATTAAATTGAACTTGGGGTTTGGGTTCTGCAATTAGGGGCTTGGGTTTCAGTCATTAGAATCCAGTGTATAGTACCATACTCGAAGCTCGGTTTTATTCATGGTCTAGATAGAGATGTCTTACTAAAGATCCTAAAGTATTGTATACTCCGGGAGCATAGTATCCTAACCCATTTAATGTACATGCATATATATATATATCCTGTAATGGACTCACTAATATTTAACCAAGTTTTATTATGAAGACGAGTTAATTACCTTTTGTGATAATTGTACAAGGCACTCGTCCACTGCCTCTTGAAATTTACGATTCCACTCTATTACTTCATTCCCTAGAGCAGAATCATCTAGAGAGCAGTGTATGCTTTTTCTAAGGTGCCTCATCATGTCACTCAATGCGCCAACAATAGCTAAAGACTGTTGGGGCTTGGTTACTTGAGCAAGAGAAGTGGAAATACTAACAATGTCGAGTTGCATGGTAGGCTTCTTCAGAACATTCTTGTGATCAAGATGCTTGATTAGGATGGCCAAAACAAAATGTGTGTTATGTCCTGCAAATGGATCTAAAACAATTTAGCCTCAATAGGAGGACAGATTTTAGATGATGTTCGTAGTGGATCAGGTAATACCAGAATTCTCAATTATTGATTGCATATCCAATAGTACAGAGAGGGCAAGACCATCATCAGGAGCCCATAAATCACCACTGTCAAAGTAGCGAAACAAAGATTCAAGAACACGTCGCATAGTCGTAGCTTCCTTTGCCAGTTGAGCCATGTTCCGCAAACAAACTCTGGACCAAAATGAGGGAGCTTGGGACTCCTCCCTTCATTTTTTTAAAATGACAAGGAATTATGATGAAGAAAGAGTCAAGCCAAACTAGATAAGTGCAAGAGGTTAAAATAATGTGAAAGAGTAATTACAGAGATATGTTAATTAGTTCTCCATTCTCACTAACAATGCTTCTCCACGAGGGGATGGTTGTCACAGAGTTGGGAGAAGGGGAACTTTGTTCAACGTTTGTGTTCATCATTTCATTATTTGATCCTTTTTGTGCTTCATAATTTTCCAAGACAACAGAGACAACCTGGGCATCAGAAAGAAGTAAGCATGTGAGGTAATGAAATAAATCTATGGTATATATGAGCTAAACAATATTTATATATAATAGCTGAGTGTTTACTTCACAACCTTGAATTCTAGCATAAAAATAAATCATGGTTTACAAATCCCTTTGATTCTTTCAAGGAACAACCACAACGCATAAACCAGTAGGCTATAAGATACGAGGCATCGATTAAATTCACTTACATTGTCAAAATCTGCTGAAATATGAGAGAATTCGCCCATGAACCACACCTATTATATGAAACCAAATGTTATATTGCAACTTATTGTGCTAAATATGAGAGAATGGTACTACCATTTCCAATTAGATACCATAACTAGCTATGAGTGACCTTATTATAGTAGCTAGAATGGATGCATTACCATGGCTGAAAGAGCCTGAAGCCCTGATGACCGAAGTTCATTTATCTTCTCATCCTCCCCCATCTCTTGTACTAAATCACACAGTTTTGGAACTAAACCATCTAAATTGAAGACATATGTGCCATCTATCTGTAAAAATAAATTTGATACCCAATTAGCTAGGAATGATCCTTCATTTTAGGACTCCATGTAATCTCAGTAAATACCCCTACCTGGTTATTTACAAAGTCAAATAGAGCATGGCATCCTAATGTTCGTATCTCATTATGACGTGTTTGATCCAATAGAATGTGAACAATTCCGAGTAAGCTACTTGCAAACAATGGCCTGCCAAATCATGAAAATCACGTAAACCAGAATTCCAATTACATAACATGTCTTTCGATACATCAAGGCTTGATTTGTTAGCATAGCTATGTCCACTCTTTTCCACTTCCATAAGGTTAGCAAAATCTTGTTAATTATTTAACAAAATCCATTACATATAGGAATTATCAATGATGGGTTAATTTTTGGAACATGCAGTTATGAGCTTTACGTCATTATAAAAATATGCATTATGCATCAAGTATAATGAACTTTCTTTCTGTACATAGTTTTATGTGCAAAATCCTGAAGATTAAACAAGCAAATCCTTCAACTAGAAATTGTTACAAAAGTTGATCTCATGCAGTGCAATGAAAGGTAACTCACATCTGCTCCCTACAAGAAATCAATAATTTCCTGTATATGCATAGAACGACTTTCACTGAGTGAAATTGCTCATTTCTCAGATCCTTGTAACATCTTTGCTCCAACGAAGTCGTGATCTATTAAAAAAAATTAATACGTACTTAGAAAGGCCACATTATGCATACGTCAAAAATATTTTACATCCAAAGTAAAGCAAACCAAGGCAAATAGAGGACATATTATTAAAATAGGAAATTCTAACTATGATGCATATTTTGGAAATAGGAAATCCAAAGAACCCATTATCATTCCTCTTCCTACTAGATTCCAATTATATGACTTTTATTATGTGTCATACACTAATAAAATACTTATAATATGCGTCTTTTACTAACTAGTTAGCTTTCAACACACGAATCAAACAAAATGAAGAAGCTCACAATTTTTCACATGACTTTTCTTATGTTTCCAAATAAAAAACACATTGAATAATTTTATTTTTCCACATTATGGAAATAAGCATGTACCTTTGGGATTCGAAGAGGATTTTTAGAAGCATATTCGCATAATTTACCAATCTTTCTATCATTTGGTTGCTCATCCTGCCAAAATATGTGAGATAATCTTCATTAGGTTTATTTACCCTCACCTATTTAATGTGGCTAGCCACAAATCTAACTATAAAGAATCCAATGCTCAAATGGGGATACCAACAAGTATAAAATTTCAAGAAAAATTAGAGTAACTTACTGGGGATCGAGGAAATATATCAGAAACCAAGTTCTTGTAGCGTTTAAGAGGGTGTCTGGACCTTGCCCTCAATGAAGGACAGAAGAAACACAAGCTTTCACATGCAGGAAAAATAGTCCTCGAAATTGCCCCCATCTTTCAATAAATCTATATAAGAATTTAAATGAACCTTATTAAGAAAAAAATTGAGTTTACAAATTTTTGTTTCCTGCTTTTGTATATAAAATATAATGTCCATCCCCCTCCCAAATATCAAGAAAGTTTTAGCCAAAACCTACAATTTTCTGTAAAATTTGAGTTTCGGCTTGTCTCTTGCAACTGCTTCTCTAACCATTAAAATAAGGTTAGAAAAAATTATGAATGTCTACAACTATATACATTACAAGCAACATTAACGTGCATCTTCTGGAAAACCCCCTAAACAACCAGTAATTTCTTTAACCTACAATTGTCTGCAAAAATAAAAATGCATTGCACTTTTACTCAAAACATTACACGAAACCTGTAAATTCCCCCCCAAAAGAGCTTATCGAGAAGAAAAATAAAACAAAAGGGTATAAAGTAAATGAAGAGGGAGGCAATTGAAGGAAAAACAAGGATATTGTTGCTTCATGAATTAAGGAAGAGGTCAAGAAAAGGAAACAAAGTTATCAAATCCGTGGAGGAAAGAAAAAAATTGGATGATTTCTCCACGGATGATGATTCAAGGGAGAGAAGGATAGAAAACGAGAAAGAATGAAATTTTGTATTATTATTACAGAGTTTGAAAGAGAGAGAAAACTAAAAATGATGAGAAAATATTTTATATTTCTTAATAATGATAATTATTATGTTTCTCTTTTATTCTTGTTGTATTATGTTTCTATTTTTATTTACAAGCGTCTCGTCAGTTGTGTGCTCAACTCAGATCATTCGACGGGTTTACCCTCTGTCTAAACGAGCTAGTCAAACAATTGATGGAGAACATGATGTCCATAATCTATGATAGTTATAGATCGTCGTCATGCGACTAATCTAGATATTTGCACTAGAGTTATTCCATTTCCAAGAAGTTAGACTTTGATTGCATTGCTTGATATAAGAATTCCCCTAACCCTAGGTAACAGTCAAATTATAAGAAATCTAATTCATTTATCCCTAATTTCATATAATGTTGAGGAATCTTGAACTACCAATTGAATAAATGCTCATGTATTCAATGACTTCTAAATTCACAAATTGCCTCAATGATCATGCAACCAATTACACACCTAAAGTGCTAAATCTAGACTCCTCTAGCGTGTTTTATCCCAACCAAGTATCACAACTCTATGGTCAAGTAATTGCAATCCAACACAAACAGAAGTGTGTTCACTTTAAGCTAATTGAATTTCTCGCTGTAAAATAAGAAAAAAACACAATACCCACCTCTTCATCAAGATAGATGGATAAATAAGATGAAAAATCAATTAATAGAAATATGCTTGATGCATCCACAATAAGAAAATCAAGCTAAGGGTTCGGGTTAATTTTATCAATATGTCAAGAACTATAGCTTTTGAAGGATAAGGAGATCTCCCTCTTCTCTTCAATATGCTTCTTCAAATAATTCTTCGAATTCGAGGAGAGAAGCCTAGGAGAAGGACTCCTTCTTGCTCTCTTTCAAAACTCTTTCTCAAAACAAGCTTTATGTTTTTCTCTCTTTACGATATGATCTTCTGAAAAATGCCTCTTCTCCCTACCCTTTCTTTTCTCCTTGAAAGAAAAAGAAAATCATTGATTGTAATCTCATCTATCTGGACCTTTCTCTTAATCCTTATTAGAGAACTACTTCCCACATGGAAGCATGATAAGATAAAAGACCATATTGTAAGATTCAAGCAAGAGGATGGTGATGCCTGGGCTGGGTACAAGAAGCTACTTCAATCTTGCCCATATCATATGGTTTATCTTGGAGCAACATGCACACTAGTTCCACAAGAGTTTAAAATCTCCAACGATTAAAAAACTTGACCAATTTGCAAACATAAATGTCCCTCAACTCACGACAGCTACAATAGAGTATTGAGCTTCCATGACGAGCATGGCTAAAACATTGGGGGATCAGGGTAGCTCTTTAACCAGTGAAAGATGTTGAAAATCACACCACATTATTATATGAGCAAGAAGGGATGGCTAAGTAGTTAAAATCCCAGCTCTGTTGGCTTTGCTTACTCAAGCTTTTACAGAGCAGGTAAGTAGAAACATGCATACTAGTTTTTGCAGATTTTTAGTGTAACATGGCAAATCAAACATCATCATACCCTTCAATGAATCCATTGAATAAATGCCACAATATGAACTATTCATGAAGGAAGTGTTGACTAACAGAAGAAATTGGTGGATGTTGCTTGTCCCACGTTGGTGTTGATATCCATGGTGTTAACATGGCATTAAGAATATTCTGACTCGTCCCCAGATGAATTTCTTGGATGACCTTGCTAATCTATAGCCAGTAACAAAGCCAATTTCTATCAAATTTGATGTTCCAAACCAATCTTCATGACAATCTTGACCTAGTAAGCTTCAATATTCTATTTTGTAGAAGCAAGGAAAGAATGACATACATGAATAAAAACACCATTTCTGGACCGAATCTAAAAATGATGGACTACGCTACTATATGGGACGCCAAAAATGTTTCAGAGTAGCTAAAATTAGAAAACATGGAGAAAAGAGATTCCAGTCAATCAAAATCCGACAAAGAGTCTCCTAAGGGCCTTAGACAAGTCCGTGAGTCCTTTCTCAACAGAAACCTCGAGGGAACACCCTTTCACTAAGGGAAAAGGAAAAAGCAAGAGAAATCCTTACAAAATATAGAAAAGGATTTTACTTCCTATATAAATATTCTCCTCCTAGTACTGAACTCTAAAAAAATTTCAAAAGAGGAGGAGGTCAAGGCTATTATGGAGAAGTAAGAGGCCATTTCACACCATAATTTGTGTTTCTTAACTTTCATGGTTGATCACTTGATTGTAAGGTGCGTATGATTACTTTAGGAGCTTCAAAGCAGTTATTTTTGTTTTTTTTTTCACACATTGTGATCTAACTAAATGTTTATTTGAAGTTTGATACATAATTTTGAATGCGAATTATGAATGCTTTATTATTAACATGTTTGATAGTCAAATCTCTAAAGTGTGGGATAGCCACTATGCATTCCATGAAAGGTTTGTTACTACTCTTGTGCTTAACTCTACTGGGATAGGAAATTTCATTATGCTAATACATGTTTATCCAAATCGAGGCATTCTATCTGTGTTGGATGATATGGATTCTCCCTTTTTCCTATCTAGATGTGTTTGAATGGGTAGGACTACTCTGGAGTCTTGTGCATCATACCAACATTTTGTGCCTAAATGAAAACAATATAATGCTAAGTTTTGATTAAAATGGTCTAGCTACTAGTTTTGTATAGTTTGTTTATTTTGTTCCGACAAATGAGTGTCATATGGATGAATTGTAACAAGGAGAACTTCATGATTGATTGCACACCAAAATCAATGAAAGGCTTGGCAGCCAATATATGGGATAGGGTAATTGTGACAAGCATGACTGGTTGGCTGACCCACGTGTCACCCTAGTCCATCTCCAAATGAGACATCGACCAATATATGGTATGATACAGGAACATAGTGAGAGGAGGAATCCGTGTGAATTCCTTCAATAATCTTATATATATTTCGCATATCTTCCTTATACGTGTCTAAAGAAACTCTAGGGTGACCTTTGACTATCTTGATTTTGATCTTTTTACGGAAGAGCGCAAACTCAACTTCAATTCTCCTAAACTATCACATTGCATGCCTAGATCCGTCAATATACAATATGAAACAATCCTAGGCTAAAATACAAGGTTAAGAAACAATTAAGCTCAATAAAGCCATGAAAAATCCTAGATATGGAATGCCAATAACCCATAATTTAGGTGTTATAAGGAAGAGATCACGTTGTAGAGAGTGGTCAAATTTCCCTAGGGTCTCCCCCAACCACTTACTAGGGTGGCGAGGGGCGAGTTCTTCAGTGTTAAATTGCGACTATGGAGGTTGATGCACTTCCGACCTCCGGGGTTGAAGTTTCCCTTGGTTTTACAAAATCAAAAGGAAAACAAGGCAGAAAAGTAAATCTATAGCTAGTGTTGAGTGGAAGAAGCAAAAGGACAACGTGTTGCACAAGCAAGCTCCTCCTAGAGTTATTTAGACTCATAACATAAATCTCGACAACATACGTGTTTCTTGATGACATGTAAAAGTATATATTCTAGACCCACGTATTATGACCCAAAGTGCATACATTTCCCATCCTTATCGTCATAATACCTTGAAATGTTTCTATGATTGCTTCAAGTGTGTTTTAGCAACCCTATGATTGCTTTATAGGATTGATACACTTTTGGTAGTGTTTTGTGCATTTTCAAGTCTAAGCAAACTGGTGGACCACTTGGAAGCCGTAGGGGACATCGAAATCCAGTTTCTGGAGTTGGGATTCACAGACATGACGCCTATAAGAAAGGATACCTAAAGCACCATTTTGATGAAGAGAAACGATGGAAATGGCGCAGTTTTACTAAAGCCAACCACTATGTCAGAACGTCATCTTGAAACCTCCTAATTCGCTGGTCACGTATTTGGAGCATCTTGATTGGCTTAATGAAAACGGAGTTGTGGTTTTATCTCCTTAGAAAGCCTAACAAAGAACTATAAATAGGTCTCTAGAGATAAGAAATATGGAGAGAGACGAGAGGTCAAGGAAGGTTCGTTACTATGCCTACAGAACAACCCTCATAATTAGAACGAGACCAACCTACAGGGAGAAACTGCACCAAAAACAATAACCCTGGGTCTGTTTTCTCTACCACTGGCGCCATTTCCCGTGGGTGTTCGGGTGTCTTCGTTTCAATTGATGAACACCCAGGAACCCCTTCCCATGGCAGGCTTAGTAGCGTAGGTATGTGAACCTTAGCAGTTCATGTAAAACCCCACCCTAAAACTCTTGGGTTGAACCAATGGTTCACTCGCACAGTGGAATCTCTATCGGGGTAACACATACCAACATCGTTTTAATCCGACATCCAAAAAAATAAATTCTCAAATACTTATCATATACCAAAGGTCAACTCGATCTAGTTCCTTTATTTCATTTAAGCCAAATCAAAGTGTCATTCACTACTATGCTCAATACGGTATCATCTACTATGCATACCCAAATCATCAACTCGTAAAACATAAATGAGAATCATTTCAAATGGGAAAACTTCAAAATCGATCCTCCATCGATCATTGTGCATGCCAGAGTTTCACTCAACTCCTTTGGAGCTGTAAGAAACTGAACAGAATTGGGTCAACTACTAAGTTGGCGTGTGGATCTTTCCCACAACCTAGTTTTGGGACCACAATCAACTAATCATGTAGCCACATATTCAATCACAATTCAGTTTTTTAGATGCCATCCTAGGTCATCATATATGAATCATCAATCAATATACCAAATCCATCTACTCATTTTCATCGAACCAATTTAACCAATATGATAATCACATAGTTTCACGAACACATAATCAATACCTGATATGAAAATTCCGGTTAATTATTAATGGCGCCAAGGTCACCATAAACTTACCCGCGCCCGAGCAAATCATCATCTGTGGTTTTCATGCAACCACAACACTCAATCGCAAATGCGAGCTAAGTCTACCCAATCCCAAGGGTTGGGGGTAAGTGTAGGCCCCTTATACGTCTATGTAAATTAATATGACTACAAATCAAACAATTTCCATTTCTCTTATCCATCACAAACCATCCGGAATAAATGCAGTCCCACTGAATAACTGGTCCATACAGATTTTCCGTCGATTATCAACTCAACGTTTCTAGTAATCCCATCATCCAATATCAATTCACATAAATAATCTCATCCTCTAGTAAAGTTACCCATCAACTCAATATCATAATTCCTCATCCAAAATTCATCAACAATTTCACGAAATAACCTGGATGCAAATAACCGTAAATAAACCCGGTTTACGGTTAAAAATACTTTTAACTCTAATTTCACTTCCCTTCATTAAAATCATCACAAAATCCATGTAAATGAATTTATCGACACAAGAATCCATTTAATTCAGTTCTGATAATAAAAATCTATTAAATAATAAAAGCACTAAAAAAATACGGTAACTTAAATTCCAGTAAAACAGTTACTCCAAAAACCAGGACAACAATATTAAATTAAGTCTTTACCGCAAAATCTCGTATTAAGCTCGTTTTCACTATTTCAGATATACACTCCATCAACTGCCTAACCTCTCTTTTTAACACCAAAATTAATTTCACAATCCAAACTGGCCATTTTAAATTCATCAAAATCTTAATGATGCATAAAAATGCGTTTTGACATATCTTTTCGTAAAATTCACCGTTATGCAGTTTTTAACCCAAAATCCATTTCCAAGTGAAATATTCACTAAATCTGACCAAACATTAGTTTAAATATACAAAATCCCTTCTCATCATTTTTAAACTACATAACCCCAACTATCCATTTTTATGGTTTAACTTGTCAAGTACTAATATATACATTGTAAAATCCAAAACAATCAAAAAAATTACCAAATCATCAAATCAGCCAACAAGTCATTACCTAGAGTAATCCATCCATCTAAATATGCAAATAAAGCATAAATAATCAATGCAATAATTAAGGTCAGCTTAATCACCTACACACCTCAAGTTAGCCAATTCCAAGTTAGTAATTAAGTTCTAAAATTCCAATGAATGGCTCATAAAAATCTTCTTCGTTCCCACGGTTGTGTAGATGGAAACGATTCATCATTTGGACGTCAAACAAAGAAACTGCGATCCGATTACGATTAGTGTGGAAAATTACTTAATGGTACCCTATTTTTTTTTAACTGTCAGAAACAGTTCCAGAACTTATAAATCGTACAATTATAAGTACGAACTTCTAAACCTCATTTCTCTCTCGTTTGAGCTCGGAATGCAATTCTAACAACTTTGTGATGTTCATTGAGACGAGTCCTACAC